GAAGAGGGTCAAGCTATTCTCCAAAGCACCCGAAGGCCAGACAAGGAATAATGGATGGAAACTGAACAAGGAGAGATTCAACCATGAAATAAGGAGAAATTTTCTGACAGTGAGAAACAATCAACCGATGGAACAGAAGTTGCCTTCAGAAGTTGTGGGAGCTTTGTCACTGGAGGCTTTCAAGAAGAGACTGGACTGCCATCTGTCAGAAATGGTGCCGGGTATCCTGCTTGGGCGGGGGGTTGGACTAGATGACCTACAAGGTCCCTTCCAACTCATCTGTTAATCTGTAAATCCATATGTCATTTATTTTTTAGTTTTTGTAAAAAGCCCACCAATGGTTTCCATTTAGAAATAAATTTTGCCAATGTCGCTTCTCTAATGAGAGCCATTCATTTTGGCTCATCTGTTCCAGTTATACCCCTTTTACTAACCACTCTTCCATCGCCAGTATAGTGGAATCTTTCCAACGTTGAGTATATAGGAATTTTACTGCTGTAACCAAATATAAGATTAATGTACCATGTTTTTTTCCTTAGAATTTTGTCCATCAACCCTAATAAAAATATAACTCTGGTTTAAATTTTATTTGAATCAAAGTGTATGTTTCTCAAGGAAAGTGCTTTCTTAACCCTCCTAAAAAAAATGAAAGCTGCGTACATGAACTGTGGTAGAAGGACTTTCTGAAGGTGCCTGCAAAACAATTTTCATGATAAAATAAATGGAGATTAATTGTAAGAACATGAGTAGCTAGCCCTTGCACCTTTTTATAGAATAATTTTATTTAAGAACAATAGAAATTAATGCAAACTAAAAACAAGGAAAAGAAAGAAAAATTAGAAAGTACAGAAAAGAGAAAAGAGATAAAGGGAAAAATAGAGATTGTGGTCTTGTCTGGAGTGCATGTGGGTGATCTCTAATCCTCTCTTAGTCCAGAGAGGAAATATTGAATAGCCCGTCTATTCACCAGCTCTTCATTCTGCCAAAATCATCAACTTCACTTTTTGTGTACCAGTCTTCAGTCCACCACATCCATCCATCCATCCATCCATGTATCCACCCACCCACCCATTCATCCAGCCAACCCTTTTCTCTGTAGTCTAGATATGTGAATTTTGACAAAAAGAATTCACATAAACTTAAAAAAAGGTTGGCCATTCCCTAGCCTGTTGTCCTCCAGATTCATTTGACATCAATTGCCCTAATTCCCAGCCTGGACATTTTTAGCAGAGGGGGATCTTGGGAGGGTCTATAATGACTCCCTTGAGATATTCTGGAAAATGAGTCTGAGGGTCATTAATTGATTGCTCCTTCATAGCAAAGCAGAGGTGATGAAATTCCTTGCATTTCTCATGGATGGATTGTGATGGCAAAGAATTGGATTGAACCTTCTGTGTCTGGGCACAGAGACCGATAATGAGGTCCCTTAATTCTCATTGCATCATTCCAGAAAGACGGACCAATTATGGTAACTAACTTTCTCTCGTCAGGGCTGGTTATTCCCCCACCAGCAGCCCCTTCTCCTGTGAGCTGGTCCAGGGAGATCAACCTTTGTTCTTGGGCACAGAGTTGAGTCCCAGAGCGGTAAAAGTTTTGTTTCCAGCTCCTGTTGCAAAATGCCAGCTAAGCAATGAAAGTTGTTTGTTCTCTGCCAGCAATTTGCTGGTTCAGTTCAGATCCATCTGGATGGTTTTGCAGGCTCTCTAGCTCCCCTCTGAAATATGGGGATCCTGAGCTCAGGCGTGGACTGTCAAGAATCAAAAAATATGCTTTTCCAAATTTGCTGAATCAAGCTGTGTAGACAGCTTTACCTGCTACCTTTCATTTCATTGGCTTCTACCTAAGGCCTCCTATCACAATCGGGCCTGTGCAATAGGGTAGGGCAGGGGTCTCCAAACTAGGCATCTTTACGACTTGTGGACTTCAACTTCCAGAATTTCTCAGTCAGCCATGCTGGTTGAGGAATTCTGGGAGTTGAAGTCCACAAGTCTTAAAGTTGCTCAGTTTGGAGATTCCTAGGGTAGAGTCATAGAATTGGGCTGGAAGGGACCTCGGAAGTCTTGTAGTCCAATCTTCTGCTCAAGGCAGGAGACTTTACATCATTCCAGGCAAACGTTTCCCTCACAATCATTCTGAGGGAAGGAAACTTGACTATTTATTATTTGTTTGTTTATCTGCTGCCCATCTCCTCCATAAAGCCATATGCCCAGGCCTGGGGCTCTGGATATGTTGGAGCCCCATTTCTTGGCTGGACGGATATTAATTATGATAATTTTCTCAGCTCCTGCATATATTTATTTTTATACTGTTCTAGTAGTTTTGGAATTGTTCACTGACCAGTCACTGGGTTCAGATGAGCAGCTATAGAAATGAATTAATTTATTTCTAATTAATTAATTAATTTTATATAGTTTTTAACTGTTTTGTTTTAGAATTGTTCACTTGCCCAGAGTCATTGGGTTGAGATGGGTAGCTGTAGAAATTGATTGATTAATTTCTAAATAAATAAATTTCTTTTGCAAATTCAGTATCTGCAACCATCATGTACTAGGGATGTATTTCAATACAATATTTCTAGCCTTTTAGCTAGGTTATACAAATATGATTATGCAATAAAAGTTTTAAAAAACGATTTACAAAAATCCTATTTATATAACCCACTAATTTCTCCTGAAACATAGTAAGCTGAGGGCGTTGCAGACACATATCAAAGGATGTTCTTCTTAGAGCACTCGCCTTTCCAAATTGTGTTTGGCTTCGCTTGTCCCCAGGCAATTCACAGATGGGAGAGTTTGGTCCCAGTGGATCCCTTCTGCTTTTACTCCCTGCGGGATCCCGAGCAGGAATATCCTCAACACACCAAGACACATTTTCCCCATGAGCCTCGCCTACCGTGGATAACCCTGGGCACTGGGAGTGTTACTTCTGTTGTGAGGATGAGCTTCTGAACACCTTCCTTTCTGCTCTGTGGGCAGTTTTGGCTCAGCGATCACCATTCTCATTGTATCTGAATCCAACGGTGGGAAAACCTGGGGAGAGGTTGACTCTGCTTCAACCACAGCTGGTTTTCGGTAGGTGGCTAACCAGTCAAGGTGAGCTGCTTTGTGGTCCATCCAGCATCTTCTTTTGAGGAGACATTGCAAGGAGAGCTTGACGTTGGGAGGGAGAAGGAAGTGCGTGACCAGGAATGGAAGTTTCAACCCTTTTAGGAGATCTCAGAAATAGCAAGGATCCTCTTTGAGGGGACAACAGATTTAACCATCAACAACCCAGATCTTTCTATCCTTCCTATCTGTCCTGCTCCAAAGATGGACTTTGACTAAGCAAATTTGATCAAGCTGGCCCTTCAGAGCAGCGTTCCAAATCAAAGCTGGGTGCAGGAAACATATGGAGATATAGTTCTTAACTCTTTTTGTTACCTGGAAGGCAACAGAGATGACAAGATTCAGGACAGGTCAATCCAAGTACATTGTCACACAGTATAACTAAATTATGGATATATATTAAGGGCTATTCGTTTCCATGGTCTACTGTTGGCTCTTGACCATGGTAGCAAGAAGCTCCAGAGATAATATACAGTATATGAGTATAATATTTGAGGCTGCTTTTAGGCTTGTCAGAGGAAATTTGGAAGATGACCCATCTTCCTCACTGTAAACCTCAATCTTCCACGTAAAGCCAGATCTTCTAAAACATCTCTACAACTGAGGCTGCCTTCTCCTTCTGATCCCAACATCTTTTCATCCAATTTGCAGGCATCACTTACCTTCTGGAATCCTGAAAGACAGTAGAAGCTTATTATCCCCCTTAAAACTGTATTAATCTCAGGTAATACCATACACTGACCTAATTGGAGCTTCCCATGAGTGAGGTGGGAGAACATTGCACAAATGCCATTGAAGGTCTACAGAGCAAGGGTGGACAGACCTGTTCTGTGTTGAAGTCCAGAGCAAATCAAGCCTTTTCTTGGGTCTCCATTGAAGATTCACAGGATGTCCAGAGGGATAATATGGCTGGATTGTAAATAATCCATGATTCTCTCATTGACTGGGAGAAATGCTGGTCCTTACTGAAATTTAGAAGGCAAAGAACTCAAATAAAGGAAACGTGGCAGCCTTTGATTCAACTGTTCCTTGTTCGTGCTGCTCCCAGCTTCAGCAACATGCTTTAAAAGAATCCAAGGAATTGGACAGTGTAGGAAATGCATAAATAGTCTGGAGGAGCTTCATAGCCTTCTCAGTTGCATTTGGCATTGATGGCTGGTGCCTTTTGGAAGAAGATCAGTTGAAAGAAGAAAGGTTGAAGGAAAATCTGTTCGTCCAGCTGAGAGCCTTAAAACTGAACGTTTGGGGGAGGCAGGTGTAATGGTATGTGGGAATGAATGTGGGAGATAGGAGGAAGAGGTGCAGCCTAGGGAACAATCAGATAAGAGAGAGTAGAGCCTGCAACTCTATGGTGGGCAGAGAAAGAAACAACTTATCAGACTATAGAAAGAGGAAGAAGGAGATTTGTACTTTCAGACTTCTATTAATGTAATAATAAAGTTGAATGAGATCCTCTGGTCTTGTTTTCTGTCTGGTCTGGCGAGAAAGACTGACAGCAGGGCTGAAGGACTGCTACTTCCTCAGCAGAGTTTCGGGAAACAGGATTGTGTCGTCTTCTCCAAATAAGCTTTTGATGCCAAGCTTGGAAGATCCGTTCCTCAGGGCTTGTATGCTGAATGCCCCAGAAATTCAGGGGGAGAATTAAGCTCTGCTGCTCCGGCTCTGCATCCCCACTTTAATTCATCTCACCCTGCAGGTAGTTCTCATTCAAAATACCACAAGCAATCAGTTCTTCTTTATTTGGAAGAGATCACTAAAATTCCATCTCCTCAATTCCAGCTTGAGTCCTCAAATAATTACTGTGTTATTCTTCCATCCATTTTTCAGGGTCCGTTGCCACTCACTGCTTTCTTCAGAAGCATTTTTCTCTCTTGCCAGGTGTCTATTTTTTTCCTCATGGATTCCCACAACCAAACAGAAGAGATGGAGTTTGTCTTACTGGCATTCTCCATATTCCAGAGGCACCACATCCATTTTTTCTTGGTGTTCCTGGCTGCCTATTTGGTCACCCTGCTGGGCAACTTCATGATCATAACCCTGGTCCTCCTGGATTCCCGTCTCCACACCCCCATGTACTTCTTCCTCAGCCAGCTCTCCTGCTTGGATATTTGTCTTTCTTCTGTGGTGGTACCAAAGATCCTGGTGAACCTCCTACACCAGCAGTACACCATCTCCTACGAACAGTGCCTGGCACAAGCCTTCTTCCTGATTGGATTTGGAGGATGTGAGCCGGCACTGCTGGCCATCATGGCCTATGACCGCTATGCTGCCATCTGCCAACCTTTGCACTATGCCCACCTGATGAGGAGCAAGTTCTGCGTCCAGCTGTCTGTGGCTGTTTGGTTCTGGGGCTTCCTGGACTCAGCTATCTATGCTGCTCTGGCCTCCAAGTTGGATTTCTGTGGAAACTACCAGATTCTTCATATCTGGTGTGATATTCCTCCACTACTGAAAATTGCCTGCAGTGATACCCAGGTCAACAAATTGGCCAATCACATCACTAGCTTCTTGGTTGGCCTCGGTCCCTTCCTCTTCATCATCCTGTCCTATTTCTGTATTTTGGCCTCCATTGTCCGGATTCCTTCCAACACCGGCAGACGCAAAGCCTTCTCTACTTGTGCATCACACGTTGCTGTGGTAACTCTTTATATCGGAAATGGGTTTCTGAACTACAACCAGCCAAGTTCTGGCTACTCCCTAGAAAGTGACACCCTGATTTCCATAATGTTTTGCATTGTCACCCCCATGCTGAACCCCTTAATCTACAGCCTCCGCAACAAGGAGGTGAAGGAAGCCAGGAGGAAGGTTTTCAACGGCTGGAGAACAGCGTTCTCTTCATTTTAAGGTGCTTTTCTCTTTGAACCTCACATTTGTGTGTTCCCCAAGAAAAATGAAAGTGGTGCACAAGAACCTGGGAGAAAAACATTTCACAGATGCCTGCAAAACTTTCCTTTGAGAAAAACAAGATGGGAGTTTTGTTGCAATGCCCACGAGTAGCTGGGCATTGCAGACAATAGAAGCCATGGAATTCATCACTCCAGGTTGTATCATGATCAGTCAAGTACCTTGTGGATCCTGCAAACAAATATAATTCTCTAATCCTAGACTCCTCTGATAAACAGAGACACAGGACTTTGGACTGTGTAGGTAAAACAACATGGCTTGTAAATATTTTGATAGTCACATTTGTATTGCCCCAAAAGCAACCTCTATCAAACATAGTAATCAGATCAGGAACAGATAAAAGAACAAGTGACAATGCAGGGAAGCCAAGATGACTAACAAAGATAGAAATATATAAGCGATCTAATGAATGGTTAAAGTGTGATGCAGTTCAATCTAAGCTCATCTTATTTCCTGCTGTTAACTTTTATTGTATTGTTTCCTATTAGCCTTCTGTGTGTGTGTTTCTTTTTTTAATTTCAAAAACAGATCATTTAAACTGGAATTGCAACACAGCATAAGGATACAGGAAGCCAAGTAGAAGAGAAACAGCTGCTTATAAATCATAAGTAAAAATATCATAGAAAAAAAGTCAATGCCTTCTCCCCTTCCATTTATTTTCCCAGCTGTACCCACAACCTAAATAACCGGGCCTGGTAGCTCAGCAGACTAAAAGCACTGTGATTAACACCAGCTGTCTGCAATTACTGTAAGTTCGAATCTCACCAGGCTCAAGGTTGACTCAGCCTTCCATCTTTTCTAAGGTAGGTTAAATCAGGACCCAGTTTGTGGGGGCAATAAGCTGACTTTGTATAAATATACAAAAGTATGAAGGGCTATTGCTTAGCGCATTGTAAGCCGCCCTGAGTCTCCAGAGAAGGGCGGCATATAAATCAAATTAAAAAAATATTGTAATGTCCTTTGCACATTAATTGTGGAGATGATTGTTAGCATCTAATTAGCCTTTTCTTTTATTGTTTTGATTGGTCCCTTAACTCTTTTCCTAGGAACTGATTTCTAATTGTTTGAATTTTCCGTGTTGTGTAACATGTCTTGTATAAGCCATTTATTGGCTGCCCATCTTCCCACAGGGCAATCCTGGGCAGCTTACAATATTATTCTTTTTTAAAAAACCTTCTTCCAGAAGTCTCCCCCATCTTGCTTTGAGTTAACCTTATTTCTTATTTGGGTAGCTTAGTTGGTGGTGGAAATTTTGCCAGTTTCCTTAATTTATTGGGCAATTCGTCATTCATCACTGTCCCTGAGAATCAGAGCTTATTGACACTGATCTGCTGCACAAATAAAGCTTAAGGAAAAGGGCAAAGATAAGTGCAGATTAACAACCTCAAAGCCAACTTTGAGCCTTGGTGGCGCAGCAGACTAAAGTGCTGTTAAGTAGCACCAGCTGCCAGCTAATTACTGCGAGTTCAAATCTCACCAGGCTCAAGGTTGACTCAGCCTTCCATCCTTCTGAGGTAGGTAAAATGAGGACCTGGATTGTGGGGTCAATAAGCTGACTTTGTATAAAAAAGAACACCACTTGGGGGCCCCCCCGAAAAGCCCAACTAAGCAGCTATATACAAAAGTATGACGGCTGTTGCTTAATGCATTGTAAGCTGCCCTGAGTCTCCGGAGAAGGGCGGCATATAAATCGAACCAATAAATAAATAAATAAATAAATCATAGGGGTGGAATGGATTTCAGAAGGCATTAATTGTTTTCTCTGTCAGAAAATTCCTCCTTACTTCTAGGTTGGGTCCATTGCCACTCACTGCTTTCTTCAGAAGCATTTTTCTCTCTTGCCAGGTGTCTATTTTTTTCCTCATGGATTCCCACAACCAAACAGAAGAGATGGAGTTTGTCTTACTGGCATTCTCCATATTCCAAAGCCACCACATCCATTTTTTCTTGGTGTTCCTGGCTGCCTATTTGGTCACCCTGCTGGGCAACTTCATAACCCTGGTCCTCCTGGATTCCCGTCTCCACAGCCCCATGTACTTCTTCCCCAGCCAGCTCTCCTGCTTGGATATTTGTCTTTCTTCTGTGGTGGTACCAAAGATCCTGGTGAACCTCATACGCCAGCAGTACACCATCTCCTACAACCAGTGCCTGGCACAAACCTTCTTCCTGATTGGCTTTGCAGGATGTGAGCCGGCACTGCTGGCCGTCATGGCCTATGACCGCTATGCTGCCATCTGCCAACCTTTGCACTATGCCCACCTGATGAGGGGCAAGTTGTGTATCCAGCTGTCTGTGGCCATTTGGTTCTGGGGCTTCCTGGACTCAGCTATCTACGCTGCTCTGGCTTCCAGGTTGGAGTTTTGTGGAAACCACCAGATTCTTCATATCTGGTGTGATATTCCTCCACTACTGAAAATTGCCTGTTGGCTTTGGGGTTCTTAATCTGCACTTATCTTTGCCCTTTTCCTTAAGCTTTATTTGTGCAGCAGATCAGTGTCAATAAGCTCTGATTCTCAGGGACAGTGGTGAATGATGAATTGCCCAATAAATTAAGGAAACTGGCAAAATTTCCACCACCAACTAAGCTACCCAAATAAGAAATAAATTTAACTCAAAGCAAGATGGGGGAGACTTCTGGAGGAAGTTTGTTTTTTTAAAGAATAATATTGTAAGCTGCCCAGGGTTGCCCTGTGGGAAGATGGGCAGCCAATAAATTTGATATTTGAGAGAAAACAATTAACGGCTTCTGAGATCCATTCCACCCCTATGATTCTAGGTTCTATAACATTTTACTGTAATGTGTATTTTATACATTGATTGTATTAATTTCATACAGATGTGACTGTATCAGTCCTAGATTGAAGTTGAGGGATGTTGCTGGTTTTTGTGTGTTTAAACTGTGCCTATGTGTGCAGTTAATCCCCTAATCATCGGGATTGCTCTTCTTTGCACTTTTTCCAGACTCTCATCTCTTTTTTATAGTGTGGTGACCAAAACTGGATGTAGGATTCTAGATGTGGTCTTACTAAGGCTTTATAGAGTGTATAGTATTAGTACCTGAGAGGCTGTCAGAAAAGAGGGGGCTAACTTATTCTCCGAAGCACCTGAGGCCAGGACAAGAAATAATGGGTTATGGCTGTTTTTTGTGCATTTCAACTGTGCCAATTGTCAACTCTTGAAACGGTTGCAGTTGGCTTTGGGGTTCTTAATCAGCACTTATTTTTGCCCTTTTCCTTAAGCTTTATTTGTGCAGCAGATCAGTGTCAATAAGCTCTGATTCTCAGGGACAGTGATGAATGACGAATTGCCCAATAAATTAAGGAAACTGGCAAAATTTCCACCACCAACTAAGCTACCCAAATAAGAAATAAGGTTAACTCAAAGCAAGATGGGGGAGACTTCTGGAAGAAGTTTGTTTTTTAAAGAATAATATTGTAAGCTGCCCAGGATTGCCCTGTGGGAAGATGGGCAGCCAAAATAAATGAATAAATAAATCAAAATGAATACCTAGCGCAAATTCAGCTGAGACCCTACCCGAACAGATTCAGATTTTCCTAGGAAAGGGGGGGGGCTTCTTTGTCCTTGGCTCAGGGGTCATCTTCCCCAAACCACCTTCTAGTATGTGGGTCCTAATACAATGCTCTTGCCAGCCCACTGAGCTCTAGAATGTGGGTCTGAAGAGATGTCCTTTGAGTGCCCCAGGATAGCCCTCCTTGCAGCTGATGGGGCTGCCACCTGCCATCAGGTCAACAGCTGCACCAACCAACACCCAGAGGAGGTGGGGTCTCCCCTCGGCTGGATGCCTTCAAGGGGGTTGCTACACAGGAGTGTTTCTGTGATGCTTCCCTTTGTCTTCCTGCACCGGTCAAGAGCCACACTGGATGACCTTAAGGTTCCCCTTCTAATTGCAGGTCTCTTTCCCTGACCATGGTAGATGTGGAGACACACTCTATAAGTGGGACAAAATACACTCATTATACACTATAATGTCAGAGTGTGGAAAGAGAGCCTTCAGGGGAGATATAGGAGAATGTATGATGGAAGATGGGGGGGGGTGGCCACTCCCAGGGAAGGGGGGCTCCATCCCTAAGACCGATCTTGTGGTCTGGGTTTAGGCCAGTCCTTGTTCTGAATTGGTCACGCTTGTACGTCCTTTGAAAGGGATGGAGACACCTCTCAACCTTCTCATCTGCCAGGAGTTTGAGCCAGTTGCATTTAAAGAAGTGGTCAAGGAGCTTTTGACTTGGCCTCCTCTGTGCTGGGCCTTTGTCCCTCCTTGCTTTGTGGAGGCCTCCTGGAAGGTGGCATGTGGCTGGATCCAAGAGGGGATTAATGCCTCTTTGTGAGAGTTGAAGAAGATCATCCAGAAGCTACAACTGGTCCAGAATGCAGCATTAGATGCCATGGTTGACTGTTCCAGGTTGGCCCATGTAACCCCTCAGTTGCTCAGCCTCCTGCTTTCCTTTCTGGTGCTACTCAAGGTTCAGTTGTTACCTTAAAGCAGTGTTTCTCAACCTTAGCAGTTTGAAACTGTGTGGACTTCAACTCCCAGAATTCCCCAGCCAACATAGCATAACATAGCTGGCTAGGGAATTCTGGAAGTTGAAGTCCACATATCTTCAAACTGTCAAGGTTGAGAAACACTGCCTTAAAGCCTTATGTGACACAGATCCAGGTTATCGGTGGACAATGTCTCCTTAAGGAACTCCCTCCATCACACGTAGGATGGGCACCTAGTCCTTTCTCTCAAAGATTATTTTTATGGGTTCTAGGAAATGAGTGAGTCTTTTGGGGGGCAGCCCCTGCCCTAAGGAAGCTCCCTTCCCCTTGTAATTAGAATAGAATAGAATAGAATAGAATAGAATAGAATAGAATAGAATAGAATAGAATACAATAGAATAGAATAGAATAGAATAGAATAGAATAGAATAGCGGAGGTAGAAGGGACCTTGGAGGTCTTCTAGTCCAACCCTCTGCTTAGACAGGAAACCCTACACCACTTCAAAAAATGGTTATCCAACATCTTTTTAAAGACTTCCAGTGTTTTACAACTTCTAGTGGCAAGCTGTTCCACTGATTAATTGCTCTAACTGTCAGGAAATTCCTCCTTAATTCTAGGTTGCTTCTATCCTTGATTAGTTTCCATCCATTGCTTCTCATCCTGCCTTCTGGTGCTTTGGAGAATAGCTTGACTCCCTCTTCTTTGGGGCAGCCCCTGAGATATCGGAAGACTGCTATCGTGTCTCCCCTGGTCCTTATTTTCATTAAACTAGACATACCCAATTCCTGCAATTCTGCAAGCCTCTGCCCTCCTGGCCTTCCAAGAAGCACTTAAGAGCAGGATTCGCACCCAAGTGCTGGGAGAAGAGGAGAAGAACAGGGGAAGGACCACATGAGGAATCCTCCATTTGTGCCACGTTTTTAATGGTTATTTCGTAATAGGTATATGTTTTATAATTCATATTGTCATAATCGTTGCCAACACTCCTTTCTCAAGAAAAGTATTTTCCCCCACCCCCAGCAGAATTCCACCCCCTGCCTTGCCTATAAATGCCTCCGTTCCCTTTGCTGGAGGGAAGCCTGGAGTTGCCACTGAGCAGACTTGCTACCTGTGGAGGCAAAGGGACAGGTGAGTTCAGCTCTTCTTCCTGTGGACACTTGACAGGTGAGGCCCCTGCAGCAGATCCCTCCTGCTTCTCTCTCTCCATCTGAGGGGACCTCTTGCAAGGGGCTGCAGGCAAAGTCCAGGTTGCAGCAGGGGAACTGCAGGAGGGTCCCTCAGGCAAGGAGGAAGAGATCTATTGGGGATCTCTAGGGGAGAGAGAGAGGGAGGGAGGGAGGGAGAGAAGGCACCCCTTCCCATTACACAGCAGTGTAGAATCCACTGTGTCCCACCAAGCTTGTTGAATGACCAAGGAGGAAGAAAGGGGGTTCAGCTGGCAAGAGAAAAAGTGCAAAGCAAAGTGTGGGATCCCCAGGTTGGATGTGGGGTCCTCCTTCCTGAACAATCCCTCCCAGCATCCTTGCTCCCCCTTCTTCCCCTCCCCTCTTTGCTCTTCTGCAGGGAAGGAAGGAAGGAAGGAAGGAAGGAAGGAAGGAAGGAAGGAAGGAAGGAAGGAAGGAAGGAAGGAAGGAAGGAAGGAAGGAAGGAAGGAAGGAAGGAAGACCATGGGGCGATTCACCTTCCTCAGCCTGGCCTTGCTGGCCGTGTTCCTCTCCCTGAGTGGTGAGTCCCAGCAGGGTCTCTGGTGTCCGGAGAGACCAAAGCTCTTGCATTTGATCAAGCCTTTCCTGATTAGCCCCTCTCTAGTAGATCCTCTCACTGGAATTGCTTTTATTCCTCTCTGGCTGCTAAGTAAGAGGCTTCAATCACGGCAACGGGAACCAAAGTTTATTCAGCGGAGGTGTTTTGTTATTGCTCTGAGTAACTTCTTCAGTCAAAGGGAACATTTTTTGCAATCTGGAAATGAAGATTAATCTCAGACGATTAACCAACTTCAGTCCAGTTGCTGTGATTTAACCTTTTTACATACTTTTGGCCTGGATGATTGAGTCTTCATTTCCATACAGGACATCCTCTTTGGTTTATTGTGCAATTTAGATCCCACCTTCTCTCTCTGCTCCAAAACACTGGGACTTTTGCAACCATGGAAACAAAGCAGAATTAATACAATTGAAATTCTGAATCATTAATTAACAGTTAAAGTTTAGCGAAAGATCTGTCCTTTTTTATACTTTAAAAAGCTGCTTCGATAGTGAGATGGGTAGCAAATAAATTTATTACACGAAGAAGTAGAGTTGAAAGAAGTAAAAGCCGAGTGGGGTTAGGATCCCTGTCTGTGGGACCCCACAAGAGCGGAGACCCTTTCCCAGGGACCTGAGGGCTGAGGATCCAAAGGGGGCATCTTCAGAAGGAGCCCTCCTGGGCTCGAATAGTTACGGATCATCCAGGAGGCCAGTGCAGAGCCTTCAGGGGAGACCCACTAGATCCCTGTACTTTGCACCAGTCAACGGCCTGGTTCTTGAAGGAATCCATTTTACAGTTTAGCAAAGTTCAGGGAACGATAGACCAACAAAGGCAGAAAGATTCACACAAGACTTGCAGCTTCAAGGAAATTATCCAAGGCCAACCCTAACCAAGCTTTGGGCCATCTGCAGATGCAGCCACTGTGTCTGAGGCCCAAGTCAGTTTCAATTCCCTGCCATCAAAGATGTTACTAATTCAGGAGGTTAAGCCTGTTCTGCAGACCCAGCTGTTTTCTCCTCCTCCTCTTCCTTTTCTCCTGGCCATCTTCTCACTGAGCTTCTTCTCTTCCCATACAGGAGCCGAAGGCTATTGTTGTCCTGTCGATTGGCTCCCCAGGAATGGGCTTTGCTATAAGCTCTTCAGTAAACACAAGACCTGGTTAGATGCAGAGGTTAGAAGGGCTTTTATCTTGGCCCCGGGGGAGGAAAAGTCTAGGCAGACCCTCCAGGTCCCCTCTGGCTGGCCTGAAGTAGAGGGCCCTTAGGCTGGGTGCATGAAAAGGGAGCAAAGATCATGATTTTAGGACAGTCTGAAATGCAAGTATAATGTATTATGGTTTGGGCAGTGTCTGTTGGGCAGTGTAAGGGGCTGGAGGCTAAAACATATGAAGAACGGTTGCAGGAATTGGGTATGACTAGTGTGGTGAAAAGAAGGACCAGGGGAGACATGATAGCAATCTACCAATATCTAAGGGTGTCAGCGTTCCAGCGCTGACATATCAAAGGAGAGGAGAAGCTTGAACTTTTGCCTACTTAATTCCTTTGAAGATTCTGTTTCCTCGGAGATGGGAGGAGGGGGGGGACATTCCTGTGATCTGATGGAGATGGGATGAGGAGAGTGGCTTGGAAGATAGCCAATGAGACGCAGAGAATTGGGGATCAGAAAGGGAGGGCTTGGGGGGCAAAGATCAGTGCTGACCACGAAAGAGACAGGGACAGATCACTATGCTCAATAAAGAGAAAATTTCCTCAAAGATTGGCAGTTTGGAAATTCATTTATTTTGAGATAGCATCAAAACCTGACAAAGGGGCTGCCACAAAGAAGAGGGATGTGTGTATGTCAAACTTTCCCCCAAAGCACACAAAAAGCAATCGATTGAAGCAAATCGAGAGAAGCAACCTAAAGCTAAAGAGAAATTTCCTGACACTGAGAACAAATAATCAGTGGAATGGCTCCTCTTCAGAAGTTGCTCAGGGTGCTCAGTCACTGGAGGTTTTCAAGAAGAGATTGGACAGCCATTATCTGGAATGATCTAGGGTCTCTGCTTGAGCAGCCTAGAAGACCTCCAAGGTCCCGTCCAACTCTCTTAATCTTTATTCTGTGTTGAGCATTAGGGTTGAGTGACCATCTTGTAGACAAGAGATTTCAAGATGTTTCGCTGGCAACTCCGGCTGGCATCTTCAGACTGCCTTGCCTCTGAAGTGATGGGCATCTCAGATTGTAACTGATGAAATGGGAATTTAAGTCGGGAACTGATCAAGAGCTGCAGACTCCAGTGAGGAAATCTGCAGGGTTCAAGATCATGGGTAGGACCATGCAATCTGCTCTTGTCTCACTTGCACAGTACAAACACACCTGTTTCTTCTCTGCTGGACCAATGGCCTTCCTTGTGGTTGCTCTCTCTCCCAGATGTTCTGCAGGAAATACAAGCCAGGCTGCCACCTCGCCTCCATCCATAGCGATGCAGACTCCGCTGACTTGGCCGAGTATATGTCTGACTATCGCATAGGTCAGGGACACGTCTGGATCGGACTGCGGGATACAAAGAAGGTAGGTCCTTTCTATCACTCGTGTTCATAAATCCATACAGGAGTGGCCAAAATTGTGGAAACCTTTTGGGGAAAGCGTATTTTCTAAAACTAGCTAATAATGCCACTTTTTTGGGGGGAGTAGTACCATAAAATTATATATCAATGGAAAAATAATTGAATCAAGAATGTAATGCAATAACTTTTATGAAGGATTGCTATTAGAATAGCAGTTACAGTGTAAAGAAGAAAAATGAAACATGTAGAAAAAGTGAGATATGCAAAAATGATCACCAAGTCTGTTAACCCTTAGTTGGGTAACCTTTAGCATGAATGACGGCCTTACAACGTCTTCCCATGGAGTGAACCAAGTCTTTGAGTTCTGCAGCTGTTATCATGTGAAACCAAGATTGAATGATGGCTTCTATGAACTGGGTTTTATTGCTGGGTTGCTTCTGACTGGCAAGTTTCTTTAGTCAGCTCCATAGATTTTCCATTGGGTGAAGGTCTGGGCTATTCCCAGGCCATTCCAGCAGTGGAATAGGATTCTCTTGATACCCTGGCCCCCTTCTCTCACACTCAGCTGCTCCTTCCATCTGCCGTCTCTTTTTGATCCACTGAATTCTTCTGGTTGGAAGTCTGGTGAGCCGTTAAATTAGGGACTGCAGGGATTCTTCCCTGCTTTTCATTTTGTGCAGTTTTCCTTGTTTCTGTTAGTGGCAGACTTTCATCCTGTGCTCAGTTGTATTTTCAATTCCTGAAAAATGCTGGGTCCTATGCAAAGAAGAGAAATCACCCTGGAATTGGGCTCAATTCCTGGTGACTTTGTGAATAGAAATATTGATTCCTGGCAATAACACAGAAGTAGGTTCTGCCTCCCAGTGGGATTCAAATTTTTTTACTACCAGTTCTGTGGGTGTGGCTTGGTGGGTGTGGCTTGGTGGGCGTGGCAGGGGAAGGATACTGTAAAATGTCTCATTCCCTCCCCACTCCAGGGGAAGGTTATTGTGAAATCACCATTTCCTCCAGATCAGCTGGGACTCGGGAGGCAGAGAATAGATGGGGGCGGGGCCAGTCAGAGGTGGTATTTACTGGTTCTCCGAACTACTCAAAATTTCCACTTCCGGTTCTCCAGAAGTGGTCAGAACCTGCTGAAACCCACCTCTGCTGCCTCCCCCACCCAACACACATACAGGTTTCCAAGATGGTTTCCATTTTTTTAGTGTCTCGGATAGTCCTGGGGTTTTGCTGGTGGTCTCCCACCCAGGGACTCATTGACCTTGACCCTGTTTATTGTTCTGAGATCAATCAATATCTTCCAGGGTTGCCATCATGTTGAGCATGAGGTACGATGGCTCTCAAGCTGAGCTGGTGACTTCATGCACATTTCCAGATAGTTTTCTTCTGGGGAGTTTTTCCCCCTGCATCTCCTGATCGCCCCATCCAAACATTCACCAGGTTTAACTCAGTTTAGCTGTTCCAGATCAACTGAGATGGAGGGAGAGATGGAGAGAGACAGATGTTCTGTTTGGTCTGATCCTTAAAACCTGAAAACTTTCCTCTCTGACCTGGGCCCTGAAGAGCCCCTTCCTCAATTGTCCAACATGGCTTCTTTCTCAACTTAGAACTACGTCTGGGAGTGGACAGACAGATCTAGAACCGACTACCTATCCTGGGCGAAAAATCAGCCCGATCACTTCCAGAACAAAGAGTTCTGCGTTGAGGTTGTGGAGTTTACAGGTAAGCCAAGATGGTGGTGTGATGGTTGAGGTGCAATTCCAACAATGAGGACCCACGGGGTCCATCTTGGAACACTTTACCCCTTGGCAACTCATGGCCATTGTTTGTTTGTTTTTTCTAAAATAGTTCTGTAGCAGTGCAACAGTCAAATTAAAATTATACTAACATGAAGAACATTTAAACCAACCAAAAGCTAGCAGCAAAGTCAGATTTCTGATTTGGAATCAGCCCATCTTGGGGGAAAAGCCTGGCCTTTCACGATTCTACCCAGCCAGTCCAACCACCAGGGAAGTCAAGTAATGTTATCTCACAGAGGTCAAGAATGTTCCTCATGGTGACTTTGCAGCTGGTCATTTGCATCCTTTGAGGGGGTCATTGAAGTACTGAGGACACAGATAACCCTCCAAGTGATTCAATGACCCACCAAAATGATGCAAATGATCAGCTGTCTGCAAGGAGTATAAATCTTTCTATTCCCCACCATCCAGTCAGAGCTGAAGAAGCTTCTTGGATGAGAAGTGAAACATCTTCAAAAGAAAAAACAAGAAAGTCCAGTTGCCTCCTGAAAAAACACCTTTGGGACAACTAGACAGTTTCTTCCCCCATGCCCTCACTCTGCCAAACTCCTAATTCCCACCGTCCTGATTATGCCTAAAGATAAATTTCCCCATGTGGTAAGCTGTATTGCTACAGTATTATCCTTCTCATCTGCTCATCTTTTCTACTGCCTTCTCCTCTTGGTATCTTATGATTTACCTCTTCTTGTTATATATTATGATTAATGATTGTAACTATGATCTATTACATATGACCTATCACTTTCTTCTTTATACTGTATGTTACACTGAGAGATTATGCACCTGGGAACAAATTCCATGTGTGTCCAAACACACTTGGCCAATAAAGAATTCTGTTCTGTTCTGTTCTGTTCTGCTCCGTTCCTCCGTTCTGTTCTGTTCTGTTCTGTTCTGTTCCGTTCCGTTCCGTTCCATTCCATTCTAATAAACTGGAGTTGTATGTGAAAATTATTACAAGCTCCACCTTAGCCTGCTTTTGAAAGGCCACAATTGTTATAGGACATCTGCGTTTTGTGCTTTCTAGCTTAAATCTCTCTCTCTCTATATATATCACTATAAGTATATAAAAAGTCTGCCTCACCACGGTCAGAGGATTTTCAGTCACTCATAAAGTATATAGAAGAGAAATATTGAGACATGGCCCATCCAATTAGAAACCAATCAAAAGAACAGCCTAAAAATTCCAGACTAAATGAACAAAAGAAATTTGAAGTCTAGGTAAGTTACTTGGGTTACAACAACCCACCAAACTCCAGATCCGCTTTAGCAGGTGAGGGTCTCCACCTGTGGTGGCCTCACATCCTCCTGCCAATGAGGGACGATCCCCTTGAAAAGTTCTCAGGGAAACTTTCTCATTTGCTACTCAGGGTATCTCCAGTGGAACGATGACGACTGTGATGCCTTGCGTCCTTTTCTCTGCCAATGCAAATACTAGTGGAAATGGCTCCTTCGGTTGCTCCAGAGGGAGTGAAGCACCTGGTGAAGTCTGGAGAAGGAAGGAAGCCCCCCCTGCCCACTGAAATCTCCGCTCTGCACCCCTTCGCTTCATGGATGCTTTCTGTAGCTTGGATCTGACTTTGCTCCTCTGATGGGCCAGGAGGTCCAATAAATCTCACAGCATGACTGGCCTCCTTTATTCTGCAGAGCCAGGAGACTGTTGGGGGTTAAAGCTGCAGACTCTTCTGCATGGAAGGGCTTGGCCTCAAGGGGTGGTTGGGTGGGGTGTCTCATCAGAAGGACCATCCATTGATTCTACAGTGCTCCCTTGCATGTCCTCTTCGTTTGAGTTAGAGGGTTGAGAATCTGCTGGGCTTCAGCCCCACTTTCCTGCCCCGAAAGCTGATTGCAGGCCCTTCGCTGAGCACGAATGCAGCTGCCTGCTAGAAAGGCTATGGGGGTGGGATGATGTGGGGGGCTCCAGGGAGCTGGGGCTGTGCTAAGATAGTCCTTCGAGGCTGCCAAGGTCTGAAGCTGTTCTGGATGACACCAAAGAGTCTCTGTGTGGGAGGTCACTTCTTGGGTGAAACCTTTTCTGCTTTTCTTCTAATCAAAAAATAGATAAAATCTGCATGGGACCATCCACAATTCATTGTCTTGAAGGTTTAAATCCATCCACAACATAAACACCATCCCTCTCCAAAGATCCTCGGCTCTTCCTCAGTTGCCATTGAGGCCCATCTGACCTGAGGGCCACATTATCTACTTCCACAAGAGACGTTTCACACTGACCATCCATGAGGTTTCCTTGGTCAACTGCAGGAGATGTTTCTCTCTGCCTTCTCCCATCCGTATGAATTGTTGCCTCACTGGAATCACTCAAGCGGCCATCTCCCTCTACCATCTTCCTCCATCTCTACGGCCAAAACAAAGGCAGCTGCTTGGTTTAGCTGGGCATCTGGGATGACCTTCACTCTTGGGTGACCCTGTAAGGAATGCCAACACTCCCAGCATCCTTTGCTCATACTTCCCAGGAACACCCCACCAAAACCAGAACCATAGCAGGACATGATACTCATAGTGAAGTGAAACTTAGCTGGTGACCTTCATTGTGTCATTTAGGATGGTTCAATATAGGGTTGAAGGTCACCTGGAATCACCAGAAATCCCTTCAGTGGGATGGGGAAATGGCTGCTGAATTCTGGGATAGTTAGGAGTGGATCTTCAGTGCCCATCTCAAAATTTACCCATGTAATAAGATCATGATCTTTTGGGAACTGGGATTATTAGAGAGAAGCAATTCATGAGCTGGGTCACCCAGCAGGACTAGAACTCACTGTTTTCTGGTGATTGGCCCAAAGTCACCCAGTTGGCATTTGTGCCAAAGGTGGGACTAGAACTCACTGTCTTCTGGTGATTGGCCCAAAGTCACCCAGTTGGCATTTGTGCCAAAGGCGGGACTAGAACTCACCGTCTCCTGGTGATTGGCCCAAAGTCACCCAGTTGGCATTTGTGCCAAAGGCGGGACTAGAACTCACCGTCTTCTGGTGATTGGCCCAAAGTCACCCAGTTGGCATTTGTGCCAAAGGCGGGACTAGAACTCACCGTCTCCTGGTGATTGGCCCAAAGTCGCCCGGTTGGCTTTCCTGCTTAAGGCGGGGCTAGAACTCACTGTCTCCTGTTTTCTAGCCTGCACTCGCTACATAAACCCAAGAGGGCAAGGCCTGACCCTCCCCAAATGCCCCAGAGCCTTATCTAGTTGTTCCCATGCGAAAGCTGAAGCTGCTCGTCTAGGGATGTTCCTGAGTTCATAGGCAGAGATTTGAAGGGTTAAAACAGCTGTTTGCCCAACATCTCTTCTCCAAGACCCATCCCATCAAAGGGATTTATTCTCCGAATGGAGCCCTCTAAAGTGGCTATTGGGGGATGTGCTTTTGCAGGAGGCCGTGAGCGAGAAGGTTGCCTGGAGGGCCCTTTTCCACGAGGGCTGTAATGCACTATGAAGCGGTATATAAGTCTAGGACGGTGCCACTGCTATTTAGCAAAAGAGCCCATTTGATCTCTTAGGAGGGTCTGCTCACTGCCAAGGGAACAGCTGGATTCTTTTTGGACCGCAACCTTCACTATATAGAGGCATGGCTTCAAGACTTTTGTCTGACGGGGGCAGTCAATTTACTTTCAGGAACTGTTCTAACTTTTGAGGGTCCAGCTCAGCCTGAAATCTGCCCACCACCCTGATGACTCCCACATACCTCCCCAGATGTCAGCTCGGAGGAGGATAGTTGCTCTTCTTTGGACTTTCCCCCCACCAAAGTCTCAACATCTGTTTTGTAATGTGAGCAAAACTGGATGCAAGTATTCCAGATGTGGCCTTACTAAGGGTTTTATAAAGTGGTACCAATACGTCACGTGATCTTGATTCTATGCTTCTGAAATCTGAAACTGGCGCTGGCAGGACCTCAGCCAGTGGATGCTTTCACACCCTGTGCTCATTCTGCGTAAATTCACCTTGTCATCTATGTGTATAGCTTAGGTTGTGGTGCCAACCGTGTGAGTTCCCTTAGCCCATTGCTCAATTGATTGCCGATTCCAGAATCAGAAGTTGGCTGGCACGTATTTGCTGTCAAGTAAAGATGTAATAAAGACCAATGGCATGGTTTAAATGCAGAAAATACCCTTGGATTAACAAATAAAATAATAAGATATAAAATAAGATAAGATAAGATAAGATAAGATAAGATAAGATAAGATAAGATAAGATAAGATAAGATAAGATAAGATAAGATAAGATAAGATAAAATAAAATAAAATAAAATAAAATAAAATAGGAGGAAGGTGAAAAAAGCCACAAGGACTTCCCCACAAAGAGCAAAGTTTGCCTTGGTGGAATTTTATTTTTAAGCAGTCCTGGCAGACATTAATACGCAAACCAAGAAAAAAGTTGATCCACCCAGGTGCCATTCAGACACAAGTAAATGTCAACAATAGTTGAAGCTGTATGAAAGCAATGCAGTCATCACCCACCTGAGACCTTTACACAGCAGTAAAAGATCATAAACCTCAAACAGTTTCAGTCTTTACTCATTGATCGGGGCAACAGATTTCAAAAACTTTGAAATAGTTTGAATTGTATAGCTCAATAAATACCCACTCTCGGGTTTTGGTTGCATTGGTCCTAACACAATGTACTCCTTCATTACTGGTCCAAGAAGCCCCTTCCAGCCCCTTCCATGCCCACAGAACCCACAGGACATCAGACGCTCCCTTTGGCTCTGCTCTCAGGCTGGCCTCCGTGGCAGTGGTGGGATTCAATTTTTTTAATACCGGTTCTGTGGGCGTGGCTTGGTGGGCGTGGCTTGGTGGGCATTGCATGGCATGGCTTGGTGGGCATGGCAGGGGAAGGATACTGTAAAAATCCCCATTTCCTTCCAATCAGCTGGGACTCAGGAGGCAGAGAATCGATGGGGGCGGGGCCAGTCAAAATTTTTACTACTGGTTCTCCGAACTACTCAAAATTTCCTCTACCGGTTCTCCAGAACTGGTCAGAACCTGCTGAAACCCACCTCTGCTCTGTGGGGAGGCAGGGGGGGATTTTCCAGAGCACAGGACCTTCTGTTCGGGAAGCCCAAAAAAGAAATCCCCCCCCCGACTCCATTGAGGTAGGGAAGAGGTACTTTTAGCGAGTTTGAAATGATTGTTAAAGGTGTTCAAGGATCGAGCCCAATAACTCCATCACACAGGTATTCATTTAATCAGAAGTCTTTATTCATAACATGTCTCTTCCTTACAGGTGCTGTACTGGAACTGGCTCTGGACCGCATGGTTGGACCTTAAGTACCACTGGGGCGGGGCTAAGGTAAGGAGGGGTCAATGGGTTAGGGTGGACCCTGGGGATCGATCTCACCAGCCCCCTGTCTCCTGGCCTGGGCATGAGGTCAGGTATTTATATGTGACAATGATAGCAGCAACAGCAAAGCAAGATCTGAGCCAAAAGGCAGGAGAGTTACATGTTGAAAGTTTCCCCAAATCCCTCCTCCCAGGGACCCAGACTGAACGTCCAATCCATGTCCTGTATAGTGTCATGTGAAGTAAATCCTCAGGTATTTTCGTCCATCTGGAGTTCTAGGACGGTTGGCCTGTAAAGAACTCCGCTCAACAGCGCAGTCATTCCAGAGGGCAAACCTCCCTTTTAGTTCCCATGGACCTTCATCACACTAGCTCACTTCCCAAACCGCAATGCCACCCCCCCCGCCCCTTACTATGGCAGCCGATAGTAAGCATGCATCAAAGGGAAAACCCATGGTAAAGATCTCGCTGACAAAAATAAACGGAGCTAGTCATGCCAAGACTGAATTTACTTGAACTTCTGGCCCATCAGGATGAGCAAAATCAGATCCAAGCTACAGAAATCAAGCATTAAGCGAAAGGACGCAGAGCAGAAGTTTTGGAAAGGCTTCCTTGCTTCTCCAGGCTTCATCAGGCGCTTCTGCCACTCCAGAGCAGGAGAAGAAGGAGTTGCACTAGAATCTGCACTGGCAGAGGTATGCACGGGTGGATGCACAATTCTCGTCGTTCCAGTTCTTATAACCTGGGCAGAAAAAGGAGACATTTTGCAGGGATTCCCTCAGAGTCCTAGCAGAGCATTTTCATGGCTCCTCCCTCCTTTGCAGGTGGACCTGAAGGTCCCACAGGTGAAGGACCTCACTGGCTAAAATGGGCTTGTGGTTCAGCCGATTGTTGTAACCAAGGTAGCTAAGAAATCAGAATAAATTACTTGTGAGAGATCTCTACTACTCTCCCTTTATTTCTTTGTCGGTACATATAAACACAACACAGGATACGACAAGCAGGATACGACAAGCAGGCTTTGCCTGTCAAGCTCTGCTCAGCCACAAGGGGGCAGCCAAGGACCTGAGATTTTGGTCCATCGCTTTGGCAGGTCAAAACTGGGTGGAGCATGGATTCCACTGTCATATGACTGTTACATGGACCCTATTTTCCCGATTTGCTAAGGACCTCCCTGGATGATGGGTGTGGGAACTGGTCAACAAAGGCCATCAGTTGCCCACTGTTGGGTGTCCCAAGATGGACGAAATAAGTCCTTCAGGGGTCTTGAGTTTGGGACCTCCACATTCTCCTGGTTCTGCAGAATAAAGGAGGGCAGTCATGCTAGGTAGATTTTATCTGACTTTCTGGCCCATCAGGAGGAGCAGGGTCAGATCCACGCTACAGAAAGCATCCATTAAGGCAGGGGTTCCCAACAGGGGGTGCGAGACGATATTCCAAGGGATGCGAAAACTTGGGTTTAGAAGTTTCAAAATTAAAGCATCTATGTAAAACTCTATGCATATAATTATTTTTTTAAGGGGGGTGAGAATATATCAGAGGGGTTCTAGGAGTGTGAGGTATAGAAAAGTTCGGGACCCCCTGTCTTAAGGGATGGAGTGCAGAGCAGAGAGTTTTGGCAGAGCTTCATTGCTTCTCCAGACTCACCAGGTGCTTCGCTCACCGCAGAGCAGGGAAAGGAGCCATTTGCACTAGAATTTGCACTGGCAGAGGAAAGGATGCAAGGACTCGCAGGGCGTATCGTTCCATTTCTTGTAACCTGGATAGCAAAAGAAAAAGGTTTGCAGTGACTCCCTCAGAGTCCCAGAAGAATATTTCAGTGGCTCCTCCCTCATCTGCAGGGGGACAGGAAGGTACCACAGGTGGAGAACTTCATGTGCGAACGTGGGCTTTGGATTTGGCAGGTTGCTGTAACCAAGATAGCTTACCTAGCCAACAAACCAGGATACGGCAACCAGACTTTGGCTGTCAAGTTCTGCTCAGCCACAAGAGGGCAGCAAAGAGCTTGAGTTTTTGGTCCATCTCTTTGGCAGGTGAAAAGTGGGTGGAGCTTTCCCTGACATGACTGTTACATTGCCCCTCCCCCCTTTTTGTACCCTGTGTGCTGAGGGCTTCCCTGGATAACGGGTGTGGGAACTGGCTTTCAAAGAGGCCCCTCAAGTAGACATCGTAGCTTGCACAGAAGAGCACGGGCATGCTGTGGTTGCAGCTGTGATACCCTGGGCAATTTGTATCATTGTTGGCTGGGACTGTCCTGACTCTCAGCAGGGAACTCTGCTCGTAGCATGGATGCAAGTGAGGCTGGTAGCCTCACCTGCACCGTCTCTCCTTCACTGCAAAGCACATCAGGAAAGCTTACATGCTGAGCCCTCCGTGCGGATACTAAACACTAAAACCGTCTGAGATTCTTCTGGCTGCAATGGGGTAGAGCTTTGGTGTATATTCAAGCAAGAAAAGAAACAACAAAAAGCTAAATGTCCTGTGACAACAATGGCCTTTGGGAAGAAGGTTAAGATGGAGCTTATGTGATGATGGTCCTGTAGTGTTTCCAATCTCACTTGGCCAGTAAGAATCCCTACGCTCAGCTATGCTATTTTCTCCTATCCTTTTCTCTATTATTCTCTATATTCTATCTCATCCGCTGAGAAACCAAGGGATCAACAAAGATCATCAGTTGTCAAGGGGTGAGCATTCCAAGATGGATCACGTGGGTCCCCACCATCTTGCCATACCTGCCGGGCTCCAGAGGTGGACACAGTGCTCTTTGTTGAAGTCGTTGTTGGGCTCTCCTGGATTCCAGGACAAGTAGTTGATGGAGGATCTGTCTGACCACTCCCAGGTGCGTTGCTGGAATGACAGGGGAAACACTTTACCCAACATCAGAGCCCAGGTCAGAGAGGAATGTTTTCAAGGCAGATCAAATATATCATCTCTCTCTCTCCCCCCCCCTCTCTCTCAGAATAGAGCTGGAAGGGACCTTGGAAGTCTTCTAGTCCAACCCCCTGCTCAGGCAGGAAACACTATATCATTTCAGATAAATGGCAGTCCAGTCTCTTCTCAAAAACCTTCAGTGATGAAGCACCCACAACCTCATCACTGAAGCAAGTCGTTCCAGAGTTTGTACATTGTGCTGTACAAGTGAGACAAGAGCAAGGATCAGATTGCATGGTCCTACCCACGATCTCGACTTTGTTGAACCCTGTTCGCTTCCTTGCTGGGGTCCGCAGCTCTTGATCAGTTCTTGACTTAAATTCACATTTCAGCAGCTACAACCTGACATCCCCATCGCTTCAGAGTCTGAATGGTCTGGAGATGCGACCACAGCTGAATGGACCTCACCCTTCAATCAATCAGAATAGAGATGGAGGGGACCTTTGAGGGCTTCTAGGCCAACCCACTGCTCAGGCAGAAGGTTCTAGATCACCCCGGACAAATGGCTGTCCGGTCTCTTCTTAAAAATCTCCAGTGTTGGACATCCACAACTTCTGCTCCACTGGTTAATTGTCCTCACTGTTAGGAGGTTTCTCCTTAATTCCAGGTTGCTTCTCTCGTTGAAGAGTTTCCATCCGTTGCTTCTTGTCTTGCCTTCAGGTGCTTTGGAGAATAGGTTGATCCCCTTGCCTCTGTGGCAGTCCCTCAAATACTGGAATTCTGCTATCGTGTCCCCACTAGTCCTTTTTTTCTCTAGACTAGCCATACCCAAGTCCTGCAACTGTCCTTCTTATGTTTTGGTCTCCAGGCCTTTAATCATTTATCCTCCTCCTCCTCCTCCTCCTCCTCCTCCTCCTCCTCCTCCTCCTCCTCCTCCTCCTCCTCCTCCTCCTTTTCTCTCTCTCTTTCTCTCTCTCTCTCTCTCTCTCTCTCTCTCTCTCTCTCTCTCTCTCTCTCTCTCTCTCACACACACACACACACACACACACACACACACACACACACACACCTTGGCTAAGAAGAGCTTAGCTTAGAGCAGCTGGTGAAACTTGAACATTTGGATAGGTGACAATCATGAGATCCAGGAAAAGAAGACCCCAGAAGAAAACCACCTTTAGATGTCCATGGAGTCACCAACTCAGCTTCAGAGCCGCTGTGCCTGATGCCCAGCCTGGTGGCAGCCCTGGACAATACTGATCAGAGAGATAAATGGGATCTGAACCCATGAATTCTGGGGTGGGAGAGCATCAGCAGAATCCCAGGACTATCGGATATGCTTGGAAGCTGAAAAACATCCTGGGAATTTGGGCGGGGAGGAGGACCTACTTCCGTGTGATTGACAGTAAATAGTCCTTGTATTAGAGAAAGTCACTGGGAAATGAGATGACTTCCAAGGAAGTTTTCCTTTCTTTAACACGGTCAGTATAAGAGCCATGGTGGCGCAGAGGTTAGAATACAGAATTTGCAGGCTAATTCTGCTCCCTGCCAGCAGTTCAATCCTGTCCGGCTCAAGGTTGACTCAGCTTTCCATCCTCCTGAGATTGGTAAAAGGAGGACTCAGTTGGTTGGGGGCAATGTGTTGACTCCATAAACCCCTTAGAGAGGGCTGCAAAATCGCTATGGGGCAGTATAGAAATCTAAATGCTCATGTTAGGATCGAGCATTTTTCAGGCATTGAAAACACAATATATCTCCCTCTCTCCCTCCCTCCCTCCCCCCTCCTACTTCTGTATTGTTGCCAGAAAATGACATTTCTACTCAGGAACTTATCAGGAACTAAACTCAATTTCAGGGAAAGTTCTTTACTTTGTATATATATATATAGAAAATTTGTATGATTATGCATTTTTCAGGAATTGAAAATGCAACAGAGCACAAGATGAAAGCCTGCTGATAACAGAAACCAGCAAAATCTGCACACCCCCAAAAGAGGAAGAAGGAACAATCCTCCCCGGCCAGTCCCTGCAGTCCCTGAGTTAATGGCCCACCAGAGTTTCAAGAAGATTTAGAAGCCACCCAGTGGGCCAAGGAGAAGTCCATGGCAAGAGTTTTTATCAGAGAGATCCCTACCCCCCATTTTTTTTTAAAAAATTTGATTTATACACCGCCCTTCTCCGGAGACTCAGGGCGGCTTACAATGTGCTCAGCAATAGCCTTCATCCTTTTGTATATTTATACAAAGTCAGCTTATTGCCCCCACAAACTGGGTCCTCATTTCACCTACCTTAGAAAGGATGGAAGGCTGAGTCAACCTTGAGCCTTGGCAAGATTCGAACCCTGCAGTAATTGCAAGCAGGGTCTTGCAATTACTTAATAAGCTTAATAACAGGGTGCCTTAAACCCCTGTACTACCAAGGCTCCATTGAACGAGCCTTCCAAAAGCCCCTTGGAAATGGTAAATATGGATCTGGGAACATTATCAGCAGAAAGAGACCTACTTTCCGTGGATCACGCAGTCCAATCCAGACATGGGTTTTCCTTGTGAGATAGTCAGTGATGTACTCGGCCAAGTCAACTCCTTGATCTATGCTGTGGATGGAGGCGAGGTGGCAGCCTGGCTTGTGTTTCCTGCAGGCCATCTGGGAGAAGAACAGAAAAAGACCCTCATTCAGCTGAGAAGCAGACTTGTGGGCATGTGGGAAAGAGCCGAGAGCTGACTGAAGGGTCCTAGCTACCCATCCAGGGGTGGGCTGCTGGGGTTTGCAGGGGTTCGGGAGAACCTCTAGCTAAGATTCTGTGCAGTTCAGAGAAACCCCAAATCCCACTCCTGGCTGACCCTGCCAATCTCTCCGTGTCCCTCCCAGGAGCCCCAATGTGGCCCATTTTGAATGCAGGTAAGTGCAGGGCATCTGTGGAGGCTTGGAGAGGGCAAAAAAATGGAAGTTTGGGAAGGCCGGAAATGGGCCCATTTCCAGCTTCCAGAGGGCCTCCGGAGCCTGAGAGGCCATTTTCACCCTCCCGGAGGCTCAAAGAAAACCTCCAGAGCCCAGGGAGGCCAAACACACACACACACACACACACACTGCTGTGGTTCAGGAGGGCAACTGGCCATGCCCACACAGCAACCAGGCAGAAAACCCCTTGCTAAATTTTTTGAAGCCCATCCCTACACCCATCTTGATTCTGTTGACCCCTGACGATGTCCTTGCTAGAGTCTTCAGCTCTTGAGCAGCTCCTTACGTGTGCACCTGTGGATAAATCGTGAATGTATTCATTGGTTAAAGTCTCAGATCCCCATCACTTCAGAGGCAAGGTGGCCCCAAGATGTCTGTTGAGGCCAGCCAGAGTTGGTGGCAAAACCTCTGGAAGTCTATTGTCTGGACGGCGTTCACTCAACATGCACACTGTCCATGAAAGACTTTATCTGTTTGAAAGCCCATATTTTCCACAGATACTTGCATTTCAGGCTATCCTAAAATCATGCTCTTTACTGATTTTTCACACACCCTTGACTCTGCCTACACTTCTCTGCCTGAACTAGGAAATTCACAAGTACACAAACACTTCTAACCTCTGCATCGTTCCAGTTCTTTATTTCCTCGAAGACCTTGTAGCAAAACCCATTCATGGGGAGCCAATCACGAGGACAAGAACAGCCTTTGACTCCTGTGTGGGAAGAAAGGAAGCTGAATGGGAAGATGGCCAGGAGAAAAGGAGGAGGAGGAGGAGGAGAGGAGGAGGAGGAGGAGACAGCTGGGTCTGCAGAAGAGGCTTTGTCTGCTGAAGTAACAAACATCTTTGATGACAATAAATTGAAAATGATTTGGATTACAGACACAGCAGCTGCATTTGCAGAATATCCAAACTTTCCAATTAGCCTTGATGAATTTCTTTGAAGCTTCAGGTCTTGTGTGAACGTCTCCACTTCTATTGGCCTATCATCCACTGAACTGTGCTACAAAGCCAGTAAATGGATTCCTTCAAGAACCAGGCTGTAGACTGAGGCAAAGTATAGGGCCCACGTGGGTCAGTCCTGGGGGCTCCGCAGTGGCCTCTTGGATGACCCATAACTGCTCGTGGGGCTTATGATTATTTGTGGGGCAGCCCCCTGCGGGGAATGGGAGGCACTCAACGTTGAATGATAAATGCATGAATGTTTTGCCAAGTTTTCAACCAGTGGAACCGCTTGTCACCAGAGGCTGTGACTGCTTCAGTGCTGGAGGTTTTAAGAAGGGATTGGACAGTCATTATCTGAAATGATAGAAGTTCTCCTGCTTGAGAAGGGGGCTGGACTGAAAGACCGCCAAGGTCCCTTCCAGCCAGAGGTGGGCTGCTGCCAATTCGGGCTGGTTTGGGTGAACTGGTTGTTATGGTTCTACGCAGTTCGGCGAACCACAAAATCCCACCACTAGGTGGCCCCACCCATCCCACCCCGCCCCACCCCACCCCCACCCTGCCCTATCTCACCTTGTGAACCTCCCTGAGCCGGTCGGACTTAGCAACAATTATCCTTAGTTTGGTTGTAATCCATCCAGACCGCTGCAATGTGCTTTCTGTGGGGCTGCCCTTGAAAGCCTCCTGAGATGGGAATTCCTGCAGAAGGCAGCAGCCAGGCGGGTCCAAAGCAGGGGGATCAGGTGGTTCTGTCCTAAAGGGTCTCCACTGGACCCCTGGATGCCCCAAAAGTGCTGAACTATAACAGGATGACAGCTGAGTGTATTGGGGTCTGTCCCCCTGCCGCCCCCTGCCCAGGAGAGGCCCTTCTGAAGATGCCCTTGCTAGAGGCTCAGCTCTTAGCTCCCTGGGAATGGCTCCAAGGCCTTCCGTGCGTCCCTCGGAGAGCAATGGTGGGGTAGAGAGCGGCACTCTACTGTTAATTTTTTTTAAACATTTTACTGATTTATGTAATAAATTTACACTATTGAACTGACTTCTTCATGAGAAAAGGACACGTCTTTCATTAAACCTTTAACTATTCATTAGGTTCCCAAGTCTGAATTTCGATTGTGTTCGTTTTCCTTCATTTTCTATTAGTCTGTCGAGATTCTCAGCCATGGTTGTCCCAAAGGGGCTTTTTCAGGAGGCAACTGGACTTTCTTGGTTTTTTCTTCTGGGGAAAAAAAGCACCTTTGGGACCACCATGACTGGGATGACTGAGAATCTCTGCAGAATTTTGGCTGTATAATTTGGGACGGAGAACCTTTGAATGGTGTGGGAGTAGGAACGGATTTCCAGAGGAAAAATTGAAGGCTACAGGAACCATTAGCACTACTCAGGTGAGGAGGACACAGAGAAACCTTCCAAGTCCTTCAAGGACCCTCTAAAAGGATGCAAATGACCAGCTGTCTGCAAGGAATATAAATTCATTTTCTAGGATGGCAAAAGTCCCGAGTCTTGGAGCAGAGAGAGAAGGTGGGGTCTAAATTGCACAGAAAGGCAAAGAGGGATAAAAGCAACTTCAGGGAGAGGAAGGATGCTGGGAGGCTCAAATCAGGAAGGGATTCAGAGGCAAGAGAATTGGCCTCTCCGGACACGAGAGACCCTGTTCAAACTCACCATGTATGGAGAAAGCCACGACCAGCAAGCCGAGGGTCACAAAGATGAATCGCCCCATGGTCCCCCTTCCTTCCCTGCAGAGAGGATCGGGGAGGAAAGGAGAGTGAGATGGGTGGGAAGTCCAGCCTGTGACCAAGCTGGGGATCCCACACTTTGCACTCTTTCACTGGACCCCGTTTCTCCCTCCTTGGTCATCCAGCAGCCTTGGTGGGTCACAATGGATCCTGCATTGCCTGGAAAGGATCTCCCTTGCATCTCTTTCTCTTCCCAAGAAAACCCTTGCTCCCTGCCTCCTGCAGACCCCCTGCTGCAACCTGGACGTTGCCAGTAGCCCCCTGCAAGAGGTCCCTTCAGATGGAGAGAGAGATCTGCTGCAGGGGCCTCACCTGCCAGGTGTCCACAGGTGGGAGAGCCACAACTCACCTGTCCCTTTGCTTCCTTGGGTAGCAAGTCTTCTCAGTGGCAACTCCAGGCTTCCTTCCAGCAACAGGAATGGAGACATTTATAGGCAAAACAAGAGATGGGTTGGTCTTTCTAGGGGGGTCAAAGGGGAAGGAAATTTTGCTTCAGAATGGACTTTTTTCCCCAGGAAAGAACTCGTTTGCACTAAAGATTTAGCAATAGATTAAAAACACCAACGTTGACTTCCTGGCAATGACTTGGACTTAGACATTTACCAGCTGGATACCCATCCTTCACTACGAAACCTGTGGCTGGGCGTGATCAATGGAACTAACCAGTTCTGGAATAACACCTGGGTAGATTCCACCATGGATGTCCCTCTCATTGTCATCATCACCAACAAAGGATGCCTGGAGAAATGAAGGCTGCTGATGAGCCCCCCCCCAATCCCCCCCCATGATACCCCCTATCCTGTGGTAGACCTGCCCCTGCACTCTGAGTGTTTTGGGCATATTTAGTGGTAGGTGGCCTGATTAATGTAGGGGTTATTATATGCATACTTTTCTGCAGCCTCTCTATTGATTTCGGGATGACTTCAATGATACTTTTTTGCAGCTTCCATTACTTGTGCTTTCCTAATCACATCTATAAATCTTTTCCTGTGTTTTTTCCCTGAATACCCGTGCTCCACTACAAAACTATGTTATCGGGCTTGATAAATTGACACTTAGAGTTTGAAAATTAATGAGTAGTTAGGATCGTCCTCTCATCTCTCCTTCTCTCCCTCAGTCTAGCTCCACAGAAGTCTCTCCTATCCCCTTCTCTCCTTCAGGCTGGCCCGACAAAAGCCTCTCCTCTCTTCTCTCTCAGGCTGGCCCCATAGATCCTCTCCTCTCCCCTTCTCTCCCTCAGCCTCACCCCACAGAAGCCCATCCTATGCTATTCCCTTCTCTCCAGTTATTTTCAAGTTGGGAGGGGGAGTAGAACCTCTTACTAATTAGCATCAGAGTGTCTTATAATAATATTGGAAATACTAATGCTCTGATGGTCATTTTGAAAACTCCTTTCTTACTGAGCACCTAGAAGCCAAGAGGAATGTCTGTGCCAAGTTTCAAGTTTGTAGGCTTTACCGTTCTGGAGATTTAGTGATGAGGGAGTGGATTTCGCTTTCAGATATATATATAGATTTATTTTCTCTGAAGCTTGCAGATAGCTGCCCACCTCGTGTTGAATCCTCAGTCAAAAGTTAAACAACACCAAACATGCATCATTGAAAACCACAAACCTTCACAACCGGGCACCCAAGTGAACTTCCACATGCAGCCCCTCCTTCCATCCGCTCTCCCGCCCCATCCTAGCCCATCGCCTGGGGAAGAAGACAGGTTTAAGAGCTTCTCTGATGGTGAGGAGGGCAGAGGCCTGCAGGAGCCCAAGGGGAAGGTTGGTCCACAGGGCAGAGGTGCCACCAGAGAGGCTCACTTCCAAGGTCCCATCAGATGCCATATTTAAGGGAAGAGACTCCCAGTTTGCCCACAGAACTGTAGGATGGGTGGTCCACAGGTAACCTGGCCCCCTGCCCTCTGATGCTTGAAAGGTAATAACCAGCACCTTGAGTTGGGCCTGGAAGGAAACCAGAAACCAGGGTCACGTGGGGGTCATCCAATCAGAGCACAGCCAAGCCCCTAATCAATCAGAACACACCTCCACCCAATCAGAACACAGCCAAGTTCCCACCCAATCAGCTCACACCCCCACTAGCAGTTAAAAGGAAGAGACAGCTGCGATCTCACATTGCTCCTGGAAGCACGAAGCCGAGAACACCAGCCTGAAGATGACGAATGAGACTTCGTCGAAACGTCACCAAGACACTTCCAATTTTACGTGGGAGAAGACCCGAATAACCAAAGACCTACATACAAACACCTGCGAAAACCTGAGAAAACATACATACATACATACATACATACATACATACATACATACATATATATATATATATATATATATATATATATATATATATATATATAATGATAGTGTGTAAAATTGAATGGAATGGAATTGATTGTGATATGTTTGGCTGGCCAGCAAATTAAGTAAACTTGTGCTTGAATAATTGTAATGATTGGTTTGCATAAAGTGAGATTTTTGCTTGTGAGATTGGTGTGTTGTAGGAAAAACAGACCAGGCCAAGCTCTTCAATGCAGGAAAGGGTTTATTGCGCAAGGTTCAAACAGTCCAAAAGGTCTGAACGCCGATGGCTTCTTCTGGCCATGTATTTATACAGTTTAAAGGCAAAATTATTACAGAGAGTGATGCATTTCACACGTAGAAGCTGCCCTTTCATCTATCTCTGGGAAAGGAAATAACAATCTTCTTCTCACATACTCAGGTTCTCTGCTGCGGCGCTCAAGACAAAAGGAGATCAGACGCTAGGAGACGCCTCAAGGGCAATAAGGAAGCAGCACCCCTTATCCAGGGATATGCATGACATTTGGGATGCAATAAACATTAAACAACAGAATGTATCTGTTTAGGGTCAGTTTGCCCTTTTACGATTCTGTACCTACGTCAAATACCGTTTGTCATCTCAGCACCTTGGCACGGAAGAGGCACTTCTGTCTTGACCAAAGATTTGGATTTCTAATATTTGAGTTTTATCCCAATATCGAATCTTAGCCTGGCTCAGGTGTACGCAAGCAGTTTGATTGCAGCGCGAATGTGTGTTGAGTGTAAAAGTTGCTGTGAAGGCACTTTAATTCCCCTTCATATAATTTGTGGGAAATGTCTGTGAATTATGGAGGTTAGAGAGAAATGCAGAACGTGTTGCTTTGTTGGAAGAATGCTGAATGAAGCAGGAAGTGAGGCTTGGTTGCCTGCTGTAAAACGTTTTTTCCCTCTCCGCCCCCCTTCCTTTGGAGGAGAGAAGCAGGGGGTTTTCAGCTGACAGCATCTCTCTCTGCTGAAAGAGCAGAGAAAGGAGGGGGAAGTGTGTGACCGACTAATGCGGTTTTGCTGCTGGTCTCTTTAATTTGCATATGAAAACTTTTCTGCTCTGAATACAATTTTGATTTTATTTTTTTCTGGAAATTTTTGAGGCTTAAAACTGGGATTATACTGTATACACAACGGTTTATACCTGAGAACCACAAGGCCACATGACTTTCTGGAATTTGCCATTCTGCCAGGGCACCAGGGACAGTTGCTCGCCCCTTCCACCTAACTCTCACAACATTATTGTTTTTATATCAGTGACCAACTTAAGTTCCTCTTTTCCCATGGTCTTACCTCGCCACATTGTTCCAGCGAAGTAGCTGTCTTGTTTACAAGGCCTAATTTCCACATACTCAGGGGCACAAGCTCATCATCACTGATTTTTTGCACAATTTAATCCATGCTGATCTGTGTGCTTACCTGAGACCCCCCCAGATCCCCACAAATGTTTACCCGTTGATTATAATACATGATAAATGGAATATGGATCCTTTATTATTCTTTTAAGGCATATTCATATCAAAGCTGGACCCAGCCCAGGTTCCCTGAGTATCCGTATCTGAAGGAGCTGGGTAGGAGGAGAAAGCTGGGTAGCAAAGCAGAAAGGTACAGACCCCTTTTTATAAGCTTCCACAATGATCATGACCTTATCCATCCATTCGGGTTTTACCCCTGGCGATTCTGTGGCCCAGAGCATCTTCTGGTCTTGCCCTGCTTCTTTGAGTTGCTCTGTGCTCTGGCCGGGGTCAGCTTTTTTTTTTTTGAAAAAGTTTTTATTTTATTTTATACACAAACAAACATTTAATACATCAATCATTCCTTCCATGCAACATCTCAGTGTTTTCTCCATGACTTCATCTTTTGGTTGTTTCTTCTGTCTTCATTATCACCCAATCTATTACAACATATCTCCAAAAGTACAATATTCTAATTATACCATTTTTTCCCATAGCTATTGATTTACTTATCTATATCTCTTTTCTAACCAATGATAAAATTGATCCCATATCTTAAAGTATTCTGAATCCTCCCTTTCTTTAATCATCAAACTTAATCTATTCATTTCTGGATGGTCTAAACTTTTTTTAATTACTTCTCCTTCCAAAGGTATTTTCTCTGCTTTCCAATTTTGTGCAAAAACAATCCTTCCAGTTGTTATTACATGTATAATCAAATAAATGTTTTCTTTACATTTTTTTTTTTCTGGGAGGATACCCAGTAGGAACAGTTCTGGTTTTAAATCAATACGTTGTGTCATTTCTTCCAGCCATGTCTTGATTTTATTCCAATAGTTTTTAGCTTCTGAACATGTCCACCACATATGGTAATAAGATCCTGGTAACTGGTGACATTTCCAACATTTAGCTGATTTATCTTTAAACATTTTTGCCAGTTTCTCAGGGGGCATGTGACATCTGTAAAACATTTTATCTTGATTTTCTTTATATGCAGTGGACATTGTTAGTTTGTAATTCCTTTCCCATAACTGTTGCCATTTATCTAAATTGAGTATCCAAAATTCTTTGCCCAAGCTATCATTGTTTCCTCGACTTGTTCTTCCTCTAACACAACACCAAGTAAAAAAAATTATAAATTTTTAAAATTAATTTGTCCTCTGTTCCTGTGAACAGTCCTGTCCAACTCTAAGTGAACACCATGTAATTTAATTTTGTATTTGCATGTACATATACCATCCATCTCAATCCCTTGTTCTTCCAGTTCTCGTTTCCCCTTCAATTCCCCCTTATCTGTTAATAACTCCTTGTATCTAACAATATTTCTAAAACTGAAAATATTTGGGTGTATTAAAGCTTCCATTGTTGATAACCATATTGGTATTTTCACATACAGTAGTATTTGTCTCTAACCTTCTCCCGTGCCAATAACAATGAATTCCTTATGTAATGTCTATGAAAGTACTTGTGTATCTTACTTCTACCATACCATAAGAATGCATGCCACTCCAACTGTAAGTCGTGATCTTCCAATGTTAATAGTCTTGTATTTCTTAATTCAACCCATTCCTTCATCCAAGTCAATGCTGCTGCCTGGTAATATAATTCCCAATTCAGCAGTCTAAATCCTCCACGTAATCTCGTGTCCTGTAACATTTTTGTACTTATTCTTGCTTTTTTCCCTTGCCACATAAATTTCCTTGTTATCTTATTAAGATGTTGAAAGTAAGTCTTTTCAATTTTTATCAGTACTGTCTGGAATAGAAATAATAGTCTTGGTAATATATTCATCTTTATTATTGCAACCCTTCCCATAAATGACAGTTGAAGATTTTTCCATTTCTCCAAGTCTTTCTCAATTTGTTCTTTTAATTTTAATAATTATCCTCATTTATTGTTGCACATCTTGACATTAAATATACTCCCAAGTCCATCTTGTTTTTCTCTTTTGTCCTTTCCATATTATTGTCATTGGGTTATGATCCGCCCAAATGTTTGAACCAATATTTACTTCTTGTATATTATCTATAAATTCAGTTGACATCCATATCATATCTATCCTTGATCACAATAAATGTCTATTTGAATAAAAAGTGAATTGTTTTTCTTTCAAATGTTTTTGTCTCCAAATATCTTGAATACTCAGTTCTTCTATCATTGTGAAGAAGGATTTTGGCAATATTTTTCTAGATTTTTTGTTTTTTTCATTGTTTTATAGTCCAAATCCACATCTATCCCTGCATTAAAATCACCCATTATACATATGTATTAATAGTCCAATTCTAGAATTTTCCTCTGTAATCTCCCATAGAATTCTTCTTGTTTTTCTTTTGGTGCATATACCGCTATCAAGAGTATTTTTTGTTTCCACCATCAAAATCCTGCCTTCTTCAGCCAGTGTTATCATCTGCAAATTTGGTCAGTTCCCCTTCTATAGCCTCATTTAAGTCATTTATGAAGATATTGAAGAGTACTGGGCCTAAGACGGAACCTTGTGGCACCCCACTGCTTACTTCTCTCCATGTAGACTTAGACCCATTAAGGACTACTCGTTGAGTACCGTTTGTCAGCCAGTTGCAAATCCATCTGGTGGTGAAGCTATCTATCCCACTTTTTCCTAGCTTACGAAGAAGTAGGTTGTGGTCTACTTTGTCGAATGCCTTGCTGAAGTCTAAGTATATTATGTCGATAGTATTTCGCTGGTCTACTAATTTGGTCGCTATGTTGAAGAATGAAATAAGATTGGTTTGGCTTGATCCCATGGTCTTATCCCACCACATTGTTCCAGTGAAGTAGTTGTTTTGCTTGCAAGGCATAATTTCCACATACACAATACAATTTCCACATACACAGCACAATTTCCACATACTCACGGGCACAAGCTGATCACTGATTTCTTTGTACAATTTAATCCATGCTGATCTGCTGGTCCTGGGACCCCCCCCACCCCCGAGATCCTCACAAATGTTTACCTTTTGATGATAGATACATGATATGAATCCTTTATTATTCTTTTGAACGCCATATGATGGATTGGTTTTCATACACGCAAATACTCTCTAGATATCGAGAAGATCTTAAACTAGGTTACTATAATGTATTGACTAATTGAGACAAGATTTTGGTGGGTTCTGATGATCACAGCACAATTACCACACACACAGCAAAATTTCCACATATGCAACACAATTTCCACATACTCAGGGGCACTAGCTCATCACTGATTTTTTGTACAATTTAACCCATGCTGATCTGTGTGCTGGGCCTGCAACCCACCCCCAGATCCTCACAAATGTTTACCTTTTGATGATAGATACATGATATGAATCCTTTATTATTCTTTTGAGCGCCATATGCAGGCATATTCATATCAATGCTGGACCCAGCCCATTTTCCCTGAGTATCCGTATGTGAAGGAGCTGGGTAGGAGGGGCATCCATAGCATAGCAGAAAGGTACAGACCCCATTTTATAAGCTTCCCACAATGATCAAGATCTTATCCATCCATTCGGGTTTGACCTCTGGAATTCTGTGGCCCAGAGCATCTTCTGGTCTTGCACTGCTTCTTTGAGTTGCTCTGTGCTCTGGCCGGGGTCAGCTTTGGTAATGCCCGGCCACCCTGTGCTTTGGCATCCTGGTTCCCTCTCACTGCTCCTTCTTCTCCACCCATGGCATAGGATCGCTCCTTGGCCAGCGTCCGGAGTATTGTCCCATCCTCTCCATGACCGGTTTTCTTTGCTCCCTTCTGGGAGGAGCCTTCGTGCTACCCGAAGCAGAACAATGGATTCTGTCACAGCTTTAGTCCATATAGGTGGGGTGTGGAACTCAAGGCCTGCAGGCTGATTATAACCTGCGGGGTACTCGCTGGGCCACCCTGGAAACAGCAGAGGACCAGTCAATGGTGCCTCTGCCAGGAAAATGGAGCTCGGGATGGCCACACGCAGCCCCACCCCAAGCTCCATTTTCGCTGGTAGGGGGTTGCAGGAAGCAGCCAATAATGGAGCTCGGGAGCATTTTCGCTAGTAGTTCACTCAGGCCCCTGACATGAGTGACATTGAGCTGGCCACGCCTACCCTGTCCACCCCCCTCCCCGTGCCCCAAGGTCAAACACAACCCTGATGTGGCCCTCAACGAAATTGAGTTTAACCCCCTTCTCCCCTTCCCTTCCCTTCCCTTCCCTTCCCTTCCCTCCTCCCTCCCCTCTCCTCTCCTCTCCTCCTCTCCTCTCCTCTCCTCTCCTCTCCTCTCCTCTCCTCCCCATCCCATCCCATCCCATCTCATCTCATCTCATCTTTGCTTTCTCCAGTAAATTCTACCACATGACATGATCAAAATAAGTGAGTTCAGTTCCAAGTGGCGAGGAAGACACTGGAAACAGGGAGGCTGTTTGGAAAGATAGTTCAATGGTGGACAGGATCACAAGGGGTTTTTGGGTCCCAGGCAAAAATGATCACATGTAAGAGGGAGAGAGAGAGATCTGCTTCTGGCGCCCACCTGAGACCTTCCAGTTCCTGTGTAAGGGCAGGTATTCTGATTGGTTGTCAGACTCCCATGGGGCCATGCAGGGATATCTTTGTAGGTTGTCTTGAGTCCCAGGCTTGGTTGAATCTTGCTGGGTGATGATGTCATGAAGAGGGTTGTGTTCTGAAAGGGTGTTGGGCAATTCCTATTATGGCTTAATGCTTTGTCCTGGTTTGGATCTTGAGTGAGGACTAATCCTATCATGTCCTGAGGGTGAAAGTCTTTTGTCTTGTAGATAGACTGGTCCAGTCTTTCTGGGGCTATTAACAAAGGTGGGGGGGGCTGCTTTCCAAGAACATGTTTCTCCTTTTCTCATCCAGGGAGGTATAATATTCAGCCTTTTTAATATTTCCTAGAATATTTCATTCTCATAGGAGAAGAGTGGGTGCTACATATCTTTTAAAGGTCCTGTTCAGTCCGACAACCCCCCCCCCCACTGACTCTGCCAAAAATGGTCAGGCTGAGAAAGCCAACCAGATGCTGCAGTAGAATATGAGATGTTACTGCACCTGCTTTCTTAGGTCCTCTGAGAAGCTTCGTGCAAACTTTGTGGGACCTTCTAAAGTCAAGATGTGTTGAGTACCAAATTTGATGAGTTTCAGAGCAGTCGAGTACCAAGGTACCCACTATATCTCACAAGAGACCTGCAGACCTCCGTAGATAGCAAGGGCCACCAATGGCTGAAGGGGACAAAGTGTGATTTTCTACCAATTTCCTGGTTTCTACTAGACTCTCTAAGAAGCCTGATGCAAAGTTTGTGGGGCCTTTTAGGGTCCTGGAGCAGATGAATGGTGTGGCCTTTTTGTTGCAATTGCCACCTTCCCTGATGGATCCTCCCAGTTTTTCATCAATTATTACTGGTCAGAAAAGCCCCTTCCAGCCCTTTATGCTCACAAAACCCATAAGACATGAAACGATCCCTCTGGCTCTGCCAAAAATAAACGGAGCTAGTCATGCCAAGACTGAATTTACTTGAACTTCTGGCCCATCAGGATGAGCAAAATCAGATCCAAGCTACAGAAATCAAGCATTAAGCGAAAGGACGCAGAGCAGAGGTTTTGGAAAGGCTTCCTTGCTTCTCCAGGCTTCATCAGGCGCTTCTGCCACTCCAGAGCAGGAGAAGAAGGAGTTGCACTAGAATTTGCACTGGCAGAGGTACGCACGGGTGGACGCACAATTCTCGTCATTCCAGTTCTTATAACCTGGGCAGAAAAAGGAGACATTTTGCAGGGATTCCCTCAGAGTCCTAGCAGAGCATTTTCATGGCTCCTCCCTCCTTTGCAGGTGGACCTGAAGGTCCCACAGGTGAAGGACCTCACGGGCTAAAATGGGCTTGTGGTTCAGCCGATTGTTGTAACCAAGGTAGCCAAGAAATCAGGATAAATGGCTTGAAAGAGATCTCTACTACTCTCCCTTTATTCCTTTGTCATTAAATATAAACACAACACGTCTTCCTTAGGTCCCCCATGACTTCTTCAGACGTTAGACCAGTTTTCAGGAAAATGGTTATTCTGTATTCTAATAATTATCCCTTGTGGATTAAGTTTTAGGGTTGTGATTGTGATTGATTTTTAATTAACTTAGGCAGGTGCTAATTTTTCCCTTGTATACAGTTGCCAAAGAGTGACTGTTCCAAGAAGGCTCAAAGCCTCACTCTTTGAAGCGCATCCTCGGTGTCAGCTTTGGAAGACATATTAGGCCGGAAGCTTCCATGCTGCCACCTTCTCATGTGTGGGAAAGTAGGAGGTGGGATTTAGTAGAGGGAATGTAGCATTCTTCCTGTCGGTCAAGGTCAGGCCGATCCTGCATCTGGAGAAGGACTGGTGGGAGTGCTGTCTCGAGATAGGACGGACGGTGATTGGAGCATGTGATCGACTGAGGAGTGAGGGGATGTTTTGGGGTTTTTTGATTTACTGAGGGAAAATATGGACCTCTCAGATTCGGGTTTTCCCAGATGTGCCAGTTTACCTATTCTAGTAAATAGAACTTTGAAAAATGCTTGCTTCAAAGTTTTTATTTGGAGTTGGGTTTTTTCCTGGAATGCTGACACTCGACTCCCTTCTCTCCACCTTGGCTTACCTGATGGGCTCCAAAGTTCAACACAATTTTCATTGTTCCCTCGGTTGTTGGGCTCTCCTTGTTTCCACATTAGGGAGCTGTTACTGGATCTGTCTGTCCACTCCCAACTGCGTTTCTGTAATGACAGGGAAGCCACATTAATCAACTGAGGAGGGGACTTTGATGCTGCTAGAGGCTCTCTCTTCATCCCTCTCTCCCGCTCTCTTTCTTTATCTATCTAGTTGATCTGGAACAACTAAGCAGGGTTAAAGCTGATGAACTCTTGGATAGGCGATGATCCAAGAAAAAACTTCTCAGAAGAAATTAATGAATAAAAATTAATGATTTTTTGGATGGGAGACCAACAGCAAAACACTTGGAAAATGAATTGATGATGATGATAATGATGAGACAAAAACATTTGAAGAATGGTTGCAGGAACTGGGTCTGGCTATCCTAGAGAAAAGAAGGACTGATGTCGGGGGGGGGGGGACATGATAGCAGCATTCCAGTATTTGAGGGGCTGCCACAAGGAGGAGGGGGTCCACTTATTTTCCAAAGCACCTGAGGGCAGGACAAGAAACAATGGATGGAAACTGATCAAGGAGAGAAGCAACCTGAAACTAAAGAGACATTTCCTCACAGTGAGGACAATCAACCAGTGGAACAGAAGTTGTGGGTGCTCCATCCCTGGAGCTTCGTAAGAAGAGATTGGACGGCCATTTGTCTGAAAGGTTTTACAGTCTCCTGCTTGAGCAGAGGGTTGGACTAGAAGATCTCCATGGTCCCTCCCAGCTCTATTCTACTCTGATTCCTATTGGAGGATCCTTCAAAAAAAAAAAACCCTCCTTAGAAACCGTACAAATGAATTGACGAATGTTAGCAATAGAAAGGGACCTACTTTCTGTGGGTCATTCAGTCCAATCCAAACATGTCCACCACTTTTGAGATAGTCGGAGACATATTCGGCCACTTCAAGTGACTCATCAATGCCATGGATGGAGGCGAGGTGGCAGCCTGGCTTGTATTTCCTGCAGAACATCTGGGAGAGAGGGACAAGGGAGAAAAGCACTTGTTAAGGAGACAAGCAAATTTGTGTGTGTGTGTGTGTGTTAGTTTGTAAAAGTGAGAGAAGAGCCAGGGAATCTGATTGCATGGTCCTAGACACTGTCTTGATTGTGTTGACTCCCTTCAGATGCCCCTGCTAGATTCTGCAGCTCTTGAACATTTCTAGATTCAGGAGATAAACTCTCTGATCCCATCACTTCAGAGGCAAGGAGGTCTGAAGATGCCACCAGGGTTGCCAGGGAAACATCAGGAAATCTGTTGTCTGGATTATGGTCACTCAGCCCTGCCCAACAGATGCCGGCCATGAAAGCCCAGACCAGTATATCGTCCAGAGAATACTTGTGTTTCAGACCGTCCTAAGATAACTGTCCTTGCTACCATGTTTCCCTGAAAATAAGACCTAACATGGTTTTTATGTGTGCGCCTAATATAAACTCTACCCACCCACCCCCAAAATAAGCCCTACTTAGGAACCTGCACAGCCAGCCACTTGCCCATTCCATCTGGTTGCTCGCGGTGCCTCGGTGGTGATGGTGGATCTGCCCCATGTGTCCCACACCAGCCTACCTCAGGACCCCCACAGCCAGGCCATCCGCACCCTGATACCCCTCTTGTGGTGGCAGCACCAGCAGCTGTGTGCAGCAGGAGCCTGTGTGTCTGCCAGTCCACTTCTTCTGCGCACACAGCCTAGTGGCCCTGCACTTCAGCCCAACCAGAGGGACTTGGGGGCTGTTCAAGGCTCTGCCTAGGCTTCTCCTCTTCCTAAACTAGGAGATTCACAGATACTCAGCACTTCTAACCTCAGCATCTTTCCAGTTCTTGTGCTCATCGAAGACCTTGTAGCAAACCTGATTCATGGGGAACCAATCACGAGGACAAAAACAGCCTTTGGTTCCTGTGTGGGAAGAGAAGAAGCTCAGTTAGAAGATGGCCAAGAGAAAAGGAGGAGGAGGAGGAGGAGGAGGAGGAGGGGGGGAGGAGGGGGAGATGGAGACAGAGCTGGGTCTGCAGACCATTCTGAATCTGCTGAGTTGCAAACATCTTTGAGAGCAATAAATCGAAACTGACTTTCAGATGCATTTGCAGAAGGTCCAAAACTTGGTTAGGGTTAGCCTTGGTCAATTTTCTGGAAGCTGCATGTCTGGTGTGAATCAATCCACTTGAGTTGGTTTATTATTCAGTGAACCATGCAAAACCAGAAAATGGGTTCCTTCAAGAACCAAATTAACCCGGTTTAACTTTTGCACACTTGGAAGTCTGGTGCCAAATGTGAACCTCCCTGAGCCGGTCGGACTTAGCAACAATTATCCTTAGTTTGGTTGTAATCCATCCAGACCGCTGCAATGTGCTTTCTGTGGGGCTGCCCTTGAAAGCCTCCTGAGATGGGAATTCCTGCAGAAGGCAGCAGCCAGGCGGGTCCAAAGCAGGTGAAGAATGAAGAACTGTACAAAAGAGATGGATTGCATCCATCAAAGAAAGGGACTGGGTTACTTGGCATTAAATTCACAGATTTCCTGGATAAACATTTAAACACCAAAAATTACTGGAAAATCAAAGATTGGGAAGACTATATGCATCTTTAGGAGACCAAAAAAAGAGAGGAGTCGCAATATATGTAAAGAAACCCTTAAAAACAAAACAAATATATGCAGACACAGAAGGACGCATTTTAATAATAGAAATACAAACAGAATCCAAAACAATATTATTAATATCTATATATGCACCTAACGGAAATCAGAGCAACTTTTTCAAGAAGCTACATAATATAATTAAAGACCTGGAATACGAAACTATCTGCATGGTAGGAGACTTCAATGCAATCATGGACATAGAAAAAGATTACCGGAGTAACAAACAAAGTAAAACCAAAAAGAAAATACTACCGGATCCCTTCAAAGACATTGGGCGCTCTCTAACAAAATGAAATTCAATGGTGAAAAAAGGAAGGTTCTACGTTTAGGGAAGAAAAACAAAACGCAGAGGTACATATATGTGGTACCTCACTCAATAAAAGTAACTGTGAAAGGGATCTTTGAGTCCTAATGGAAAACTATTTAGATATGAGCCAGCCGTGTGCAGCAGCTGCCAAAAAAGCCAACACAGTTCTGGGCTGCGTAAACAGAGGGATAGAATCAAGATCACGTGAAGTGTTAATACCACTTTATAATGCCTTGGAAAGGACACACTTGGAATACTGCATCCAGTTTTGGTCGCCACGATGTAAAAAAGATGTGGAGACTCTAGGAAGAGTGCAGAGAAGAGCAACAAAGAGGATTAGGGGCCTGGAGGCTAAAACATATGAAGAACAATTGCAGGAACTGGGTCTAGTTTAATGAAAAGAAGGACTAGGGGAGACATGACAGCAGTCTTCCGATCTTCCAATATTTGAGGGGCTGCGACAAAGAAGAGGGAGTCAAGCTATTCTCAAAGCACCTGAAGGTAAGACAAGAAGCAATGGGTGGAAACTCATCAAGGAGAGAAGCAACTTGGAAATAAGGAGAAATTTCCTGACAGTTAGAACAATTAACCAGTGGAACAACTTGCCTCTAGAAGCTGTGAATGCTCCAACACTGGAAGTTTTTTAGAAGATGTTGGATAACTATTAGACTGAAGTAGTGTAGGGTTTCCTGCCTAAGCAGGGGGTTGGACTAGAAGACCTCCAAGGTCCCTTCCAACTCTGTTATTTTTATTCTATAGAATTTTAGCTGTATAATTTGGGATGGACAACCTTTGAATGGTGTGGGAGTAGGAACGGATTTCCAGAGGAAAAATGGAAGGCTACAGGAACCATTAGCACTACTCAGCTGAGGACACAGAGAAACCTCCAAGTGCTTCAAGGACCCTCTAAAAGGATGCAAATGACCAACTGTCATTTTCTAGGATGGCAAAAGTCCCGAGTCTTGGAGCAGAGAGAGAAGGTGGGGTCCAAATTGCACAGAAAGGCAAAGAGGGATAAAAGCAACTTCAGGGAGAAGAAGGATGCTGGGAGGCTCGAATCAGGAAGGGGTTCAGAGGCAAGAGAATTGGCCTCTCCGGACACGAGAGACCCTGTTCAAACTTACCATGTATGGAGAAAGCCACGACCAGCAAGCCGAGGGTCACAAAGATGAATCGCCCCATGGTCTCCCTTCCTTCCCTGCAGAGAGGATCGGGGAGGAAAGGAGAGTGAGATGGGTGGGAAGTCCAGCCTGTGACCAAGCTGGGGGGTCCCACACTTTGCACTCTTTCACTGGACCCCGTTTCTCCCTCCTTGGTCATCCAGCAGCCGTGGTGGGTCACAGTGGATCCTGCATTGCCTGGAAAGGATCTCCCTTGCATCTCTTTCTCTTCCCCAGGGGCCCCTTGCTCCCTGCCTCCTGCAGACCCCCTGCTGCAACCTGGACGTTGCCAGCAGCCCCCTGCAAGAGGTCCCTTCAGATGGAGAGAGAGATCTGCTGCAGGGGCCTCACCTGCCAGGTGTCCACAGGTGGGAGAGCCACAACTCACCTGTCCCTTTGCTTCCTTGGGTAGCAAGTCTGCTCAGTGGCAACTCCAGGCTTCCTTCCAGCAACAGGAATGGAGGCATTTATAGGCAAAACAAGAGATGGGTTGGTCTTTCTAGGGGGGTCAAAGGGGAAGGAAATTTTGTGTCAGAAGGGACTTTTTCCCCCAGGAAGTAGCTTGTTGCTAAAGATTTAGCAACAGGTAAAAACACAAAAATTGACTTCCTGGCAATGACTTGGGTTTACAGATTTATTTATTTTCTTTAAACCTTTTATATAGCTGCCCACCTCATGTTAAATTTTCAGTCAAAAGTTAAACAACACCAAACATACATCCTTTCACACAATACACACAATAAACATTGACAACCTGGCACCAAAGTGAATTTCCTCATGCAGCCCCTCCTTAGCCCCTCTTAGCCCCTCTCGCCCACCCTATCCTAGCCCATCACTTGGGGAAGAAAACAGATTTAAGTGCTTTTCTGATGGCTAGGAGGGCAGAGACCTACAGGACCCCAAGGGGAAGGTTGTTCCACAGGGCAGGGGTGCCACAGAAAGGCTCACTTTCAAGATCCCATAAGATGCAATATTTAAGTATTAAATATTATATTTAATATTTAAACTCACAGTTTGCCCACATAGCTGTAGGGTGTAGCCTCACTCTTTGTGCTCCTTCATCAGCATTTGGGCATTTTATATGTCATTTTCTCTCTCTGAGTCCAGGTACACAGAGTCCAGTCACCTCTGCACAGGTGGGATTGGGTTCATGGCCCTCATCACCTGCTCCGTCCAAGCTGGGATCGGAGCCACTGTTTAACAGAGTCTCAGGAAAGATGCTGTGCTCCCATGGAAGCTGCATGGGGTCCATCAGGTTTTGGGGTGCACCAATTGGATAGGTTCATTTGGGGGGCAGCTGTGGAGAACTCCAGGGCCAACTGTGAGAGGTTCCTCCATGGCAGGGACTGCTGTTAATGTCTCCCAAATCCAGATCAGGATGCCGTTGCCTGCTGGCAAACCCCAGATTGCCCTGGGTGAGTAGGAGGATGAATATGTTAGGGCAGGTCCATGGCTGATTATGATTATGAAACCTAGTTATTGAGCATAGCTGCCTTTAAGAACAATTGAACACCACAAGAAGTCTCGCTTTAGCATCCAGAGGTTTATGAGAATTTCAAGCGTAGTAAACGTAAAACACCTTCATTGATCCCATTGCAATGAGGGTCAATCTGAGAAGCGGTCAAGGGGACGGCTTGAGGCTGATTGACAGCCTTTCACAACTCATCCCAGTCCTTTTATACCTTAGAACCAGAAGGCCACGTCACACTTGCCATTCTGCCATAGCAACAGGGGCAGCTGCTAGTTCCTTCAGCCTAACTGTCACAACATATAAATGTATTTGTATATATGTGAACAACTTAAGTTCCTCTTTTCCCACAATCTTAGCCCACCACATTGTTCCAGCGAAGCAGCTGCCTTGCTTGCAAGACACAAGTTCCACATACTCAGGGGTACCGGCTCATCGCTCAGACATCACCATGGAAGAGCCATGGTGGCACAAGTGGTTAGAAAAAGCATCTTTGGGACTAGTGCCCAGGCAGTTAGAGTGAGTTGCAGGGATTGGAAGGTGGCACCAGAACAGAACTTAACACGGGGCCCCACTTTTTCAGATTTGGCCCCCACTCCATGTCTCCCACCTCATCACCATAGACCAGTCATCCCCATGATGTTTCTGCCTGCCCTTTCTCTCCCCACAACACCCAACGGAGTCATTGCGACAGCTTCTGCCCAGATCACTCCTTGCTGTGTTGTTATTGCTCTGGTATTGTCTTCCGTACCACACAAAGGCTAATAATTTTGTTTTATTGCCAACTTGGAATAATTACTTTCCCTTTGGGTCTCCAAATTTCATCATTTGCAGCTTGTGTTTTTTCACTTGTCTTTTCCTGCTGTGTCTTCCTTCCTTCCAGCTGTAGTTGCAGCTACAAATATCACGCAAAACATTATAGGAAATGTAATCATTTCTTTTCTGTCTGGGTTGACCTGCAGCCCCCTGAACCACTCCAATGCTAATCATTTCATGAACATGCATGAACAGTGATAATTGTCAATTTTTTTGTGGTTTGGAATGAGATCCCAACTGCCATGAAATAATGGCCTTGCTTAATCACGATGCGATCATCATCAATGCAATCATCAGAAAGCAAGTGATCAAAAAATAAAAGACATTGATGACACGTGAGACTTGAAAAATAGAAAACATGGATTCTAAACAACATTCCACAAATAAAAAATATATGGGTTTGTATCTAGCTATAGCTACTGGAAACAAAGTCATAATTCAGCAGAAATAATTTTTAGTCCCAACAATGCAAGGATAAAGCACTCTCTCTGTGGTGTCATCTTCCTTGCAATTCTGTACTTTAGGATCTATTGGGTGTGTGGTGTAAACAATTTGATAGATTATGTTGATGAAGATCTCAATTGTTGATAGAGTACCCAAGTTTGATTTTTTAAAAGAATTTTTCTGTACCTGATCTGAGAATTTATAGGGCAGAGAAAAGGCAGGAGCAGCAGCGAAGGTCGACCCAACTGCTCGTGCGGAGGCAGCTTCATCCCTCTTGGTGAGTTGCACCAGAAGCTCTTTAGCACAACAGATAGATGGAGATAACGCTGGGAGCAATGTGTTTGTTTCCTAGCTGGGTGTTTCCTGGTCATGGTGATTCCTGCCTTGTTTGGATTGACACTGCGGATCATGCCTTGTGAACTCTGGACTTTTCTTGCCTCGTGAAGTTTCTTGTGTAGTGGATTTAATTTTGCCTGGTGGGTTTATCTTGTTTGGGAACCTTTCAAGGGCCTTGTGGACTCACTGGCCATTGCTCTGTGGACTAGCATCGGTCTGCTTTTGGCTGGACTTAGTGGGTTTCTGGGTTCTGGGTTTCTGATGAAGAGAATTGCTGGGGAATATTAATAAACCTACTAAACCACCATTATGTGTGTGTGTGTAAGAGAGGGAGAGTGGGAGAGCACAAGGGCCAGCAGAGAGTGGCCCATCCATAATAGGGGACTCATGTTAATGCCCTCCAAATCCAGATCATGATGCCACAACCTGGAGGCACCTGATCTTGACCTGTGAGTGTAGGGCAGGTCAATCTGGCATTAATCACCTGGCTAATAGGTGTCTCCCTTTGCCAAATAGTTATTTTGTATTTTAATTTGATGTATTTTTCTCTCTTTTTAAATGGTAATAAGGGTTTACCTAACCAGTACAGACTGGAATGTAGGAAAACTTTTTATCCTATCACTGTATGGTTGTAGCATTTCTAAACTGAAAAGCTCAGTTAGAGGAGGAGATGTTTGGACAATGTCTCCCGATAACAGAAAGCTTGGCTAGCCTTAATTGGCATCTGGTCTGTCCCTTCGTGAACTCCAAACAACCTTTTTTCCTTATTAAAATCCTAAAATCTACTGTACGCCCCTTCTGTTATCACACTTCATTTTAATGAACATGTGTGGTATTATGGGATGCAAATAAGTAACAGGTTTGACCACATATAACTGATTTCTTACACAAAGGCAAAGTTACTTTTTTCCTATCCAATCACTTTTTCTCTTGCATTTTCTTTGATGTCTTCACTCTAACTAAGAGTGCAGAGAAGAGCAACCAGGATGATGAGGGGACTGGAGGCTAAAACATATGAAGAAGGGTTACAGGAACTGGGCATGGCTAGTCTCATGAAGAGAAGGACCAGGGGAGACATGACAGCAATCTTCCAATATTTGAGGGGCTGCCACAGAGAGGAAGGGGGTCTTCAGAAGTTGTGGGAACTTCATCCCTGGAAGCTTTCAAGAAGAGACTGGACTGCCATCTGTCAGAAATGGCGTAGGGTCTCCTGCTTCGGCTGGGGGTTGGACTAGATGATCTACAAGGTCCCTTCCAACTCTGTTAATCTGTTAAATTATAAAAGGAATCGGAATACAGAATAACAGAGTTGGAAGGGACCTTGGAGGTCTTCTAGTCCAACCCCCAGCACAAGCAGGAGATCTTACACCATTTCAGACAAATGGTTGTCCAGGCATTACAGTCTCTTCTTAAGGGAACGTAAGATGGGTCTCGAGGTTCTCTTTTTTCATAGGGAGGCCCCACTTTAATTAATCTACTCTAATAAATTGCTTTTAAAAGATCTTCCGGCTCGGTTGCTTATTGGAAAAGGTAAACTGAGACAGAGCCTAGAGCCAGATTGAGCCATCAGCTCCCCCTGTTGAGGCTCCATTGGTTCAAACTTGCAGTCTTCCACTCCAAGATGCCTCCATCTTCCTTCCCTAAGAGATCCCAAGTAGATCCCAAAGCTGTTCCGCAGGCTTCCCTGCATCGTTGTTGCTCCTCCACATATGGGCTCTGTTCTGCCAGTTCCCTTAATTTGTAGTGCAAATTGTTTTGGATTAAGTCTTGGATTAAAAATTAAATAAGAAGAATTAATTAAGAAGGTTGTCAGGGAATTACGCAGCAACTATGCGAATGAAATCAGAAACACTGACACGAACTTGTGGTTTTATACAAATAAATCTATTTTACGTTTCTGTTTACAGCACTGCTACATCATGAGGTAAATCCTCAGGTAAATCAGAGAACAGCATTCGGAGCAAACATACAAGAAAAAAGGCGGGAAAACAAGGAAACTCCCCCTTTACACCCATCAGCCAATCACAATACAGATTGCTTCACGCGGGAGCCCACTCTCTCCAGTCAATCAACTTCAACTGTGTGTTCTGGCCCATCGTTCAATTTACTCTTCCCGCTATTAAATTAAATATCTTAACAAATGTGCAGAAAGCCACAAGGGCTTCCCCCAGAGTTTACCCAGGGATGATGGCAGGTGGGCTTTCTTCTGCACAATTTCCGGATAGAAATTGATAGGCAAACAAAGAAAAACTTCCATTGCACATCTCCACTAAGGTGCAGCTCAAACACAACAGAAAAACCAACAGTAATTGAAACCACCTGAAAGCAATGCAACCATTGCATGCCATGAGATATTTACTGTGCCTGTATAGGCATGTAATGTAGACATTATCAACACCAAATAGTTTTGGTTTTTACATGTTGATTAGGGCAATGAAAACTTTGGAGTAGATTAATTGAAGGGTTTAATAAACCCCCGTTCTCATGTTTTGGTTAAAAGGGTTTCGCTGGGTTCCCACAACACACAAGACATTAATTGAAGTTGCAATGGAGTATCTGGGTTCCTACAATATGACAGGACCACAAACCAAGTTAAGAAAAAGGAATTGCTGCTCTTAAGAAAAGGGTGGAGGGTTTATTCACACAATCTGCTAAATTGACAGCTGGGTTTTGAAGAAACGGTGAACCACAAATCGATTAACTCTGTTTTTAGGTAGTCTTGTCTGCAATTTCCCCTCCTTATTCCAATGACTTTTTTTCACATCTCCCCTTTTGGACTTCCCTTTCTGAATTTGTTCAACTGCAGTAATCTGAACCCCCCCCAAATCCTGGCTAGTTTTGGGTGACACACTAAGCCACAGAATAACTAACCAAGCAGTGTGAGTTATGTTAAAAAAAGATATTCCTTAGAGCTGATCAAGAATCTATTTGGAATGGAATGGAATGGAATGGAATGGAATGGAATGGAATGGAATGGAATAGAATAGAATAGAATAGAATAGAATAGAATAGAATAGAATAGAATAGAATAGAATAGAATAGAATAGAATATATACTTGTGGTATACTCATTTATCAAGGTTTATCTTCTTCTCAAAACCTTCATGGAAACATTACTATTTTGTTTCTTACCTTTTCAAACAGTCCAATGATTCTGGATGGAGAGTTTACAATCAATCAATCAATCAATCAATCAATCAATCAATCAATCAATCAATAAAAATACCATTTGAATAAAAACATACACAACGCAGTAAAATCTAATGCAAATGGGAAACACAATTTAAATTAGGCAGTTGCAAGATAGTCATTCAAAATCTAAAACAATGTGAATGAAAACATAATTAAAAGCATGGGAAACTTACACAATAATAAAATAACAGAAGGGACCTTGGAGGTCTTCTAGTCCAACCCCCTGCCCAAGCAGGAGACCCTCTCCCATTTCAGACAAATGACAACTGAAAACAGAATGGTCCCCACTTGGCACCTATTAAGAATCCCATAATTGTCCTGGCATCTATGCTACATAAAAAACAAGTAAAATAGGCTGCGTAATTGTGTTCACACAACTAATAGAACCCTTGTCTGAGATGTGTGGAACATTGGGATGTGGTGGGGAACCAGGCCCTTTCCTAAAGCAAGTAACTGCTCTATCTGGCTGGAGGAGATGGCGTTACACATGTACTTCTGGTTTCAGCTTTTGGTCACTCACGGCCCTGAAAAATTGCCATGCTCAGATCATTTTCAACCCAACACTGGGGCACAAATGGTTCTTTAGAATACATGGAGACCTAGTGAATTTAAAATAACAGCAAACTTTCCTGGTTACAGTGTATATCTATTTGCTTTTCCACACAGACACACTGAAGGGACTTGGGGTGGGGTTTCCCAGGTGCTCAGTCCCAACTTCCGTTTTTTCATTCAGGTGACTTTTGTTTGTTTGTTTGTTTGTTTCCTTAACAACTTGGTCCCTTCCTAGCCTTTATCCACTCTGCTTGTGTGCCATCATGAATCTTTAGATATGGCCGCTTATCTGGGGCCCATTAATGTTCCTGCCAGAATTTCTTTCTTGGCCCACTTCCTTCCTTTGATCTGAACCCGTGTCAGGCCCAAAGAACCAAGAATCACACATGGAGTTACTTCTGAAAAGTTCCTTTTTTGTTGTTCGCCTACAGACAGAATCTTGCCGGACTAAAGCAAATACCTGCCATAACTATAGATTTACTCTGTGAACTTCTAGGGAGGATCCAACTTGCTCTGTTTCTGCTTTCCAGACATTCCAAGCTCCACTTTTTCTTTGCCCCTGGAAAAAAAACCCTCCCTCCTGTGACTCTAAACTGCATTTCATCACACAATCCCTCCACTGTCCTTCTTCCTTTCCTCCTTTGATTTGTGCCTTCTTCACACCATCTCCAGCAGGGTCAACCCAGTCTACATGGAAACTATAGCCACATAACCACAGAATTGCTTTCTTGTTTAACTTTTCAAATGTTTGTTGTTATTCTTTTAAGCATATTCGTTTCCAGCCAAGCATGAGCTGCCTAGAAAAGTGGAGTTTCTTCCTTGAGGGAGCTTGTCCTGTTTCTCAACTTGGGCAGATATGCCTTGAGTCCTTGGCCCAGGGGGACCTCACAGCTGGATGCTGATCTGTCACACGCATGAATATGTCAGGGGTGGGCTTCAAAAATTTTAGCAAGGGGTTCTCTGCCGGTTGCTGGGTGGGCATGGCCTAGTCGGCCTCCTGCACCATGGTGGTGGTAGGGGGTGTTTTTGCCCTCCCCAGGCTCCGTACGCTTTCCTTGAGCCTCCGTGAGGGTGAAAACAGCCTCCCCATGCTCTGGAGGCCCTCTGGAGGCTGGAAACGGGCCCATTTCTGGCCTTCCTGAACTTCCGGTAGGCCTGTTTTTTGCCCTCCCCAAACCTCCATGCACACCCTGCATTTAGCTGCATCCAAAACGGGCCACGTGGGGACTCCTGGGAAGGGTGGAGTGGGGCGGGCAGGGCCAGCAAGGAGTGGGCTTTGGGGTTCTCCAAACAGCACAGAATCTTAGTTAGAGTTTCTCCCAAACCCCTGTGAACCCCCAGCAGCCCATCCCTGGAATAGGTCCCTCAGGGTCAACCCAGTTGTTAAATGTTCTCCATGCAAGAGAGGATGAGCAATAGTAACCCAAACATTCAGTGGGACCTTGGACTTGCTCCCCACCCCCATCCCTCACCTGGAATCACAGGCTCAGAGACTCAGAGCATTATAGAATTGGTGGGGTTAATTGCTTTCCACAGGAAGAGGAGAAGGAACCACAAAACATGTTCTTCTGTTAACACGCCATGATGGCTCTCTCGTTCACAATAATGTGGATAAGGAGCTTTATTGCAGACTCACTGGCATTCAGCAACCACAGGTTGAAATCTGGAGACTCAAAGCTCTGATGGCCAGGCAGTGGGAATGAGTGCAGGGACTGCTGACTGGCACCAGGATTTAACACCAGGTCCCCTTCCCAGAGTGGTCCACCACTTACCAGCCACTTCATCTTCTTAAGACCCATCATACTCATGATGTTCCTGCCTGCCCTTCCCCCCCCCAACAACACCCATTCTTACTGACTCTTCCCCTCCTATCCCTGTGGAGACAGAGAAAAGGAGGAGAAGGAAGGGCCTGGTGGCTCAGCAGACTGATAGCATTGTGATTAACACCAGCTGTCTGCAATTACTGTAAGTTCGAATCTCACTAGGCTCAAGGTTGACTCAGCCTTCCATCCTTTCAAAGGTAGGTGAAATGAGGACCCGGATTGTGGGGGCAATAAGCTGACTTTGCATAAATATACAAAAGGATGAAGGCTATTGCTTAACGCATTGTAAGCCGCCCTGAGTCTCCGGAGAAGGGCGGCATATAAATCAAATCAAATTAAAAAAAATAAAAAAGGAAGAGAAGGAGAAGGAAAAGGAGGAGAAGGAGAAGGAGAAAAATCTGGTAGAACCTGTTTCAATGTCCCAGTTGCAAAGCCAAGAGGATATGGGTGATCTTCACTCAAAAGTATTGGCCTTTCTTAAATAATTATTTATTTATTTGATTTGATTTGATTTTGTTGTTGCCTGTTTCTAGAGCAACTCTTGACACCTTACAATATAAACCAGGAAGAAAACACAATGAGGGAGGGGAGGGAGGGAGGGAAGGAGGGCGTTTCAACCTGCTTTCTGGACCACCTGCTTTGGATCACGTTGTCTTGCCATGCAGGGGGTGATCCTATGAGCTGGATATATAAGCTGGAAAAGAGACCATTGGTGGCTCAGAAGATTTCTCCTTCAGATTGGATCCCCCTTTGAAGGTGAGAGCCATAGATTATAGAAAGAAGTTTAATGTAACTTTAGTGAGAAAGATTATAGCATATTTGTACATATAACTGCTGTGAAGAATACTACTTCTAGGCATTTTTCCTTTTCTATTTTGTCTAACTTTTTTCTTCCCCCCCCCCCCTTTTTGATTTTTCTTTGATTTCTTTCTTCTTTCTTTCTTTCTTCTTTTATATTTGTTTGTATTCGTTTTCATTGTTCTTACCTGAAGGTTTTAATAATAATAATAATAAAAAACTATATGCAATAGCTTCAGGGATACCTTAGTCAGTTCTCACTGCCATGTATGTCTCTTGCTCTGATCAAAAGGGGTTTCAACAAAATCAGGAAATATCCTGACAGCAGCACCCGCTCCCCTTTTTAAAAAGGCCTGTAGGTTGAAATTCCTCAACCTCCTTTGTAAGAATCCCAGGTCAAAAGGGTATTTTACTTGATGGATGAGGCAGCATAGCATCTGTTTTATAAAATGACAAAAAGTCCTGTATTTCTCATAAGAGTTTGATGGTTTGCATTTTGTGTGTTTATGACTTTTTTTTTTTGGTTCATTTTTTGGCAACCAAAAAAGGTGATTCACAGGATTAAAAGGGGAGGGGGAGGATTGCTGTTCTTGTCCACAGAAGAGATACAGAAGAAGAACAGCAAGACAGGAGCCTTAAAAAAATAATATTTTCCATTTAGGCATTGAGTTCATTCTGGCTGGGGATTAGCTAAGGGTCCCCTTTCCAAATTCTTCTATGAATAACAGAATTGGAAGGGATCTTAGAGGTCTCCTAGTCCAGCCCCCTGCTCAAGCAGGAGTCTCTAGACCATTCCAGACAAATGGCTGCCCCATCTCTTCTTTAAAACCTCCAGTGATGGAGCACCCACAGTTTCTGGAGGCAAGCAGTTCCACTGGTTAATTGTCCTCACTGTCAGGAAATTTCTCCTTTGTTTTAGGTTGCTTCTCTCCTTGATTGGTTTCCATCCATTTCTTCTTATCCTGACCTCAGGTACTTTGGAGAATCTTCTTTGTGGCACCCCCTCAAATATTGGAACACTACTTCTATTTATTAAACTAGACCTGCCCAATTCCTGCAACCGTTCTTGGTGTGTTTTAGCCTCCGGTCCCCTAATCATACTGGTTGCTCTTCTCTGCACTCTTTCTTAGAGTTAAGACATCTTTTTTAACATCACGCTGACCAAAACTGAATGCAATATTCCCGGTGTGGTCTTATTAAGGCATTATAAAGTGGCACCTAAGAAGATCAGACAAACATATACCATACATGAGCCACACCATCTATGACCCACATCTTAATGGTCACAATGGGGGAAAACCAACGATGAGGGCCAGAAGCTCAGAACCAACATTTTGAGAATTACAGGCTGTGGTTCCTGGCAGAACGGGGGTCTCTACCAATTGCTCAGGGTAGTACTGGGGAGGGGAGGGGAGGGGAGGGGGCTGCAATTCAGAGATGAACAGGCGGGTTTCACGGTTGAGACGAGTGCTCGGTTCTTCCTTCTGGGGAGGGACGCCCGAAAGGGGGTGGCCTGGCATTGTTAGAGGACATTCAAGGTTCTTCTCAACTTCTGTTTCCCTCCTCAGGTTTGAAGATGTTTCTCATCACTTGCTTCGTCTTTGGCCTTTTGGGCAGCCTTACCTGGGCAGGTAAGTTGTTGCCAGCAAAGTTGATATATCCCACCTCCATCCTGTTTCCCCCCGAGTCCCCATTTATCTAGTCCTTGGCTTATTTTAATGTTTTATTCTTAATGGGGGAGCCTCTACTTCTAGCCATGATCCATTTAGACCAACCCAGAAAGGCATGGAGTTCCAGAAGGCCTCCGAGTCTCATTATATGGACACCAAACACTGGTACCTACAGGATGAGGCTGGCATCTGCCCACTAAAGAGGACCTGGGCATTTTATATCCCCCAGGACACATCTGGCCCCTCGGCTCTCTCTGTCTGGCCCACGTGAGGTCAGTCGGAAGTTACAAATCAAATGCAGATAAGTGTACGTCATGCACACAATGCAATGCACTGCTTTCATCTTGAAGGCAGCTTTTTATTTCCAGTTTGTGTATGTGGGTGCTTGCATGCCTACAGACCTTCATAGCCCTGTTGCTTTGGCCCTCCACAACAGTCCCAGTTTCTTATGTGGCCCCTGGGGAAAGTTGATTGCCCACCGAGCCCAAGAGCCATCTCGGTGTCTCTCACTTCTGCTCTTGTTCTCTTTGCTTTCTCATTCTGTTTTTCTGCTTCTATTTCAAGTTTTTACTTCTATTGTTTTCTCAAAGTATGGAATACAAAGAAGAATGAAAATAGGAAATCAGGGGAAGGAAAAAGAGAGGGGGACAGAAAATACGGGGCACAAGGGAAAAACGAAAAAAATGTTGACTTCCGACTCCTTTTAGCACAGTTCAAAATAGCAACCTTACAGGCTCAGCTTTTAACTTCTACGCATTAGTATATAACTAGCCGTTTCTATAACAACAAATCTATCAAATCACCCCCCAAAAAATTTAATCACAAGCACAAAATCCAGAAGTGATATGCAAATAAAAAACTTAATTAAATATATTCTCTTCTTTGAATAAAGCATTCAATGTAACCATTTCTGCTTTATCTTCCTTGCAGTGGGAATAGTATATATTTCTGTTTGCATTTTATAACCTTTATAAACTATCACCATTTATATTCATGAAATTCACTGTATTCTTATAGATTCTTTAACCTTAAAGGGGGAAAAAAACTGTTTTATCCATTTTAAAACTCTAAACTTTTCTTTAAGCTAATACATTTTTTCTTTATAATTTTCTCTTAACATAGATACTTTCTAACACACTTTCAGTAATATTTTACAAGCTTTAGGAATGACTTAAGCATTAAATATAAAGGGAAAAAAATTCATTTTCAAACCCACTTTACATTATGACTTTTTCAATTACAAATTTCAGACCGATAAAAATCCATCCTAATTGCAATTGACTCATTGAGTTTAAGTCACTCCTTCAAGCTTTTCTTCATGGAATAAAATCTTTTTCTTCTCTGGAATGTTTATTAAATAGCTATAAAGGTCTCTTTTGCTCAAGGATTTCTCAGCCTTGTTATTGTCCTTGAAGAAAAAGTCCATTTTTATTCTGTTTTCCCAGCAGGTCCGCGTGGTCGGACTGCCTGTCCTTCTGGCACTTTTGCCTATAAAGACGGAAGTGAGTGGAATTGCTTCAAGTTCTATGAAGATCAGTTCACCTTTGAAGATGCTGAGGTAACTCACCTGAGTGGGAAGAATTCCCATTATTTTGGCCCAGTTTTTCCAAACTTCACAACGTCAAAAAGTTCATGTCATTCTTTGAATGAAGAGCACCTGCTGTATGATTCTTTTTTTTAAAGGATAAAGATAAAAGTCTATAAGAAAGAGTAAAGTAAAATATTTCAATAATTCCCTTGGATTCCCTTCAGTTTAATGGGATTAATTGCATGGCTTCACTTCAATATCTGAGTGAAATTTGTCAAGGAAAGTAAAACTCGAATGAGACATCTAACTGCTACATTTAAGTGGTATTGGATATTGTGTGGTTTAACAAGTTGTGCAACTCGGCTATTGTCTTATCCATGTTGTGGGAACAAGGCCAACAATCATAGGGTTAACAGGTGTTCTCACTTAGCAACATTCACAGTTATGACCGTAATGAAAAGGTATCTTTATGGCCAATCCTCACACTTATGGCAGCTGCAGTTACTTAGCAATTGCTTCACCAAATGACTGAATTGTCAAGCCCAATTGTGGACCTTCAAAAATTCAAGCCATGTTGTTCCAAAGTGGCCCCTTGTCTCTAAGAGTGTCCACACACAAACGCACACCTCCTTCCCTCTCCTCTCTCTCCCACACCTTGCTTTTATGTGCCACTTTTTCATGGATATCCCACCGCTGACACCACTCTCCTACCTCGCTCATAAGCATGAGAGTCATCTTCCCCAATATATATTTCTCTTTATTTTTCCTTGTTGGGCCAGAGAGTCGTGCTCGCATTTGCAGCTCCTCTTAGGAGAACTTCTACTGCAGGAACATAGCTGAGAGGACCTTGTCTGCCCAAACTGCAGGACTCCTGGGTTGGTAGACCTGGATTGTAGCAGACATGAGAGGGACAACATGGTTTGTTGGTGCTAAGATAATTTTGGTTCTTCTCTCTTTGCAGCAAGAGTGTCAGTTCAAATGGAAAGGCCATTTAGCATCTTTCAAATCTGACAAGCAGACAAAATCCGTTGGTGCCTATGTCAATACAGAAAGCATAGAACGTGGTTGTGTCTGGATTGGGCTCCGACGAGATGCAGGTTCTAGTGTGGTGAGTATTTGGTCCTCCTGTCTCTGAGCAATTAGCAGCTCTTTCCAAAGGGATGTTTCTTGAGTAGTGATTTACAACCTCCCTGAAAACTCCTTTGGGTGAAGCCGGCACTTGCTGCCCTCCCCCCGCTCTATTATTATTATTATTATTATTATTATTATTATTATTATTATTATTATTATTATTATTATTATTATTATTCCCGTTTATTCGTTATCAGGGAGGCACGATCAGGTACAGGGGAGCTTCCACCCCCTCCCCTTCCTTCTCCTAAGAAGCGCCTGAGACCATTTCTCCTCTTCCTCCTCCTCCTCCCACATTCCCTTCTAACGCTGATGATGTTTCCTAGATGGGTCATGACTCAAGAGCTCAGGTGTCCTTGCAGCCCCAGAGACCTTGGATTCCGGGCATAGCAAGAGCGATAGCAGTAGCAATAGCACTTGGACTTATATACTGCTTCATGCACCCAAAGAGTCTAACTGAGCCTCTGTAACAGGCGTGTGGTGCATGCTTTCAGAAAAACCTATTTAACAGGACTTCCCCCTTTGAATTAAATTAAGCTAAATTTAGAATTGGAAAATAAAATTTTCTATCTCCCTCCTCCCCTGTCCCCCACTCACCCACCTCATCATGCTTTTTTCTGCATGGCACAGACTACTGGATGGCGCTGGATTGATGGATCACGAGACATCTATAGAAAGTGGGGGTATAATGAACCCAACAACTTGCATTCTAATGAGTATTGCACCTGTCTCCATCTTTCATCTGGTCAGTATGAAAAGCCTTCATTCCTTAGGGTGGTTGGAGTTTGTATCTGTAATTCCAGGAAAGAAGGGGAGGGGAGGGAAGACAGGAAAGGGGAGGGAAGGAAAAAAGAAAAGGGAAAAAGGGAAGGGAAAAAGGAGAGAGAATAAGGGAAGGGAAGGAAATAAGGAAAGGGAAAAGGGAAGGAAAAAAGGGAAGAGAAAAAGGGAAGCAAAAAAGGGAAGCAAAAAAGAAAAGGGAAAAAGGAAAGGGAAAAGGAAGGGAAGAGAAAATAGGGAAGGGAAGGGAAAAAGGGAAGGGGAGGGAAAGGATGGGAAGACAAGGAAGGGAAGACAGGAAGGGAAGGGAAGCAAAAAAAGGAAAGAAAAAAAGGAAAGGGAAAAAGGAAGGGAAGATAGGGAAGGGAGGAAGGGAAGGGAAGGAAAGGGAGATATCCATACAGATCCTGGGAATAATGCTCCTATTGAAGGAGACTTTTTTGGTGTGGCTGATTTAAAGTACTTATTGGAGAACCTTAAGAGGCAAAAGTTAGACATTTCTAGAGTCTCACAAAATGGTACTTCCTCATCTCAGCATTTGTCGCAGAGGGAACCTAGTCTAACTGCTTTTTTTCTGCCATTTCAAAGCTGGAGAGGTTTGTGAATGCCTGATTTTCTTTCAGACATTGATATTTCCATGGCCACCCAGTTCAACCAAGGGGACTCTGAGTGGCAACAAAAATAAACATACAACCTAAAACATCAATTGTATTTCATCTTAAAAAGTAATCCAGATGTGCCAAAACTGCAATCTAAAAAGAATAGATTAATACAGTGTTTTTCAAGATTAGCCACTTTAAGAAGTGTGGCCTTCAACTCCCAGAATCCCCCAAGCAGAGACCCAAATGCTTGAGGGAAGACCCTGGTCTTAACTGCCTTCATGAAAGAGTCGAGTCCGTTGTAGCTCAGCAGGAAGATTGTTCTAGAGCAGGGAGGCAGCCACCGAAAATGGGCCCTTCCCAGATCCCATCAGGTGGCAACGCTTAGATGAGGGGAGCTGCAGCATGGCCCCACCCCACCTGTAGCTGAGCTGGAAGGCAGAGTTAAGCTTGTCATCTCTTTAGAGTCTTTGTGTCACCACAGGAGACCTCAGTCCAGTCCTCTGGAGGTCTGCTGGCCCTTATCCAGAGCCAATTTACCTCTGACTGTTAGTTGACTAGATTCTTGGGTATCGGAGCTATTTGTACTTGACACCACCCGTGAGTGGACAGGCAGGTGTATTTGAGAAAAGATACTCTGCAAGCAGCCGAATCCTAAGCCACATCAGGCTCTTAAGATGTTCACCATCTGTGTTCCTTCCTTTCAGGGTTCTTGACTTGGATTGATATAGACTGTAACAACCGTCTGAATTTTCTCTGCAAATGGAAACCCTCTTAAGCCAAGTCTGCAGATGGAGTTGGGGGGCTCCCCATTGATTGGAAAGCTGAGCTGAGATCTTGTGTTTCCATCTTCTTCATGTGCAAAACCTCTTCCACAAAGACCATCTGAAGGTCAAGCAGTTGGTTCCTCTCTGTCCTCTAGACTTGCTTCTCTTCCCCTCTTTCTGAAGAACTTGCCCCCCCCTTGATAATAAAGTCTATTGCTCTGCCCTTGTCTTGAGTTTGGATTTTCTCTCCCAGGGGGTCCAGGGCCCCTCCCTGAATGAGCCTCAGAGGAAAGAGGGTGTTGTCTCTGCAGATGAGTTTCTGGTCACAAAACACACAATGCAACCTTATCAGCTCCTTTCCTGGGGTCCTTCTTGTCAGAGTTTCTTGCAAAAATCAAATCCAGAAGCACACACAGCTAAATGATTCAGCTGGATTCATTCACTTCTTTATTTATATAATAACAGATAGTTGATTCTTCAGGCAGAACACAAGGCAGGAGAGAACAGTTAGTTTCATTTTAGATCTGAGCATAGAGCAGGCAAGTTTACACACTGGTTTCGGTTTCTCTGCACAGACTCAGAAGTTGCAGACATGCCCTGGCTCCAGTCTCAGCTCCCAACTGGCTGACTTCATTGCTATGCCTATTCACTGGCTGACCTTGTTACCATGCCTCTATTCCAGTTCATGAATATACTCTGACACTTCTCTCCCGCCTTTTTTCTCAGAGGGAAATGTGAGATTAATGAGAGGAGAAATAGGGATTTGTGGAAATAACGCCCCCCTGGAGAAAAAAGGATCCACGCAGGGTGGGTAGCTGGAGAATCCCTGAACCAAACCAGACCAAAAACTTTACCAGCAAAAGCAGAAGGAAAGAAATGCATTCAGGATGCCCATATTCTGGTTCATTGGCACCTCCTGTAGGATCTGGGGAGCCAGACGTTGTGTGTCTTCTAGTGTGTTTGAGCTGAGACTAGGAGAGTACATCATCAATGCTGCATCAAACCACCAAGCTCAGAGAGCACCAAGAATGCTATAGACAGATCATTGTGCAAAGAAGATACCTGCATGGTTTCTTTTTTGGGGGGGAGGGGGCAAGGGAAGGGAAAATGCTACTCAAACTCCCAAAAACTAGAACAGGAGCAACCACATGTTCTAGGTTGAAATTTCACTCTTTTCATATCTTTGGTTTCCTGGACTTCCTTTGACGTTGGGCATGGGCTGTGATTCAATACTTAAATCAGAATAAAGCTGGAAGGGACCTTGGGTGTCTTCTAATCCAACCCCCCACTCAAGCAGGAGACCCTACACAATTTGAGACAAGTGGCTGTCTGATCTCCTTCCCTGTTTATGCAATGGGCTTAGGGTGGCCCTGGACTGTTCTTCCTACATTCATCTTGTGGACTTAGTCTGACTTCCCACAACTTCTGACTTGCTCAGCAAATTGCTTGCGGTCCGGCCTCCTTGAACAGACCTGTCCTGGGTCTTCTGGGTCTGAACCTGGCTCTGTTCAGGGTGGACCAGAGACCGTTGGAGAGGTGATATGATAGCAGTGTTCCAATATCTCAGGGGCTGCCATGAAGAAGACGGGGTCAGCCTCTTCTCCAAAACACCAGCTTCTCATCCAGGAAGCTTCTTCAGTTCTGAGTGGATGGTGGGGAACGAGCTGTCTGAACTGGAGAAGCTTCTTGGATGAGAAGTGAAACGTCTTCAAGGAAAAACAAAGTCTAGTTGCCTTTTGAAAAAGCACCTTTGGGACCCCCATAACCTGGATGACTGAGAGTCTCCACAGACATCCTTTTATTGGCAATAAAACGAATACAAGTGCTGAATACAAATTGAGCTTTTTATTGAGTATTTGAATTACTGAATTATTAAACGGAATTGATATTATTATTATCACTGCCAGGAATGACTGACAAAAGGGCTCTTGAAAGAATTAAGTCCATCCCGACCACAACTAAACTTAATCTTCAGCTGTTTCTTAAAACTGATAAGATGAATATTGAGCCTGTCTCTCCGGGGTTGGCAGATTTGCAAGATGTACAATACAGTTGTTGTTGTTGTTAATGAAAGTAAATATCTACTCAAAGGCATCTTGTTATGCTTCTTGTAGGGACCTAGTTAGGAAAGAGCACAGAATGCTGAATTAATATAATATCTTCCATTGTCTCATAGGAAATATTTTATGGTATTTTGAGTAAGTCCATTGAATAGAATGGAATAGAATTCTTTATTGGTCAAGTGTGACTGGACACATAAGGAATTTGTCTTTGGTGCATACGCTCTCAGTGTACATAAAGAAAAATAAAATACATTAATCAAGAATCATAAGATGCAACACTTAGTGATAGTTATAGGTTACTAATAAGCAATCAAGCAATTGGTTCCTCTCTGTCCTCTAGACTTGCTTCTCTTCCCCTCTTTCTGAAGAACTTGCCCCCCCTTGATAATAAAGTCTATTGCTCTGCCCTTGTCTTGAGTTTGGATTTTCTCTCCCAGGGGGTCCAGGGCCCCTCCCTGAATGAGTCTCAGAGGGAAGAGGGTGTTGTCTCTGCAGATGAGTTTCTGGTCACAAAACACACAATGCAACCTTATCGGCTCCTTTCTCTCCCACCTTTTCTCTCAGAGGGAAATGTGAGATTAATGAGAGGAGAAATAGGGATTTGTGGAAATAATGTCCCCCTGGAGAGAAAAGGATCCATGCAGGGTGGGTAGCTGGAGAATTGCTGAACCAAACGAAACCAAAACATGAACTGGCAAAAGTGGAAAGAAAGAAATGCATTCATGATGCTCATATTCTGTTCATTGGCACCTCCTGTAGGGTCTGGGGAGCCAGAGGTCATGTCTCTGTCGGGGTGTTTCAGCTGCAGACCAAGGACGCTACTTTCCTGAAAAGCTTCCCTCTTCCCATTGGTGGGGCAGGTCAGCTCCAAGAGCTCTTAGATCAGAGGTCAAGGTCCTAAGGAAATCCCCAAGGCATCAGTGTGCTATATGGAATAAGGGGTTGAGGTCCAGGGTCAAATTATTCTACTTTGTAGGCATTATGCAAAAATCTACCTCTCCAGACAAGGCTTCAATTCAGGTAGAAGGAGAAAGAAGAGGATGAACAGCAGCCAAGTGGATGGACTCTGTTATATTAGCAGAGAGTGGATATTGGAAGACCTGAAGGATCTGGTTGGGGACAGATCATCAAGGAGGAGATCGATCTCATGGCTAAGTGTTGAAGGGACTCAATCAATCAATCAGCCCTCTGGTGTTAGGCTGTTCAATTACATATTTCTGGATCATGACATCTAACACTACATTGTACTTCTCTACAAGCCATCTGATCTCTTGAGGTCCTCTCAGGTTTGTCCAGAGATAAAACATGTCATGCTTCTGCCACAAAGACGTTATCTATAAAGTCTTTAAGATGTTGGTCTTCATGCTTAGGCTTTGATACAGATGACGTGAAGATCTGGCTAGGGATAATCGTCCAAAGCATATGAAAGTAACTAGGATGAGACGTCCAATGAGGACATAGTCTTTAGTCAGCTCTAGTTGTCCAATTTAGGAACCGGGAACTTCCCAGGCTTCTCAAAAGTCCAAAAAAAGACCATGATTTCCACCTGTCTTGATGTTCTAGTTGATTGTCCCATTGAATAACTGGGTTCCTTGGAGCAGAATTCAGATCTGGGGGGCCGAATCAGAGCTACATTGCAAGCCCGCAGAAGAATTTGCCAGGATAACAGTCTTGGTGAGGGGGACATTTGAATGTGATGGAACACCTTGTGACTCTTTGTGGTATGAAAGTCATTTTCATTTTATTTTGGGAAGTCACCAGTGATGAAGTAGATTAAATTAAATGTATAGAACAGTGTAAGGAGGATGGGGTACGGCCAAAAAGCAAGGAAGATACAACAGAGTCCAAAGCTTTATGAAAAGCTAAGAGATATAAAAAGTATATGTATTGAAACAGAAAGGATGCCTGCCTGCCTGCCTGCGTGTGTGTGTGTGTGTGTGTGTGTGTGCATAGAAGGTGCAGAAAGCCATAAGGACTTCCCCCAAGATTTGCCCAGAGATGGCAGGTGTGTTTTCTTCCACGCAGAGAAGTTCAGTCCTGTGCAGAAATTGATCTGCAAACAAAAAACAAAAAACTTTATTGCAGCCATTTTGCAGTTCAAACACAAGCAAAAATCAACAATAGTTGAAACTGTATGAAAGCACACCATCAAAAAGTGCAGGAAGGGCAACTAAGATGATCAAAGGCATGGAGAATAAAACATATGAGGAAAGGTTGCAGGAACTGGGTATGGCCAGTCTAGAGAAAAGATGGACTGGGGGGGGGGGAGGGACATGATAGCAGTATTCTAGTATTAAAGGGGCTGCCCCAAAGAAGGGGGGGTCAAATTATTCTCCCAAGCACCAGAAGGCAAGACAAGAAGCAACGGATGGAAACTCATCAAAGAGAGAAGCAACCTGGAATTAAGGAGAAATTTCTTGACGATTAGAACAATTAATGAGTGGAATGATTTGCCTCCAGAAGTTGTGGGTGCTCCATCATTGGAGGTTTTTAAGAAGAGATTGGACAGTCACCTGTCTGAAATGGTAGAGGGTCTCCTGTTTGAGCAGGGGGTTGGAGTAGAAGACCTCCAAGGTCACTTCCAGCTCTATTTTGATTGATTGATTGCCCACCCTGAGACCTTTACCCTCTGTCCAAGCAGCAAACCCTCTCGGAAATACCAACAGAATGGTCTTCACTTGGGACTTATTAAGTATCCCCTAATTGCCATGTCATCTATGCCATGTATAAACAGGTAAATTCCTTCCACCTGCTTCAATCAGTCCACTCTTGGCAAGATAGGCTGCAGAATTGCCTTCACACAACAAAGAAGCCTAGACTGAGATGACTGGATTATTTGAATCTGGGATCAGCTGTGGACCAAGTCTTTTCCTAAAGCACCCAGGCGGGGTAGGAACTAGCTAATCCTCTATAGGAGGCCTTGTGGGTTGGTGGGTATAGTGCAAGATGCGTTTGGTTAATTGAACTTCAGCTTTTTCAGGTGTGTAACCACTCACACTGTCTAGCTGGAGCCATTAAAGTTCCTGCCAGAGATTTTTCTTGAGCCATTTTCTTTCTTTGATGTGAACCCAAGGCAGGCCCGAAGAACTGAGAATCACACATGGAGTTACTTCTGAAAAGTCCCTTTATTGTTGTTTGCCTATAGACCAGAGGTCTTCAAACTTGGCAGCTTTAAGACTTGTGGACTTCAACTTCCAGAATTCTTCAGCTGGCTGGCTGAAGTCCACAAGTCTTAAAGTTGCCAAGTTTGAGGACCCCTGCTATAGACAAACTCTTGCGAGACTAAAGCAAATCCCTGCCATGACTACAGATTTACTCTGTGAAGTGCTAGGGAGGGTCCCACTTGCTCTGTTTCTGCCTACCAGACATTCCAAGTTCTGCTTTCTCTTTGAGCCCTGGAAAAGAGCCCCTGCATCCTGCTACTCCAGAGTGCATTCCCCCCACAACCCACCAGACAATCCCTCCGCTCTCCTCCTTCCTTTCCTTCCTCCTTCACTCATTTTGATTTCTTCACACGATCTCCAGCAGGGTCACAACAGTCCACGTGGCTGCTACAACCACATAACCACAGGATTATTTGTTAATTGGTATGTCGAAAGCTTATCTTGTTAAGTTCTTAGGAAGTCTGTTGGCTTCTTGCCAAGCATGAGCTGCCCAGAAAGATAGAAGGAGTTTGCGATAGTGGCGAATATCTGTAGCGTGGGTGGAGGACAAGGGTGGGGGCAGAGGCAGAGGGGGTGCATTTTCCAAGCTTGTGGGTTGATTTCCAAATATTTCATTACCAGGCTAGGTAACATCTTCAGCAGAATGTAGGGAATGTCAATGTTGGTGTTCTTCTACTTATAAGGACTTTGTGTGGTCAGTGGGCCTTGTGATGGGGAGTCATGTCAGGTGAGGGTCTTGTGATGGGTCTTGTGACGTGTTGGGTCGTGTCAGGTGAGGGTCTTGTAATGGGTCAGGTGTGGGTCCCGTCATAGAAGGAGCTTCTTCCTTGGGTGAGCATATCCTGTTTCTCAACTGGGTCACGTATGTGATGGCCCCCCTTGAGTTCTTCGCCCAGTGGGACCTCATAGTAAGCTCTCGCCTTTATTGATCATTCTTGATTTATTATTTATTGATTTGATTTTGGGGTTACCTGGCTTGAGAGCAGTTCTGGATATCTTACAGTGTGAAGCAGGATACAAGCACATTAAGGGGAGAGAGGGAGTTTCTACCTGCTTTCCGGATATTAACACCTGTTTTGTATCATCTTATCTTGCATTGCAGGGTGTGAACATGTGAGCTCTGGTATATAAACTGGAAAACAGACCATGGGTGATTTAGAGGATCTAAATCTTCTTCTCTCGGACTGGATTACCCTTTGAAGGTAAGACCCGTTATAGAAAGACAAGGAACATGATGTAACTTTAGAGAAAGAGAGTTTATGACGTATTTGTACTTAAAACTGCTGTGAAGAATATCAGAAACTGCTAACTCCTATCTTCTTTTCTTTTCTGTTTTTCTTTAGTCTTTTCCCCTTCCTTCCTTCCTTCCTTCTTTCCTTCCTTCCTTCCTTCCTTCTCCCTCCTTCCCTCCCTCCCTCTTTCTTTCTTTCTTTCTTTCTTCCTTCCTTCCTTCCTTCCTTCCTTCCTTCCTTCCTCTTCCTTCCTTCCTTCCTTTCTCCCTCTTTCTTTCTTTCTTTCTTTCTTTCTTTCTTCTTTCTTTCTTTTCTTTCTTTCTTTCTTTTCCTTCCTTCCTTCCTTCCTTCCTTCCTTCCTTCCTTCCTTCTTACTTTATATTTGTTTATATTAGTTTTCAATGTTCTTGTTTGAAAGTTTTAATAAAAACTATATGCAATAGCTTCAGGGATACTTCTGATCCCACAGCCATGTACATATGAATCTTGCTCTGATCGAAAGGTGTTTCAACAAAATCAGGAAATATTCCGATGCAGCACCCGCTGCCCTTTTTAAAAATCCCCATCACTTGAATTCTTTCAACCTCCTTTGCAAGAATTCCTGTAGGAAAAAAAAGGTATGAGAGATAATTTATTTGACTGATGAGGCATCATAGCATCTGTGTTATAAAGCAACTGAAAGTCCTGTATCTCTCATAAGAGATCGATGGTTAGCATTGTGTATGTTTATGTCTTTCTTTGTCCATTTTTGGCAGCCAAGGTGGTTCACAGGATTAAAAGGGTGGGTGGGTGAAAGGGGAGGATTGCTTTTCTTGTCCACAGTAAAGATGAAGAGAAACAGAAGAGGATAAATCAAGACGAGGGCCTTAAAACTTGAATCCCTTCCATTTAGGCATTGAGTTCATTGGGGTTGAGGATTAGCTAAGGTCCCTTCTCCAAATTCTTCTGCTCTGCTCTGACTTTACACCATCCATATGTCCTGGATCACCCCTGCTGTGACCCAGATCTTAATGGTCACAATGGGGGAAAACCAACGATGAGGCCAGAAGCTCAGAACCAAGATTTTGAGAATTACAGGCTGTGGTTCTTGGCAGAATGGGGGTCTCTACCAATTGCTCAGGGTAGTATTGGGGAGGGGAGGGGGCTGCAATCCAGAGATGAACAGGCGGGTTTCATGGTTGAGACGAGTGTTCGGTTCTTCCTTCTGGGGAGGGATGCCCGAAAGGCATTGTGGGAGGACATTCAAGGTTCTTCTCAACTTCTGTTTCCCTCCTCAGGTCTGGAAATGCTTCTCATCACTTGCTTCATCTTTGGCCTTTTGGGCAGCCTTACCTGGGCAGGTAAGTTGTTGCCAGCAAAGTTGATATATCCCACCTCCATCCTGTTTCCCCCTGGGTTACCATATATTTATTGTTGTTTTAACCATATTCAACTCTTGGTGACTTTATAGGCAAGTGCTCCCCATATATCTAGTCCTTGATTAATTTTAATCCCTTAATTCTTAATAAAAATGTGGAATTTTTAGTGTTTTATTCTTCCTCTGTATTGGATTGGATTGTTTTATCCTTTTTAACATAGTAAGCTTCTCAGGGACACCTTGTGATGGGTGGAAATTGAATAGATAAATGTTTTTCATGCTCCTGTCATTTTAGATTATGTTTTTTAATATTGTTGTAAGCTTGACTGACAGTGAGATGGGCAGCACATGAAGTTAATAAATAAATATTTCCTTGCCAAGAACATTTCATGAAATGGGGATAGTGGTGATGTCCCTGCAACCTTGGAATATCAAGTTTGAATTTTTGTTGGGTTGTGGGTGCTTTGGGGGCTATGATTTAGAAAGGGAAGACCTCTGTGCTCCTGTGGGAGTTGGTGAATCTCCCTCCACCAAGCTCAGAGAGCACCAAGGACCCCATAGTCTTCCTCCTCCTCCTCCTCCTCCTCCTCTTCCTCACTACAAACCCCACCCCCTTCTAGCACCGATGATGTTACCTAGTTGAGTAATGAAACATCTGCAAAGACACAATCAAGTTCAGAGAGCACCAAGGACCCCACAGTCCTCCTCTTTCTCCTCCTTTCCACACACCCCACTCCCTTCTAGCACTGACAATGTTCCTTTGTTGGGTCAAGAAAACCACCAAGCTCAGAGAGCATTCAAGACCCCACCGTTCAACCCTGAGCTACAAATGTTCTCTTCTATTGGAACTTTTCATTATGGAAGAAGTCCAAAAGTAAAATTGTTCTTAATAACCAATAAATACATTTTAAGAGAGAGGCTAATGACACGCAAAACAATCAAAGGATTACTTGGTATCATTTATTTATTTATTCAATTTCTGTAGCCACCCAACTCAACCAGTTGACTCTGGGCGGCTTGCAATTCTAAGGTTATAAAATAATTAAAACAGTAACAACATCCACAGAATAAATAAGTACAAGCTGCAGCTGTGATGATTAATCATTAATTTCTAGAGGGACTTGAAGATTTTAAGCAGTGAACAGCCCAGGGAATGTTAGCGGTCAGTTCAATGGGAGGGAGGTTGATAATGCCTTAGTCTGAGGATTCTCGCTCAGTGAAGAAGGCAAGAAGTCTAGAGAGGCTCACAATCTTCAGGGTAGCACAGAGATCTAGAGCTGCAGCCTTCAATGCCTTAGACAGACCGTAGGACAAACAAGAAGAGCAATGGATCAAGTGAGCTTAAGAGAAGGATTCCAAGTAATACATCCCATTCAATAAGAACTCTGAGGCAGGCAATTTCCTGAAAGCACATTTTATTGGAACATATCAATTTTTTTAATTTTTATTTATTTTATTTCGTCAAGCATGTATTTTATGACAGGCATAAGTGTAAACATAATTATATATACATGAAAAGGATACGAATAAAAGAAAACATTAGGACAGGGACGGTAGGAACGCTGGTGCGCTTATGCACGCCCCTTACAGACCTCTTAGGAATGGGGTGAGGTCAACAGTAGACAGTCTAAGATTAAAGTTTTGGGGGTTTGGGGAAGAAACCACAGAGTCAGGAAGTGCATTCCAGGCGTTGACCACTCTGTTGCTGAAGTTGTATTTTCTGCAGTCTAGTTTGGAATGGTTTACCATGAGTTTGTATCTATTGTTTGCTCTTGTATTGTTTTGGTTGAAGCTGAAGTAGTCATTGGCTGGTAGGACATTGCAGCAGATGATTTTATGTACTATGCTTAGGTCAGACCGAAGATGGTGAAGTTCTAAGTTGTCTAAGCCCAAAATTTCGAGTCTGGTGGCATAAGGTATTTTGTTGTGAGCAGAGCAAATTGGCACGTTCCTGGTGAAAAACTGGCTCTACATTCCCATTGGTTTTACACCCAATTAAAAGTAAAACTTTGTCACTTCCTCCCAGAGTCTCCAGTCACATGGTCCAATCAGCATACAGTCTAGTTGCTAGGTGACCTCAGTTTCCACCTTCCAAAAACCTGCAGAAATGTCCTTGATTCCCAGGGGAAAGAATTTTATTTTGGCTACAGAACCGCAGCTATCTGTATACCCCACCTCCCTCCCTGCCCCTCAGCTCCAGGCTGTGTCAGCCCTGAAGCAATGTGAAGACTAAACCCTCATAGGAAAGGCTACAGAGCAGAAAATGGCCAACATTGGGCCAACTTCAGGGTTGACACCAAGAGCCATTGCTGTGTCCCTCACCTTTGCTCTCATTCCCTTTGCTTTCTCATTCTGTTTCCCCAGAGGATCCAAAGGCTCGGACTGCCTGCCCTTCTGGCAGCTTTGCCAATAAAGAGCAAAGCCAGTGGTATTGCTACAAGTTCTATGAAGATGTCTTCACCTTTCAAGAGGCTGAGGTAACTACCCTGAGGTAACTCACCTGAGATAACTCACCTGAGCAGGAAGGATGCCCTTCATCTGGCCCAGAGTTTTTCCAGACTTCACAATGCCAAGTGTCATTTTTTTTTTCATGAAGAGCGCCTGCTGTCCCTTAAAAGAATGATAGAAGTCTAAAAGAAATATAATATTTTATTAATTAGGTTGAATTCCCTTCCATTTAGTACTTTGAAAATAAATCTGAATGGGTTTAATGGGCTTCACTTCAATATCTGAGTGAAATTTGATAAAGGAAATAGAAGTCGAATGAGACAGCCCAGTGCTCCATTTAAGTGGTATTGGATATTGTGTGGTTTAACCTGTTGTGCAACTCGGCTCTTGTCTTATCCATGTTGTGGGACCAAGGCCAACAATCATAGGGTTAACAGGTGTCCTCCTTAGCAACCATTCGCAGTAATGACAGTGATGGAAAGGTATCTTTATGGCCAATCCTCACACTTATGGCAGTTGCAATTTACTTACCAATTGCTTCATTAAATGACTGCATTGCCAGTCTCATTTGTGGTTCTTAAATGAGAGCCTTCCAAAGTTCAAGCCATGTTGTTTCAAAATGGCCCCTTGTCTGTAAGACTGTTTCTATTTCCACATACAAAAGCACACCTCCTTCCCTCTTCTCGCTTTCCCACACCTTGCTTTTATGTGCCACTTTTTCATGGCTATCCCACTGCTGACACCACTCTCATACCTCGCTCATAAGCGTGACAGTCATTCTGAGAGTCATTAGAAATGCCAGGAGCTGTCAATCAGTCCATACAGCCATAGGATAAAAAGTTTTCCTACATCCCAGGCTGTAATGGTTTGATCAACCCATGTCTCACCATTTTAAAAGAGAGAAAAATAAATTAAAATACAAAATGCTATGTTGGTTAACAGGTATAACAATAGTACAAAGCCCTCAGTTGAGAGGGCCTTCCTTCCCTACCCAAACTACAAAAGCCTCCAGATTGATAGGCCTGGATTGTAGCAGTCCTGCAACGGACAACCTGGTTTGTTGGTGGTAAATAACCAGCCACTGTCAAGGAGCAAGTCTGAAGGCATCTCTTTTCTCTTCAGAGGATATTTTTGGTTCTTCTCTTTTTGCAGGAAGAGTGTCAGTTCAAATGCAAAGGTCATTTAGCATCTTTCACAAGTGACGCCCAGGCAAGATATGTCAACGCCTACATCTCTAAAGAAAACCTAGAAAAGAATTGGGTCTGGATTGGGCTACAACGACTTCCAACATCCGATATGGTGAGTATTCGGTCCTCCTCTCTCTGACCAATTAGCAGCTGTTTCCATACAGATGTTTCTTGAGTAGTGATTTACAACCTCCTTGAAAAGCCCAGCAACCTTGTTCCATCTCCATTCCTTGATGCCAATGTCAGTTTAAATGCAACACCATCCCATTGCCGCTCCTGACACAAGGGGTGTCAGGACACAAGCAGTTCACTCTCCCCATAGTCCAATTCCCCTTCAGATCACAAAGAAGCAGATCTATAGTCAGCAAGGAATTTCTCTCTCCTTTTTAATAGCTCATAGGATTTATTCTAAGTTAAGCTAAATTGGCTCCGTGTTTTTCAATAAGGAAACCATGTTTTCTACCAGGGAAGTAGGAAGAGCAGGAGGAAGGGGAAGGGTTGAAAACTGAAATGGAAGGAAACATGGTCAGGAAACACCTTCATCCAATGAAGGACTTCAAGTCCTCAGGTTTTGGAGGAACTAGTTGATGGTTGGGATGAACTTTTGTGAATTTGAGAAATCCTGGAGACGGGTGGAACTGCCACCAGACTTGGAGAAGGAAAAAAGACGTCCTTGTCTTTAAAAGGGGGGAAGGCACAATGCAGAAATGCAGCTGTAGACCGTCTGATGTTGATACCTGATGTTGATACCTGGGGAGATTCTTGAGGAGCTAATGATAAAGAGATCGATCACAATAAGCCCTTTGAAGACAATGTCATAAGTCCCAGATATCTGTATGCATTTGTCAGGAATAAATCCTGCCCAATTGTCTTCATCTCACTGTTTCCTCAGACAGTTTAGTGGATTATGGTCATGCTGCAGACGTAAATATCTTGATTTCAGTAAAGCATTTAAAAGCATACAGTACTCCAGTAATTGCCAACCAGCAAGCTAATTGTGTGTCACAGCATCTTAAGAATTATGGGAAACTCATCGTTATCTTGACAATCATATTCCCAGAAAATAAAATTGGAAGAGATTGAAGATCAATTTTTTTTGGTCTCCTGCTCTTTGAAGATACCTAGCATATCTCACCAAAACTTTGTCTTCTCAAAGATAAACATGTGTCATGTTTCCAACATTAAGTTCTCCTAAAGATTTCTTTCTAAGCCTTTATCATCTTGATTGTTCTCTTCTGGACACTCTTCAATTTCTCAATGCCCTTCCTGAAATACAATAACCAGAACTGGACACTTGTCAATATTTTCATCGTTGCTTTGAATGAAGGAGTGTTAAACTGGGATAGACAATACCCTAGAGCAGTGTCACAAACCCCACTCCCTTCTAGCACTGATGATGTTACCTAATTGGGTCATGAAACATCTGCAAATAAACATTCAAGCTCAGAGAGCACCCAGGACTCCAATCTGAGCTACAAATATTCTCTTCTATTAATGAGAAGATGTTTTGCTTCTCATCCAAGAGGCTTCTTCACTTCAGCCCCTTTGAGACAACCATGACCTGGATGACTGAGAATCTCCATAGACAGAAAGTGTTTAATTTTCAGAAACAAACGGGATCAATAACCCAAACTCCCACTCACCCACCACAATGTACTTTATTCTGTATTGCACAGAATACTGGATGGCGCTGGAACGATGGGACACGATCCAGTTATACCAGGTGGCGCTCTGGAGACCCCAACAATATGGATAAAAATGAGTTTTGCGTTGCTCTCTCTCCTCAGACTGGTCAGTAGGAAAAAACCTTCATTCCTTAGTGTGGTTGAAGTTTGCATCTGTAATTCCAGGAAAGCAGGGGAGGGGAAGGGAAGGGAGGGAAGACAAGGAAGGGGAGGGGAGGGAAAAAAGGGAAGGGAAGAGAAAAAAGGGAAGGGAAGGAGAAAAAGGGAAGGGATGGGTGGACAGGGAAGGGATGGGAAGGGAAGGGAGGGAAGATGGGAAAGGGAAGGGAAAGAAAAGGAAGGGAAGGGAAGATGGGAAGGGAAGATGGGAAAGGGAAGGGAAGAAAAGGGAAGTCAGGAAGGGAAGGGAAATATCCATACAGATCCTGGGAATAATGCTCAAATTGAAGGATACTTTTTTGGTGTGGCTGATTTAAAGTACTTATTGGAGAACCTTAAGAGGCAAAAGTTAGACATTTCTAGAGTCTCATAAAATGGTACTTCCTCATCTCAGCATTTGTCGCAGAGGGAACCTAGTCTAACTGCTTCTTTCTGCCATTTCAAAGCTGGAGAGGTTTGTGAATGCCTGATTTTCTTTCAGACATTGATATTTCCATGGCCACCCAGTTCAACCAAGGGGACTCTGAGTGGAAACAAAAATAAACATACAACCCAAAACATCAATTGTATTTCATCTTAAAAAGTAATCCAGATGTGCCAAAACTGTAATTTAAATAGAATAGATTAATGTTTTTTCAAGATTAACCACTTTAAGAAGTGTGGCCTTCAACTCCCAGAATCCCCCAAGCAGAGACCCAAATCTTAACTCCTTTCTGAAAGAGATGGCTCAGCTTATAATATGTGTTCCTCAGCTCCCAGAATCCCCCAAGCAGAGACTCAAATGCTTGAGGGAAGACCCTGGTCTTAACTGCCTTCATGAAAGAGTTGAGTCCGTTGTAGCTCAGCAGGAAGATTGTTCTAGAGCAGGGAGGCAGCCACCGAAAATGGGCCCTTCCCAGATCCCATCAGGTGGCAATGCTTAGATGAGGGGAGCTGCAGCATGGCCCCACCCCACCTGTAGCTGAGCGGAGTTAAGCTTGTCATCTGTTTGAAGTCTTTGTGTCACCACAGGAGACCTAAGTCCATCCCCCCTTGAATTCTGTTGAGTCTTATCTATGCCAATTTAGCTTTGACTATTGGTTAGAACATAGAACGATAGTGTTGGAAGGGACCAATTTCTAATCCAACCCCCTGTTTGAACAGGAGACTCTATAGCATTGGAGACAAATGGTTGTCCAATCTCTTTTTGAAAGCCTCCAGTGATGGAGCACCCACGACTCCTGAAGGCAAACTATTCCATTGGTTGATTGCTTTCGCCATTAGGATATTTCTCCTTAGTTCTAGGCTGCTTCTCTCTTTGGTTCGTTTCCATCCATTGTTTCTTGTTTGCCTTTAGGTGCTTTTGAGAATAGGTTGACCCCCCTCGTCTTGATAGGAGCCCCTCAAATATTGGAAGACTGCTATCACGTCAGCCCTGGTCCTTCTTTTCATTGAAGTAGACCTACCCAATTCCTGCAACTGTTCTTCATATGATCTTCGGCCCCTTAATCCTCTTTGTTGCTCTGCTCTGCATTCTTTCCAGAGTCTCAACATCTTTTTATATTGGGGTGACCAGAACTGGATGCAAGACTCATGACTAGATTTTTGTATATAGGTGGTGATAATAAACTCTTCTGTGCTTCAAACCCAATGAATCTTCCTGAATATTTGCACCTGACACTCCCCTTGGGAGAGCACATGGGCTAGGCAGTTGTTCTTGGAAAGTGATGCAAGTAGCCCAGTCTAACGGTGATAACCTCCCATGTTCCTTTCTTTCAGAGCACTTGAAATGGGTTGATATAGACTGTAATAAGAAACTTCCTTTTCTCTGCAAATGGAGACCCGCTTAAGCCAAGTCTGCAGATGGAGTTAGAGGGGCTCCCCACTGATTGGAAAGCTGAGCTGAGATCTTGCAGTTCCATCTTCTTCATGTGCAAAACCTCTTTTCCACAAAGACCATCTGAACATCAAGCAGTTGGTTCCTCTCTGTCCTCTAGACTTGCTTCTCTTCCCCTCTTTCTGAAGAACTTGCCCCCCCCCCTTGATAATAAAGTCTATTGCTCTGCCCTTGTCTTGAGTTTGGCTTTTCTCTCCCAGGGGGTCCAGGGCCCCTCCCTGAATGAGTCTCAGAGGGAAGAGGGTGTTGTCTCTGCAGATGACTTTCTGGTCACAAAACACACAATGCAACCTTATCAGCTCCTTTCTCTCCCACCTTTTCTCTCAGAGGGAAATGTGAGATTAATGAGAGGAGAAATAGGGATTTGTGGAAATAATGTCCCCCTGGAGAGAAAAGGATCCACGCAGGGTGGGTAGCTGGAGAATCCCTGAACCAAACCAGACCAAAAACATGAACCAGCAAAAACTGAAGGAAAGAAAGAATGCATTCAGGATGCCCGTATTCTGGTTCATTGGCGCCTCCTGTAGGGTCTGGGGAGCCAGAAGTCATGTCTCTGTCAGGGTGTTTCAGCTGCAGAGCAAGGACGCTACTTTCCTGAAAAGGTTCCCTCTTCCCACTGGGGACAGGTCAGCTCCAAGGGCTCTTAGATCAGAGGTCAAACTCCAAAGGAAATCCACAACTGGCTCCCTCTGACTGATGAAGCTGCTTGGATGAACAGCAAAATGTCTCAAACTAACAACCAAAAATTAGTGCAGTTGCAATGACTCAACTTTCAAGCAAGGAAGCCTCTCATTTTTTGTGGAAATCTGAAGCTGGGCTCTGGGAAGAACCTCAGCCATTGTCTGCATTCCCACTTCTTGTTCATTTTGCTTTTGAGTGAAGCTTCTTCTTCTTTTTTTTTAATGTGGTGGAAACACTGTCAGTTTCCTTATTTTATTGCTCAGGTTTATTTCTGATTTTGAGACTCAGAAGCCTGCAGGCAACCTATTTGCTGTGCAAATAAAGATAAAGATCAAGGACAAATACAGGTGCAGTTTATATACACAAAACTCAGCATCTCCAGTCAGGTGAAAGTAAACAGATCCACTCCATAAATAAACTTAAGCAGATATTTTATTGCTGGGCACCTGTATTACAAGAATTTCACCAGACTGTTTGCATTCCCTCGGGAAAAGGTAAATATAGAGCTTTGGGTTTGCCCTGAAATGTTATCTCCCCTGAATTGAATGGTTTTCTGCCCCCACTGGAGAGGCCCCCTTCCCTTCAGCCAGTGGTCCCATCACCTCTGCCTGGGCTTCGATCTAGGATCAAGATGAAAAATAAGGAAGGACCAGAAAGCCACCAGGATTTCCCCACAAGGAGCAACATTATGACCTAGCAGAAATTAATATGTAAAGAAGGAAAAGTCTTATCACACCCCTCCATTGAGGTGCAGTCCACTCACGTAAAAATCCATTCAAAAAATCTGCTTGGTCAGAAAGCCAAACAGCCATTACCAATAAAGGAGGATATTTGTAGCTCAGGGTTGAAATGTGGGCTCCTCGGTGCTCTGTGCATTTGCTGGTTTTCTTGTGGATGCTTTCTTTGCTTTTTCTTCCAGTCATCCACCTAGGTAATTTACATTTGGTGCAGGTGTAATTTGGTTCCTCTGTGGGCACGAATGCTTGCATGGCCCATTGTTTGCAAATCACTATGGTGCTCGTGTGTTTTTCCACAACTATGTCATCCCTCATGCAATTGGAAGCAGGATGCTCCGTCCCATATTTGGGTAGACCAGGTTGCCCTGATAGACCGGGCTCAGTGGAAAAGACACGTAATCTCCCCCCTGGTGTAGCTGACAAAGCGAGGAGAGCTCGTGGCTTAGAGGTTAATACATCTACCTAATACATAAGTAGCCCAGGTTCGAATCCCAGAAGGGCACGGCTAGCTGACGAGAGCTAAATAGCTTGAAATAGATCTATACTAGTCTCCCTTTCTTTCTTTGTTGGTAAATATAAATTCTTCATGCAATCGCTCCCAGGAGTTCCAAGGCTCCCCCCATCCCGCTTTTCCTGTTTCCCTTTTTAAAAACAATCCTTCCAAGGCGGTAATCTTTGGCTCCCTTCATTCTTTTAAAAATTAAAAAAATATTTTAAAAAAACTCAATCTGCAAAAAAGAGGATTTGCAGTCCTATGTTTGGAGTTAATGTAGAAAGGACTGAGAAAAAAAGGAAGTCCGGGCTTCCCTCTTTTTTCTTTGCTAGAATTCGAGAAATGATTTGAGATACCAAAAGGGGAAAAGTAGCCACCAAGCCCCCTCTCTCCACAAAGTCTTTTTTGCCTGCCATTTGGGCTGATGACCACTGAGTATCCCAAGCAGAGATCAGAAAAAAGAGCACAGAATGGAGCAGAAATATATATATATATATATATATTTTCCTTTCTTCTGTTTCACCTTTTTTGGTGAGGGTGAGGAGGGGAAGTAGAGCCTGTTGCAATATTTTCAGGATCAGACTCAATAATAATAATAAGAGTTAGAGGTTTAAATATATTTCTCTTTAATTATAATAGGCATTCTATATTCACTGAATATTCACAGATAGAAGCGAAGAAAATGGTGAAGGTGGCTCCTTATATATACAAAGGGTGGAGCCAAGAGTGGGAGTGGTGAATTATGAATACATTAAGAGTCAAAGAATAAGTTAACCCCTGATATCCCATATATACATTATTTACACATTAGGGAATAAGGCATTTACATCTGACAAATCCCCCTCTAAATGCCGGTTCGCTATACAACACCAATTACATTCAGATTCAGGACAATATAAGACATACAATTTGGAAGTTAAGTATTTGTGCTGTTTAGAAGGTAAAGGCTTCGTCAATATGTCAGCTAATTGTTCAGAGGTATCACAATGCACTGCTTTGATAAATCCATCTTGAGACAATTGTCTCACATGCTTAAATTTTATATCTATATGCCTGGATCTTTGTCCAATGGCATCGGATCTAGATATTTCAATGGCTGCTTTATTGTCTTCATGCATAACAAAAGGCAAAGCAGGTTTTTTCCAAACATCTGAAATTAAATCATTAAACCATACAAGGTTATTTGCAGCTTTGGATAAACAAACATATTCCGCTTCTGTGGTTGAAGTGGCTACCAGTTCTTGTTTACCAGTGTACCAGTAAACTGGACAGTCATTTAACAGAAAAATATAACCAGAAGTACTTTTTCTGCATGATATATCTCCAGCCCAATCCGCATCTGCGTAACATGTAAGTTTTGGTTCTTTATTATCACTAGGTTCTAATACTAGGCAAAAGTCTAATGTACTTTTCAGATATCTTAAAATTCTTTTGACAGCTTCCCAGTGATACATTGTTGGTTTGCTAACGTGCCTTGATAATAAATTGAGTGGTAATGCAATATCTGGCCTAGTCCAATTAGATATATAAAGAAGTGAACCTATGACTGATCTATAAAATGTATTATCCTTGAATTCAGGGGAAGATTCATCAGTATTTCTAAGGAAATCAGTTTGCATAGGAGTATCACATGGTTTAGCGTTGTTTAAATTGCATTTGTTTAGAAGTTCAACAATCTTATCTTTCTGAGTAAGTTTGAATCCCCTTCTAGTTTTGTTAATTTGTACACCAAGGTATTTGTTTACTTTACCTAGAGATTTCAACGAGAAATGTTCATTTAGCTTGTTTACAAAGATTTCTCTTCTCTCTTTGTGTTTTCCTATATATAAAATATCATCTACATAAATCAATACAAATTCAATGTAATCATCACTTTTTTTGACAAAGAAACAGTTATCAGCAGTGGTAGCGTTGAAATCCATGGTCTTAAGTACTTTTACCAAGCAATCGTACCATCTTTTGCCAGATTGCTTTAATCCGTATAAACTCTTGTTCAATAGCCAAATTTCATTTTTATTAGTGTATTGACTGTGAGGTGCTCTTACATATATTTCCTTATCTAGTTTTGCGTGTAGATACGCAGTCTGTATGTCATATTGAAATACATCAAGATTGAGTGCGGATGCTACTACTAGAGCTGTTTTAACACTCTCTGTTCTTACTGTGGGGGAGTACGTGTCAGTATAGTCCTCCGGATATTTTTGTGCATAACCTTGTGCAACCAATCTAGCTTTGTATAGGGTATTGCCTCCTTCTAGGTTCTTAATTTTATAAATCCACCTGGTACCAATAATTGTTTTATCTTTAGGTGCAATCGCAGGTGTGAATACATTTAATCCTTGCAAACTTTCCATCTCTTTTTTCATAGCTAGTTCCCATTTTTCTTTTTCTTCACGAGGGAGTTTTAATACTTCCTCATATGTATTAGGTGTTATTTGTTCACCATCCATATGCATTATGTAATCTCTGTATTTATTTGGTATTTGATTTCTGTTGTTCCTAATAGCTCTTTCAGGTTTGCTATGGTAGACATGCAAATATCTTGCTTCCTTTTTTTGTTAATGTGTCTGTCTTTATTTTGTGTTGACTATTTGTCCATGTTTTGGTTTTGTTTTTATTTTTGTTGATATTTTGATTTTCTATTGTCCCTTCCTCACGAGATTTTGTATCTTTGCATTTATTTGGAAATATTTCATTAAGATGTAATTTAGACCAGTTGGCCTGTTCATGGAACACAGCTGTTCTGGAAACTATAAATTTGTTATTATTATCAATGAATCTGTACCCTTTGGTGCCAGTTTCATATCCCATAAATCTTAGTCTTCTGGATACGTTTTCTCCCTTTCTTCTCAACTGTTTAGGTATGTGTACGTCTGCAGTGACCCCAAATATGTGCATGTGTGCTAATTTTGGTTTCCTATTATACATCACCTCATATGGTGTCTTATTCACAATACTGGACCAGGTTCTATTTTGAGTGTAATGTGAATAATGTAAGGCTTCTGACCAAAATTGTTTGCCTAAACCAGCATCCTCTAATGTGCACCTAATCATGGTTTGTAATGTGGAATTCTTTCTCTCTGCAATCCCGTTCTGGAACGCAGAAAATGGACTAGACGTGTAATGTAGCATTCCTCTATCCTTTAACCATTGGGAGAATTCTTTAGACATGAATTCACATCCCCTATCTGTCATAATTTGTTTTATTCTGATATTATGTTGTGTTTCTATGCGTTTGTAAAATTCCTTAAATTTTTGAAAGGTTTCATCCTTGTGTTTTAATGTGTAAACAAAACCATAGCGACTGTAATCGTCTACTATTGTTAGGAAGTAACGTTTTCTATAAGTGATTGATGGAGTTAATGGGCCAACTAAGTCCATGTGTACTAAGTCAAAAATTTTGTTAGTTGATCTGGTGGATTTTTTTGGCCTGGGACTAGTTTTTAGTTTAGTAGATTTACATACTGAGCATTCCAAATAATTTTCACAATTTTTTATTTTGACACCTTCTGCGTGTTCAGTCATTTTTTGTACTACAGGAAAACTTGCATGTCCTAACTTCCTATGTAAGATGTGAGCACACTCGTCATGAATTGGTTTACCTATTTTTGGTTTCTTCTCATTGTGTGTATCTGTGTGATCATGAGATATTTTACATTCATCATTGTCACTGTTACTAATATTTTCATCATCTGCCTCAATACAATCTTCCATATTTGAATCAATGTTATGTAACCATCTTTCTTTTGTTATCAGATAGGGTAGGCCTCCTTTAATCATCACAGTGCCTACATTTGTTTTATTCTTCTCTAAAGTTGCTTTTCCCTTTGAGAAAACTATATTGATGTCAGAATCTCTGCTTAGTTTTATGGCACTTAGTATGTTATGAGGTATTTCTGGTATTAACAATACCCCCTCTATTTTTCCTAGACCAGGCAAGGTCACATTCCCTCTGCCTAATACTTGAACTTTTTCTTGATTAGCTACCTTTATTACAAACTTATCTTCTGTAAATGAAGACAATATATTTTTGTTATTAGTGGTGTGATTAGTTGCCCCAGAATCAATAAGCCAATTATTGTTCTCATTTTGTTGCGTTTTAGTGCTGTCTTGTTTATTTAGTCCATTCAGTGAACCAGATTTTCTCTCTTTTGAATTTTCTCTGCCCCCTCTACTTTCTCTGTAATTTGGTGGGCTTCTATATTTATGTCTATCTATGGAAGACTGTCTATAATTGTATTTATTCCTATATTCTGACCTATGTCTTTCCTTTGAAATTTTGGGACAATCTCTTCTATTGTGTTCCCTGGACCCACAATTGTGGCATTTAAAAGTTTCATTATATTTTTCTTGGAAAGCTACCTTCCTAAAAGATTTGTGTTCTGTGTGATTGCTATAACGATTTTTTCTTGAATTGTCTTCTGCTATCAATTTGTTAGACAGACTTTCTATTGATAAATATCCTAGATTGATGGTGTCTAGGTGTGACATAAAACTATCCCATGATGAATCAAGTGAGTTGATAATAACACTTTTCATTGTTTGATCTGAAATCACTTCCCCCCTCAAATGCAGCTCAGCTCTTATTTTGTTTAAAGATATTAAATGCTCACTTATGGAAACCCCTGGTTTTACTCTGGAAGAAAAGAAGTCCTTAGACATTCTTGTGGTGGTAGCTACACTATCGCTGTGAAACAAATTAAACATGCATTGAATTATTTCTGAAACAGTTAGATTTGGTTTGATGCTATGATACATTGCAGGAGACACGCTAGATATTATTAAGAAAAATGCCTTATGGTGTAAACAATCTATTTTTAAAGTCCAAGGTCTTCTTGGGGGACTAGTGATAAAAAATAGTAAATTTTCTTTCATAAAAACAACCTGGAGCTGTTGATACCATTCTTGCAAATTAATGCCATCAACCCTAAGTTTTGGGAAGTCACTGGGTAAGTTTCCCACATTATTTTGTCCATTACTTACAACCTGAGGTAGTCCGTGGTCTCGCAAGTGTAGGAAATTGCAAAACGGCATGGGGATGCTCGCAACGAGTCTGCGCGGTTCTCTGGCCAGTTCAAGTCTTTCCGGACCGTCTACGTAATTTCGCACATGCGCGTTGTTCATTTCTTCTTTGGCGTCGTCGTGGAAGGTTCTCTCCATTGTAGCTCGCTCGCTCCGCTCCTCTTCAGACGAGTCGGTCTCTGGCTCGGTCTTAGGAGTTCTGATGGCGGCGACTGTTCTTCTCTTTCTTTTGGGTGCGTTGGCACTTGCTTCGGTCTGCGGTGTAGGGCGGAATCGACATGGCTCTCTGGGCTCGGGCATCGTCGTTCTCGAAGTCAGGATGGGAGCGTGCAGGTCTTGAAGTATCGGCTTGTTCGCTTGCTTCTTCGTTGGCGCTTTGGAAATTTTTAATTTTGGCCCAAATGCAGCAAAAAGTGTCTTCATTGCTGACTTTACTTGGGATTTCGTTAAGTCGTCTTCACTTTCTGATTCTGGCTCTTCCGAAGAGTTTGAATCCTCCTTTTCACTTTCGTTGTCTGATAACGTTTTTCGCGCCAGAAATTTTGAACTGAGCATTTTGATTGGCTCTGCTTCGCTCACTTTGGAGGCTTGTTGAAACCAAGATGGCTGCCATTCAAAATTTCGCGCGGGATCACATTTTTTCTTTTTCATAACGACTTTCTCTGTAGTCATATCACTCACAGTTTTTTGGTCTTTGGGTTTCTCTTTAGCGATGTTTTTCTCTTTCGCTGCTCCGCTGTTCTTCAGCATTTCTTGGAGGTTCGCGATGAGGCTTTCATCATTCTTCTGGCTTTTTAATAACTTCAATATCTCTGACCTGAGTTCGTTATTTTCTATTTCGATTTCCTCCTGGCCATCATTTTCATTTATTAATTCTTCTTCTTCAGTGGTGTATTCTCCGGATTCTCTCGAAATCGCGTTTGTGGATTCGTTGATTATTTCTTGTTCAGTTTCTATTTCTTTGCTGTAGGCCCTGGTGTTGGGCCTATCTTTCTTAGACATTTTTTAGGTATTTATTGAGTCAATTAACCATCCTCTGCTACCAGCTTGTTGCAATATTTTCAGGATCAGACTCAATAATAATAATAAGAGTTAGAGGTTTAAATATATTTCTCTTTAATTATAATAGGCATTCTATATTCACTGAATATTCACAGATAGAAGCGAAGAAAATGGTGAAGGTGGCTCCTTATATATACAAAGGGTGGAGCCAAGAGTGGGAGTGGTGAATTATGAATACATTAAGAGTCAAAGAATAAGTTAACCCCTGATATCCCATATATACATTATTTACACATTAGGGAATAAGGCATTTACATCTGACAGAGCCTCCTCCTCCTCCTCCTCCTCCTCCTCCCCCTCCCCTCTCCAAATCCCACTCCCTTCTAACCCTGATGGTGTTACCTAATTGAGTCATGATTTGGTTTTGTCTCTTAATCGGGGCAACTGAATGGAGCTCAGTGTTTACTGTCCAAATGCCCTTCCTGTCACCAATTCAGAATTCACAGCTGATACTCATTGTGCCCAGAGAGAGAAATATCTGTCGCTACCTAGGATTGAACTCACAGCCTCCTGATTGTGAGGTGAGAGCTCCACCTCTAGGTCACTGCACCATTCTAGTTGGGTCATGAAATGTCTGCAAGAAAAGAACAAAGCTCAGAGAGCACCAAGGGCCCCGCAGTCCTCCTCCTCCCCCCTGCAAAACTCCCCTTCCTTCTAGCACCGACGATGTTTCCTAGTTGGGTCATATCTACAAGAAAACAACCTAGCTGAGAGAGCGAAGGCCCCCAATGCCTTCAAAGGCCAGGTGAAAAGAATCCCTCAGAAGTGGGGCTCTTCTCCCCAGATATGGAAGCAACACAGGCTGCCGGCAGAGGGAGAGCTGGGGGGGGGGGGTTCCCACTAAGACCTTGGACTGCCAGAGAGGGCGCTGTGGGCTAGAGGCATCACAGGCTCTTTGACGCCATCCAGAGGGGGTTCAGATCTTTGCAACCCTGACAGAGTAGTCCAGCACAGCCCAGGCCTTCAGGGACCCACTCCACCATCCCACCCCTATGCCTTTCCCAGAAGAGTGGGGATCCCGTGCCAGTCACCTTTGGGGGCAGTAAAATGGTGCTGAAGCCCAACAGATTCTCAACCCTCCAATGAAAATGAGGTGGACGTGCAAGAAAGCATCAAAGCATCAATGGATGGTCCTTCTTAAGAGATATTGAGAATCTCTACAGACTTTTAGCCATACAATTTGGGATAAACGCCCTTTGAATGGGGTGGGAGTAGGAATGGATTTCCAGAGGAAAAATTGCAGACCACAGGAACCATTTGCACCACTCAGGTGACCCTGAGGACACAGGTAAACCTCCAAGGACCCTCTAAAAGGATGCAAATGACCAGCTGTCTGCAAAGACTAGAAATCCTTTCCTTCCCCACCATCCAGTCAGAGCTGAAGAAGCTTCTTGGATGAGAAGTGAAACCTCTTCAAAAGAAAAAACCAGAAAGCCCAGCTGCCTCCTGAAAAAGCACCTTTGGGACAATCCTGACCTGGAAGACGGAGAATCTCTACGGCCTTTTTAAAAGATAAAGCCGAGCCTCGCCCTGAAGGAGATTCAGAGGTCTTAAAGCTTTGGACCTCAATCGTCTCCAAAATAAACAAGGCCAGTCGTGCTAAAGCAGAGTTTATTTGACTTTCTGCCCCATCAAGAGGAGCAAAGCCAGATCAAAGCTACAGAAAGCATCCACGAAGTGAAGGGGTGCAGAGCTTCGTTGCTTCTCCAGACTTCACCAGGGGCTTCGCTCACTCGGGAGCAAGAAAAGGAGAGATTTGCACTACAATCTGCACTGGCAGAGGAAAGGATGAACGGACTCACAAGGTACATCATTCCATTTGAGAAATCCTGGACGGCAAAAGAGAAAGTTTCATGTTCAGTTTGGACCAGCCTTCCAATTTGTTTGCCCTGCACACCCAACTGATCCTCACTACGGCAAGTGAGTTGGGAGTGAACTCTTACGCTTTGTTTCCCAGTTTTTAAGGCAAGGAGGATTGGCCCCTGGGCTATCCAGGGGTTTCTTTTAGCAAGGGTCTTTTGGAGAGTCTTCTTCAAAAGGAAGAAGAAAGTTCTTCGTTGAGAAGAAGACTTCCTGCCCAGGAGAAGAGGAAGGCAAGATGGAGTGAAGGTTCCTGTCTGTTACAATAATGACCTTCCAGAAGTAGGTTAAGGTGGAGATGGTTGGTTTAATTATGGCACTGTAATAATTAAGTTTGGGTTTTTGAAGAAGTGGCGAATTCCATGTTTGTTTATTGCATGGCTGTTTTGTTTGGCTTTAGAGAGGGTTAGGCTGTGAGAGCTTAGAATCTAAGAGGTCAACAAAGGTCATCACTGGCCAGCTGGTGGGTGTCCCAAGATGGATGAAATAAGTCCTGATTGTTGAAAGTGCCTCTTCACTACCCTCCCCTTCACCTTGGCTTACCTGTCTTGGCCAAGAGCTCAACACAGTACTCTTTGTTATGTTCGTTGTTGGGCTCTCCTGAATTCCAGGAGAAGTAGTTAGTGCTGGATCTGTCTGTCCACTCCCAGACGCGTTTCTGGAATGACAGGGAAACCATGTTAGCCAAGGGAGAAGGGGGATCTCTCTCTACATGGCCCAGGAGATGACAAATTGGAAAGGGGCAAATCTCTCTCTCTCTGTGTGTGTGTCTCTCTCTCTGTGTCTCTCTCTTTCTCTCTGCATGTGTCTCTCTCTCCTCAGTTGATCTGGAACAGCTAACCAGGGTTAAAATTGGTGAATGTTTTTTTTAAAACATTTTTTACTGGTTTTTCTCTTTACATTCCATATGTGCTTAATGTTTTATAGGTATGTTCTGAAACATGTCCACTAAATGTTGGAAATGCAATCAGATACCGGGCTCTTATTGTCATATGTGGTGGACATGTCCCATGGGAAAAAAGAATCTGGACGAAAATACATACATGGTTAGAAAAAGGATAAAGCAACAAATAGCCTTGGTAGTACAGGGGTTTAAGGCACCCTGTTATTAAGCTGGTTATTAAGACCAGCTGCCTGCAATTACTGCAGGGTTCGAATCTCTCCAAGGCTCAAGGTCGACTCAGCCTTCCATCCTTTCTAAGGTAGGTGAAATGAGGACCCAGTTTGTGGGGCAATAAGCTGACTTTGTATAAATATACAAAAATATGAAGGCTATTGCTTAGCGCATTGTAAGCCGCCCTGAGTCTCCGGAGAAGGGCGGCATATAAATTAAAGCAAAAAAAAAAATAGACCCCTGACAGTGAACCTATAGCACGCGTGAGCCCTCTTTGTGGGCAGGCAAGCCATCACCAGGGGCTCTTCTGGTTTCCAGCACACGCATGGACACCGACCAGCCGGTCTTCATGAATGCTGGAGTGCCGGAAACCTAAAGACCAGGTGGCCAGCACACGCATGCACACCGTCTACCTGGTCTTTGGGTTTCCGGCACATTCCATTTTTTGCACTTGGTCCTGAAAAGGTACCCTCACTGATAGAGACTTAAAGCCAGAAATATTTCTGTTAGGTATAATACTTGAAACTTATAATAAAGGGGATACATATCTAATATTACATGTGCTGAGAGCATTGAGAATCTTAATTGCACGATTGTAATTGTGATGAAAATATAATCCGAAAAATATTAGATTGTGCAGAGATGGATAGATTGACATTAAAAATAAAAGACAAGGAAGAAACAGAATATTTTACAACTTGGGACTCATTGTATCAGTGGTTAGATATAAGAGGTAGAAATTAGAAGATAAAAGATTATTGTTATGTTAAAAAATGATGAAAGACTATTATTATATAAAAGCAAGCATTATTATTATTTCTATTATTATGATTATTATTACTATTATTACTAGCACAATTATTATTTTTGTAAAAGTAAATGGACTGAGACAATACATTGTTGACTAAGCACTTGTGTATATTAAAGGAAAAAAATGTATTTAAAAAATGTTTTATAGGTGGTACTTAAACTCAGTGTTAATTTGTCCATTTCTGCACAGTTCATGCCCTTTTGTATGACCAGTTTTTCTGCGGGTATATATATATATATATTGAAGATCCCCAATAGGAAGAGTTTCAGTTCTAAGTCTAATTGTTCATTAGTAATTTCCTGTAGCCAATCTTAAATAAAATGTAAATTTTAGTAATATTTTTTTTGTCTGGTCCTAATAAAATTTTGTCTAGTTGTTGTGGTTTAAGATATATTCCATAAATTTCTTTTGGGGGGGGGGGGTTGGTGAAGGGAGAGAGAAAGTCTTGTGTTTCAGAAGGGAGTTTTGGTCTAAAAACCTGGAAGTAGCTTATTTGCAGAAAATATCTATCAACAGGCCAAAGACACAAAACGTGACTCCCTGGAGTTGAATTAGATTCTATTTATTTCAAACATTTATGTAGCTGCCCATCTTATATTGAACTCCAGGCAGGGCCGTCTTAACACCATTATGGGCCCCAGGCAAAGCAGTGTACGACAACTACTCACAGGAATAAAAATGTAAATGGTCGATAAAATTACACATATATTTATTTTATTGGCACTTCCAACAAAATCGGCATTGAAACACTAAAAACATGCTGTGCAGCAACAACTGATCAACATGATCAACATCTGAACAATACAGGAGGCTTGAAAAACACAATAGTACTCAGTAAGCCACACAGTTGCTGCATTTATATGATACAAGGTGCACTGAAGGGTTAACCTACGCAGATGAGCTCCTGGGGCCCATCAGGCGTTAAGGCAGCCCTGACTCCAGGTGGCTCCCAATCAACAATTAAGCAACACCAATAACAAAGAACAGGGGCTCCGTGTCCAAGCAGGTGAAATCCAGGTGAAGCCCCATCCCTGCTCCTTCCAACCGTTATACAGATCAATACTTACAAACAAACAAATGAACAGAACAAAAACTCACTCATGGCTTCATATTGTCAGGATAACAAAAACACCTCTTGTGTTTGCATGGAATCTATCACAGCCTTGGAAGGACAGAGGAATTCATCCTCTTTACTTTTCAGCTAAGAGAAAGAAATGGCTCATGTGGAATGCAGGAGAAAACGGGATATTCTATTACTTATAAGGGCTGAACATTTTATACAGGTTTTCTTTATAAGAAGCCACCAGTGTAATTTTGATATTCCCCCCCCACAGATTTTGCCAATTGTCCAAATTGATACTGTACCCAAAACATCTACTCCAAGTTATCATCATCTCCTTAACTTGTTCTTCGAGCATATCTTGTTCTAATAAATAGTGATTTTTTTAATGGCCTTTCCCTCTGTGCTTAGTAAAATTTTATCCAGTTCTGATGGTTGTAATTTAATATCCCGCTCTTTTTTATCCTTCATGAATTTGGATTGTATTTGTAGGTATATCCACCATTCTCATTCAATTCCTTCTTCCTTTAATTTATTCCTTGATTTTAATCCCCCTTTCACATTTAGTAATTCTTTATATGTAATAGCCCCTCCCGTTTTGAGAAGATTAGGATGTGTGAGCATTTCTACTGTCGATATCCAGTTGGGGATGTCTATATAATTACTTCTTTTGGTCTTGATCCAAATATTTAAAAGTGCCCTCCTAATATAATGCCTTTGGAAGTACTGGTGGACCTTATACTTCCCTTCCCAGATGATAGCGTGCCACCCAGGGGTGGGTTCTAAAATTTTTTACTACCAGTTCTGTGGGCTTGGCTTATTTTGTGGGCGTGGCTTGGGGGGTAATGTGACTGGGTGGGCGTGGCCAACTCTTTTTTTTTTTTTTACTTTTACTTTTAAAAGCATTTTTTCTACAACCTTAAGAGGTTGCAGAAAACAATGCTTTTAGAAGCTTCTGACAATCAGGCAAATCTGTTGGGATCACCAGAAGCTTTTAAAGGGATTTTTTTCCTACAACCCATCCTTTTTTTGGGGGGGGATTTTTGCAAAGAAAAGGAACGCAGATAAGGCAGGTTTAAAGACCCCTCCGCTGCAAAGCCAGGGGCATCCCCTGGAAGTCCCAGTCATCGGCGATCCTGGGGCCCCCACCCCAAACAAGCCAATCCACAGGCTCGGATTCCCACCTACCCCCCTCTCCCCGTGAGCCACACAAAACACGCGTGGAGCATCGGAATCCCCAACTCGCGCCTGGTTTTGCAAAAGCCTAGTTGGATGCTTATCCTACGGTTGGGTAGATAATATATAGAAAACTATGTTCTGTAACTTTAACTGCTACAAAGATGACTAATTGGCTGGGCTAAGCAGACATAAAAGAAGGCAGGAAGTCCATTCACTTCTGCTCCTGCTATTAGAAGGCTGAACTGCTGAAAGGAACTGTGTCTGTGTTACTGAAGAGAACTGGTTGCGTTAAAGTTGTTACTTTAACCCAACCATTACAGTCGGTTGCAGGCTTAATGGATATAATTAATCAATATGGACAAGTATCTGGATTCAAAATAAATGCAGGGAAAACGAAGATAATAACTAAAAATATGACTATGAATCAAAAAGAAGAATTAGAAAAATTAACAGGATTTGAAATTGTAAAAAAAGTTAAGTATTTAGGGGTCTATATTATGACATCAAATGCAAAATTATTTAAGCATAATTATGATCCGTTGTGGCAAAAAATACAGAGAGAGATGGAAAACTGGAAAAAATTACAATTATCCTTGTTAGGAAGGATAGCAGCAGTAAAAATGAATGTTTTGCCTAAGTTTTTATTTCTTTTTCAAATGATACCTATACTAAAAAAAGATGAGAATTTGAAGATATGGCAGAAGGGTATTAATCATTTTGTCTGGGCAGGGAAGAAACCGAGAATAAAACAAAAAATAATGCAGGATATACGTGAAAGAGGAGGTCTCAAAATGCCTAATTTAAGATTATATTATGAGGCAGCTGTTCTATCAGCAATGAGTGATTGGATGAATTTAACAGAAGAAAGAATATTGAATATTGAGGGATATGATTTGGTTTACGGGTGGCATGCTTACTTATTATATGATAAGAAAGTGGACAAGACTTTTAAAAGCCATATATTAAGGAATGCTCTATTGTGTGTCTGGGAAAAGTATAAATATAAACTAAACGAGAAGTTACCATTGTGGGCAATACTCAGACACGCGATAGAGAATATAAGTGTAGAGCAAAGGCAGGATGTGATTACATATAAAGAGCTTCTTTTTTTTTTTATTGAAAAAGTTTTCAAATACAAGTTTTTCCCCCTTCCCCCCCTCTTCCCTAACCCCCCCTCACCACCCATCCCCCCCTGTGACTTCTTCTTCACAACAATAAGCTAATTCATAATTAATTACATAATATTTTACCATGCCCTTACTCACTCCTCAAAGTACTGACCCTTAGCATAATATTCTTATAACTCCGCTTTTCTCCGCTTTTCGCAATAATCTACCCTTTTTCTCCTCCCCCAAACTTATAAAATATTATTATTATTACAACAACATAACCTTTAATCTTTTATATATATTAATATAACATTTCAAAGCAGCCTTCTCCAAATTTAACATTTATTCAGTTCTATCCAATTCTTCCACTCCCCAAAATATATGACTTAAAAATCCTTTTTCTTAAACTAATCAATCACTAAACTAGCCTATTTCAACCCAGTTTCCTACAAGATTACCATACACTACAATTCTAAATATAATCCACTGCCCACTCTGCTAAATTATACATATGTCTATATATACATTCCATTTTATAAAAAGAGAAAAGACAATAACTTTAAATTTATAATTCATTTAGTATCTTCTTTGATGTCTTTCCACTAGATTGTTAAATCCATCATCCATAATAGGGTAACATAGCATCCTGGTGCAACAGTTTATTCAAAATCTTCAGTCATCTTCTGCCCCCATCAATAATGAATATCCTCATGTATATATAAAAGTAAAAACAACCACCCGAGTGACATTATAATTATATTCCATATAGTTGTAATTGTGGTTTTCATCAGGATTATAAATTCCCATCATCTTAGTGGGTAACAGCCAGATCTTCTGCATGCCCCAGCATGACTCTCTTGCCTTGTAACTCAAAATAATTATAATATATTTATCGGTAAAAGAAATCCAAAATAGATAGTTCAAATCCAACAATGTAAGGCTCTTTCCACATCCCAAAATCACGGCATTGCAGAGATCTGCCACTTTCCTCAAGATAGTATTAAACGATAATTCGCCTCCAATATCTTTTCACATATTCATTTATTTTTTAAAATCCCTGGCTTCACTGTTGCTTGGTTTAGAAACTACTATTTCTACGAGATCTGTTTCTTTTCTTTTTCTTTTGCGGGTTGCATTTCCATCCAGATTTCCTTCCTACAAGTTGTGTATCAGCTGATCGGTTGTCATTCTGCTTTGTAAATTGATCTTGTTGGTTTTGTTTTATTATCTCATATGTCTTTTCCATCACTTGTATATCAACTGGTTGATTTACGCACTTGTCTGTAACTTGATAATTCATCACATTAGAATCAGATGACACTGCTCTCAAATTTATAGACAGTCCAGCTGGGGTATCCAAGGAGTCCGAAGACAGTTTATCTACCACAGCCTCTGTAATTTGATGTTTTCCCTTTATTTCCAACTCCTTTTGCTTGTCCTGTGTTATGCCTAAAGATGTTAAGTTTATTTTTTAAATTTTTTGATAAAATTCTTCCGCTTTTTCGACAGTATTCAGTTGGTATCTTACTCCTTGGTGTCTCAATATTAAACCAACTGGGACGTCCCACCTAAATAGAATATTCCTTTTTTTTAACTCATTCACTAGAAAACCAAATTTCTTCCTCTCCATTAACATCTTGGGCGGGAGTTCCTTAAAAATCCAAATCTTTCTTCCACGAAATTGCAAAGTAGAATCATAAGAATTCTGCACAATATTATTTCTAATTTCTTTGTCTATAAAATAAATCACCACATCTCTAGGCAATTGCCTGTGTTTTGCAAACCAGGAGTTTATTCTATAAATTCTGTCAATCCTGCAAAACACTTCATCAGGTTGAACCTTTAAAATCCCAGCCAGAATTTCAGAAGATATCTTCCTTAAATCATCTCTGTCATTTTCCTGCAGACCTCTCAGTCTAATTGCATATTCTGTAAAATTGTATTGGATCATTAAAACTTCTCTTTCAATCCTCTGTTGTACATTTTCTTCATTACCAGTCTTTTGGTCAGCCTCCATTTTAAGTTTGTCTTCTGAACTATTATCCTGAATGTTTGCCAAATCCTTTTTAATTTTTTGGATCTTGTCATCCAAATTCTCCTCAGTTTCTTTCATTTTAGACTCTAATAATTTAGTATTTGCTTCCAACTGAATCACAAAGTCTGCTAAGCCATTAGCTGTTTTTAAAATCTTTCGATCCAAAAAGCCAAACTTAGATTTCACCAATTCACCAATTTCTTTGATTTCCAACTTAAATTTTTCAAGTTGCTGATTCACAATCTCATCCCTTCTTACAATCTCCTCAAGAAGAAATTCTATTATATTAAAGTCAGGTTTCTGAGACTGGAGAGTTAAAACTTGTTGATGTAATTTATTAATGGGGGAATCCCCCCCACTGCCTGTTTGTCTAGCTTTATAAGTCTCAGTGCCATTTTTCCATGCAGACAAAATTTACTGGAAAAGAGAAAAAAAAAACTTTTTTCCAACCAAGACCAATATCAGATCCCCAAGGAAAAAAAAAGGAAAAAAAAACAGAAGTGAGTGAGGTTTTGCCTTCAGTTACAGCCAAAAGTATTCATTCCGCTACTTTGTAATTGAAAACGGAAGGAGTTTCCCTTTCAGCCTCTCTTCAAGCTGCAGCAGCAATCGCCATTTTAAAAAAAAACTTTTTTCCCTTCACTTCACTTCTTAGGCAAAATAGAATAAAAAGAATACTTGCACTTCAGGATCAGAGGTCCAGCTCATATCTTCTTTAATTAATTTATTTGACAGATTTACAGGCTTGCTTTTGCCCCCTAGCTCTGCGTGTAGCAGAGATTTCCCAGAGCCCGGAGCATCGGCTGGGGATACGGGGAGTCTCTTCCGCTCCCTCCCAAAAGTAAATAAAAAACTTTTGGGATTAGGCAGAGGACTCTACCCACCCCAGCCGGCTCTATCTCCATTTCCTAATGGAAACGGAGTTTTTTCGAGCCGCCATTCTGCTGAAAAAGGCGGCTCTTACAGGCAGTGGGTTCGACGATCCCGAAGGAGTGTCCAGCGGGGACAAGCAGCAAACCGGAAGTCCATATAAAGAGCTTCTTAACAAGGAAAGAAGTATACTACAATTAAAATCTTTGAATCAACTAAGAGAAGAAAGGACAATTCGAACATGGTTTCAATATGTACAGTTGCAAGCTAGATGAGAAGATCAGAAAATTGTTTTTTTGCAAAATGAGGAGAATTTGGTAAAACAGATTAGAAATCAAAGTCAAATGCATATAAAAAGGTTGTATAATGCATGCCATTGGTAGAAATAGATTCAGAAACGGAATTAGTTAAGGACTGTATGATAAAGTGGGCACAAAATATTGAAGAACCAATAATGATGGAAACGTGGGAAAAAATATGGGTTAGAAATGTCAAGTTTACGCAAGCCCAAAACTTAAGAGAGAATTTTTATAAAATGTTTTATAGATGGCATCTAGATCCTAAAAAGCTAGCTTGTATGTATCTAAATGTGCAACCTAAGTGTTGGGGATGTGAATGTGATGACGCCACGTATTATCATATATGGTGGACATGTAAAAAAATTAAGGCATTTTGGATAAAAATATAGTGGATTATTCAAAATATTTTCAAAAAGAAGATAAAATTTACTCCACAGTTCTTTTTGTTAGGTATAATTACAGATTGTACTGTTATAGAGACTAAATTGATTTTAAATTTAATAACTGCAGCTAGACTTTTGGTGGTGCAATATTAGAAGAAGGAAGATTTGCCTACTATTGAAGAATGGACATTAAAAGTAGCGAATCTGGCAGAAATGGTGAAGATTTCAGCATATTTGAAAGATCACTCATATATCGGAATGGAGAAGATGGATTGATTATATTCAAAACAAATATCAGACTAAAAAGTATCAAATAGCTTATGAATGAATAGAAAAATTAAAAGTATTTATATTTAGTTAAGTAAAAGGGGAGTTAAAGTGTGAAGGGGGGGATAGGAATCCTTAGTTTATTAGTTTAGTTTAGCATATGATTGTTAATTGTTATACTCTGTATTTTGTTCTGGGAACAAAATGTTCGGGGGGGGAGGTAAGGAAGGGAGGGATGGGGAAATACTTGTAAAAAAAAAATTCTTTTTTTTTCTTTTTGTAAAACTCTTTAATAAAAAAAAAATCTCCATTCCCTCCCCACTCCTGGGGGAAGGATATTGCAAAATCTCCATCCCCACCCCATTCTGGGGCCAGCCAGAGGTGGTATTTGCCAGTTCTCTGAACTATTCAATATTTCCGCTACCGGTTCTCCAGAACCTGTCAGAACCTGCTGGATCTCACCCCTGGTTTGCCCTCTTTTCACCTGAGAAGTGGCCTCCCACACAGAGACTCTTTGGTGTCATCCAGAACAAGTTCAGATCTTGCCAGTCTTGAACAACTAGCCTAGCATCAACCTAGACCCCTAGAAACCCCACCCCACCCCAGCCTTTCTAGCAGGCAGCTGCATTTGTGCCCAGCGTAGGGCCTGCAATCAGCTTTGGAAAATCACAGGAAAGTGGGGCTGAAGCCCAGCAGATTCTCAACCCTCTAACTCAAACGAAGTGGACGTGCAAGGGAGCATTGTAGAATCAATGGATGGTCCTTCTGATGAGACACCCCACCCAACCACACCTTGAGGCCAAGCCCTCCCATGCAGAAGAGTCTGCAGCTTTAACCCCCAACAGTCTCCTGGCTCTGCAGAATAAAGGAGGCCAATCATGCTAGAGAGAATTTATTTGACCTTCTGGCCTATGAGAACAAGCGAAGTCAGATCCAAGCTACAGAAAGCATCCATGAAGCGAAAGGGTGCAGAGCGGAGATTTCAGTGGGCAGGGGGGGCTTCCTTGCTTCTCCAGACTTCACCAGGTGCTTCACTCCCTCTGGAGCAACCGAAGGAACCATTTCCGCTAGTATTTGCATTGGCAGAGAAAAGGACGCAGAACTGTGCAGCCCTGGTCGTTCCACTGGAGATACCCTAGGTAACAAATGAGAAAGTTTCCCTGTGAGCTTATCAAGGGGATTGTCCTTCATTGGCAGGATGATGTGAGGCTGCCACAGGTGGAGACCCTCACCTGCTAAAGCAGACCTGGAATTCAGTGTGTTGTGGTAACCCAGATAACTTACTTAGACTTCAAGTTTCGTTTGTTCATTTAGTCAGAGATTTTTAGGCTGTTCTTTTGATTGGTTTTTAATTGGACGGGCCATGTCCCAATATTTCTCTTCTATATACTCTATGAGTGGCTAAGAGTCCTCTGACCGTGGTGAGGCAGACTTTTTATATATAGTGATATATATATATCAACCAGTGGTGTTGTAATGCCTGCCAGAATCCTTCCCTCTTTGCAGATGATAGCTAGCAATAGGAGAGGGAGAGAACCGAGCCAGAAGATAGGCTGAGATCTCAACAGGCAACCAGTGGTGTTGTGAGGCCTACCAGAATTCTTCCCTCTTTGCAGTTGACAGTTAGTAATAGAGAGAGCTGGGCCTTTAACACGCAGTCAGGCTGCAACTGGGATAATGCAGCAGGAGAAAAACCGGCTGCCCTCCAATCAGGACACAGAGTTGCAGGCTAACCAGCATACGTCAACAGCAGCGAACAGAGAAAAGCGACAACTCCGACCTCGCAGCATACTCACAGCTTCTAAACTGAAAGTAGGGGCCTGATGATGACAAGTTAGAGAGCTTGTCGTAACGTTGCCAAAAAAAAAAAAAAAAAAACCTTTTAAAGTGTTGGTTAGGATTTTGGCCAAGGTTTTAAAAGACCTTACAAAGTGTTTTGTTAGGATTTTAGAGGATTTTGAGCTGGGATTTTAGCCAGGATTTTAAGATTTTAAGCATTTTAACTAACAGACTTTTAATGACGCGGGAAAACACCTGAGATTTTAACTATCTATATCTATCTATCTATCTATCTATCTATCTATCTATCTATCTATCTATCTATCTATCATCTATCTATCTATCTATCTATCTATCTATCTATCTATCTATCTATCTATAAATACTGGTGGGGAGGTGGGGAGTGCTGGTTTTGTTGTTGTAAGCGGGTTGTAAGCCAGCAGTCCACACCTCCCCACCAGTATTTATAGAGAGACGGCATCTCCGATCACACTTTGCTCGCACAGACACAAAGCCGAAGACACCAGCCTGAAGATGACGAGTGGGACCTCATCGAAACGTCGCCAAGATACTCTCAATCTTACATGGGAAAAAACCCGAATATGCCAAAACTCTAATTATTTATCCACCCTTCTGCATCTTCGGATAGCAAACCAGCCTCCCTCTGCCAGGTAACCAGGCGCCTCCTAAGTAAGCAAGAACTGGGGGAGCCCTTGCCAAGTCACTATGAGGAATGTTCTTGGCATCTTTGATAAAGTCACTTGACCTCCCTTGTTGTTGGACTGGCTGGGTAGAATCTTGAAAGGCCTGGTGTTCCCCCAAGATTGGGTGATTCCAAATCAGAAATCTGACTCTGCTGCTAGGTTTTGGTTGATTTTAATGTTCATCCTGCTAGTATAATTTTAATGTGACTGTTATGCTGCTTGACATTTGTTAGGGCGTTGGTTATAAGGTGGGTGGCTACAGAACTGTTTTAGACAAACAAACAAACAATGGCCATCAGTTGCCAAGGAGTAAAGTGTTCCAAGATAGACCCCGTGGGTCCTCATTGTTGGAATTGCATCTCAACCATCTCACCACCATCTTGGCTTACCTGTAAAGTCCACAATCTCAACGCAAAACTCTTTGTTCTGGAAGTGATCAGGCTGATTTGTCTTCCATGGTAGGTAGTCGGTTCTAGATCTGTCTGTCCACTCCCAGACGTAGTTCTAAGTTGAGAAAGAAGCCATGTTGGACAATTGAGGAAGGGGCTCTTCAGGGCCCAGGTCAGAGAGGAAAGTTTTCAGGTTTTAAGGATCAGACCAAACAGAACATCTGTCTCTCTCCATCTCTCCCTCCATCTCAGTTGATCTGGAACAGCTAAACTGAGTTAAACCTGGTGAATGTTTGGATGGGGCGATCAGGAGATGCAGGGGGAAAAACTCCCCAGAAGAAAACTATCTGGAGGTGTCCAGGAAGTCACCAGCTCAGCTTGAGAGCCATCATACCTCATGCTCAACATGATGGCAACCCTGCAAGATATTGATTGATCTCAGAACAATAAACAGGGTCAAGATCAATGAGTCCCTGGGTGGGAGACCGTCAGCAAAACCCCAGGACTATCCGAGACACTAAGAAACTGAAAGGGAAGGGAAGGGAAGGGAGGTGACAGCCTGGCTTGAATTTCCTGCAGTACTTCTGAGAGAGAGCAACCACAAGGAAAGGCATTGTTTCAGCAGGGCAGAAACACGTGTGTTTGTGTGTTTGTGCTGTACGAGTGAAAAAAGAGCAGGGACTAGATTGCATGGTCCTGCCCACGATCTGCTGGGGTCTGCAGCTCTTGATCAGTTCTTGACTTAAATTCACATTTCAGCAGCTACAACCTGACATCCCCATCGCTTCAGAGTCTGAATGGTCTGGAGATGTGACCACAGCTGAATGGACCTCACCCTTCAATCAATCAGAATAGAGATGGAAGGGACCTTTGAGGGCTTCTAGGCCAACCCACTGCTCAGGCAGAAGGTTCTAGATCACCCCGGACAAATGGCTGTCCGGTCTCTTCTTAAAAATCTCCAAGGTTGGAGCATCCTTCTTCTCCTTCCTTCTTCTCCTGCCTTCAGGTGCTTTGGAGAATAGGTTGATCCCCTTGTCTCTGTGGCAGTCCCTCAAATACCGGAATACTGCTATCATGTTCCTCTTAGTCCTTTTTTTCTCTAGACTAGCCATACTCTCCCTCCCTCCCTCCCTCCCTCTCTCTCTCTCTCTCTCTCTCTCTCTCTCACACACACACACACACAGACACACCCCTTGGCTAAGAAGAGCTTAGCTTAGAACAGCTGGTGAAACTGAACATTTGGATAGGTGACAATCATGAGATCCAGGAAAAGAAGACCCCAGAAGAAAACCACCTTTAGATGTCCATGGAGTCACCAACTCAGCTTCAGAGCCACTGTGCCTGATGCCCAGCCTGGTGGCAGCCCTGGACAATACTGATCAGAGAGATAAATGGGATCTGAATCCATGAATTCTGGGGTGGGAGAGCATCAGCAGAATCCCAGGACTATCGGATATGCTTGGAAGCTGAAAAACATCCTGGGAATTTGGGCGGGGAGGAGGACCTACTTCCGTGTGATTGACAGTAAATAGTCCTTGTATTAGAGAAAGTCGCTGGGAAATGAGATGACTTCCAAGGAAGTTTTCCTTTCTTTAACACGGTCAGTATAAGAGCCGTGGTGGCGCAGAGGTTAGAATACAGAATTTGCAGGCTAATTCTGCTCCCTGCCAGCAGTTCATTCCTGTCCGGCTCAAGGTTGACTCAGCTTTCCGTCCTTCTGAGATTGGTAAAAGGAGGACTCAGTTGGTTGGGGGCACTATGCTGACTCCATAAACCCCTTGGAGAGGGTTGCAAAATCACTATGGGGCGGTATAGAAATCTAAATGCTCATGTTAGGATCGAGCATTTTTCAGGCATTGAAAACACAATATATCTCCCTCTCTCCCTCCCTCCCTCCCCCCCATCTCCTACTTCTGTATTGTTGCCAGAAAATGACATTTCTACTCAGGAACTTACCAGGAACTAATTTCAGGGAAAGTTCTCTACTTGTATGTGATTATGCATTTTTCAGGAATTGAAAATGCAACAGAGCACACGATGAAAGACTGTCAGTAACAGAAACGAGCAAAACCTACATCAAATCAAAAGGGGGGAGGGAAGAACAGCCCCCCCAGGCCAGACCCTGCAGTCCCTGAGTTAATGGCTCACCAGAGTTTCAGGAAGGTTTCGAAGCCACCCAATGGGCCGAAAAGAAGAAGTCGGACTGAAGGAGGAGCTGAGTGTGGGAAGGCCGTGATCCTGGGATGGGGGTCAGAGCAGGATCGGCCCTTTGGGGCTTTAGAGACAGTAGTCAGTTCTTTAAGTGGGCAGGAAAGGTTGGTGAGAGGAAGGAGAGACAGCATTGGGCTAAATAACATTTTTCACAGGTTTTGTCCAAGGCAAGAGTTTTTATCAGAGAGATCCCTACCCCCCATTGGACGAGCCTTCCAAAAGCCCCTTGGAAATGGTAAATATGGATCTTATTATCAGCAGAAAGGGACCTACTTTCCATGGATCATACAATCCAATCCAGACACGGTCTTTCTTTGTGAGATAGTCAGTGATGTAATCGCCCAAGTCAGCTCCTTGATCCATGCTGTGGATGGAGGCGAGGTGGCAGCCTGGCTTCTGTTTCCTGCAGAACGTCTGGGAGAAGAACAGAAAGAGAAAGCCCATATTTTGCACAGATACTTGCATTTCAGGCTATCCTAAAATCATGATATTTACTGATTTTTCATACACCCATCCAGATCTCCCTTGGCTTTGCCTGAACTAGGAAATTCACAAGTACACAAACACTTCTAACCTCTGCATCCTTCCAATTCTTTCGTTCCTCGAAGACCTTGTAGCAAAACCCATTCATGGGGAGCCAATCACGAGGACAACAACAGTCTTCGGCTCCTGTGTGGGAAGAGAGGAAGCCAAATGAGAAGATGGCCAAGAGAAAAGGAAGAGGAGGAGGAGGAGGAGGAGGAGGAGGAGGAGGAGGAGGAGGAGGAGGAGGAGGAGGAGACAGCTGGATCTGCAGAGGAAGCCAAATGAGAAGATGGCCAAGAGAAAAGGAGGAGGAGGAGGAGGAGGAGGAGGAGGAGGAGGAGGAGGAGGAGGAGGAGGAGGAGGAGGAGGAGGTGGAGACAGCTGGGTCTGCAATGGAAGCCAAATGAGAAGATGGTCAGGAGAAAAGGAGGAGGAGGAGGAGGAGAGGAGGAGGAGGAGGAGACAGCTGGGTCTGCAGAAGAGGCTTTGTCTGCTGAAGTAACAAACATCTTTGATGACAATAAATTGAAAATGATTTGGATTACAGACACAGCAGCTGCATTTGCAGAATGTCCAAACCTTGATTACAATTAGCCGTGATTAATTTCTTTGAAGCTTCAGGTCTTGTGTGAACGTCTCCACTTCTATTGGCCTATCATCCACTGAACTGTGCTACAAAGCCAGTAAACGGACTCCTTCAAGAACCAGGCTGTTGACTGAGGCAAAGTATAGGGCCCGCGTGGGTCAGTCCCGGAGGCTCCGCAGTGGCCTCTTGGATGACCCATAACTGCTCGTGGGGCTTATGATTATTTGTGGGGCAGCCCCCTGCGGGGAATGGGAGGCACTCAACGTTGAATGATAAATGCATGAATGTTTTGCCAAGTTTTCAACCAGTGGAACCGCTTGTCACCAGAGGCTGTGACTGCTTCAACGCTGGAGGTTTTAAGAAGGGATTGGACAGTCATTATCTGAAATGATAGAAGTTCTCCTGCTTGAGAAGGGGGCTGGACTGAAAGGCCTCCAACCCACCCCACCCCCACCCTGCCCTATCTCACCTTGTGAACCTCCCTGAGCCGGTCGGACTTAGCAACAATTATCCTTAGTTTGGTTGTAATCCATCCAGACCGCTGCAATGTGCTTTCTGTGGGGCTGCCCTTGAAAGCCTCCTGAGATGGGAATTCCTGCAGAAGGCAGCAGCCAGGCGGGTCCAAAGCAGGGGGATCAGGTGGTTCTGTCCTAAAGGGTCTCCACTGGACCCCTGGATGCCCCAAAAGTGCTGAACTATAACAGGATGACAGCTGAGTGTATTGGGGTCTGTCCCCCTGCCGCCCCCTGCCCAGGAGAGGCCCTTCTGAAGATGCCCTTGCTAGAGGCTCAGCTCTTAGCTCCCTGGGAATGGCTCCAAGGCCTTCCGTGCGTCCCTCGGAGAGCAATGGTGGGGTAGAGAGCGGCACTCTACTGTTAATTTTTTTAAAACATTTTACTGATTTATGTAATAAATTTATACTATTGAACTGACTTCTTCATGAGAAAAGGACAAGTCTTTCATTAAACCTTTAACTATTCATTAGGTTCCCAAGTCTGAATTTCGATTGTGTTCGTTTTCCTTCATTTTCTATTAGTCTGTCGAGATTCTCAGCCATGGTTGTCCCAAAGGGGCTTTTTCAGGAGGCAACTGGACTTTCTTGGTTTTTTCTTCTGGGAAAAAAAAGCACCTTTGGGACCACCATGACTGGGATGACTGAGAATCTCTGCAGAATTTTAGCTGTATAATTTGGGACGGAGAACCTTTGAATGGTGTGGGAGTAGGAACGGATTTCCAGAGGAAAAATGGAAAGCTACAGGAACCATTAGCACTACTCAGGTGAGGAGGACACAGAGAAACCTCCAAGTGCTTCAAGGACCCTCTAAAAGGATGCAAATGACCAGCTGTCTGCAAGGAATATCAATTCATTTTCTAGGATGGCAAAAGTCCCGAGTCTTGGAGCAGAGAGAGAAGGTGGGGTCTAAATTGCACAGAAAGCCAAAGAGGGATAAAAGCAACTTCAGGGAGAGGAAGGATGCTGGGAGGCTCGAATCAGGAAGGGGTTCAGAGGCAAGAGAATTGGCCTCTCCGGACACGAGAGACCCTGTTCAAACTCACCATGTATGGAGAAAGCCACGACCAGCAAGCCGAGGGTCACAAAGATGAATCGCCCCATGGTCTCCCTTCCTTCCCTGCAGAGAGGATCGGGGAGGAAAGGAGAGTGAGATGGGTGGGAAGTCCAGCCTGTGACCAAGCTGGGGGTCCCACACTTTGCACTCTTTCACTGGACCCCGTTTCTCCCTCCTTGGTCATCCAGCAGCCGTGGTGGGTCACAATGGATCCTGCATTGCCTGGAAAGGATCTCCCTTGCATCTCTTTCTCTTCCCAAGAAAACCCTTGCTCCCTGCCTCCTGCAGACCCCCTGCTGCAACCTGGACGTTGCCAGTAGCCCCCTGCAAGAGGTCCCTTCAGATGGAGAGAGAGATCTGCTGCAGGGGCCTCACCTGTCAGGTCTCCACAGGTGGGAGAGCCACAACTCACCTGTCCCTTTGCTTCCTTGGGTAGCAAGTCTGCTCAGTGGCAACTCCAGGCTTCCTTCCAGCAACAGGAATCGAGGCATTTATATACAAGATAAGACATGGGGTTGGTCTTTTTAGGGGGGGGTCAAAGGGGAAGGGAAATGTCTTTGCTTCAGAAGGGACTTTTTTCCCCAGGATGTAGCTTGTTTGCACTAAAGATTTAGCAAAGATAAAAAGACAAAAATTGACTTCCTGGCAATGAATTGGACTTAGAGATTTATTTATTTTATGTAAAACTTTTATATAGCTGCCCACATCACGTTGAATTCTCAGTCAAAAGTTAAGCAACACCAAACATACATCCTTTCACACCACAAACCTTAACAACCGGGCACTAAAGTGAAATTCCTCATGCAGCCCCTTCTTCAATCTGCTCGCCCGCCCCATCCTAGCCCATCACTTGGGGAAGAAGACAGGTTTAAGAGCTTCTCTTATGGTTAGGAGGGCAGAGGCCTGCAGGACCCCAAGGGGAAGGTTCTTCCAAAAAAAAAATAAGGATGGCACTCGCTGATCTTTGGCCCAAGGCAGCCACATATCTGCCATGTGCTTTTCTTGAACCCGTGGCCTGAATGACCAACCCCAGGTACTTGAAGGGGGTTACCTCTATTTTGCAGCCATTTAGATACCATGAATAAAGTTTTGGCCTTTGTTTTCTCATAATTTATGCCCAGTTTTTTGTAATTACAGGACCATCTGCATAGAGCAGGAGGGAGATGCTTCGGTCACCTATTTTGGGTGGGTGTGATGTGGTTTCTTTAGCCATTTTACCATCTTGTTTATAGAGAAGTTGAAAAGCAAGGGGGCCAAATGCACCCCTGTTTAAACCCCTTTTGAGTTTTGACTGACTTCGAGAGGGACCCTTGCATATCACACCTCACCTTGAGGATGTTTTAGTATGTAGGGCACGTAATAGATGAAGAAGCCTGTGGTCGATTGAGGCAGCTTCCAGCTTCTCCCATAGCTTAGTCCAGTGGTGGGATTCAAAACTTTTTACTACCGGTTCTGTGGGCATGTCTTGGTGGGCGTGTCTTGGTGGGCGTGACAGGGGAAGGTTACTGCAAAATCCCCATTTCCTCCCGATCAGCTGGGACTCGGGAGGCACAGAATAGATGGGGGCGGAGCCAGTCAGAGGTGGCATTTATCTGTTCTCCGAACTACTCAAATTTTCTGCTACCAGTTCTCCAGAACTGGTCAGAACCTGCTGAAACCCACCTCTGGCTTAGTCCTGGTAACCCTATCAAAGGCTGCCTTGAGATCTATAAAACCGGCGTATAATGATACAGGTCTATTTGATACGTATTTTTCAACCAGACGATGAAGAACTAAGCACTGATCTGTGGTGCCTCTCCTCTCCCCTCCCTGAACTCAGCTTGCTCTTCAGCGATCAAGTTCTCCAGATCCAGCCAGTCCTTTAATTTATCTTGGAGGTGTTTGGTGTAGAGTTTGCTGATTATATTTAGCTATTTACAGCTATTTATTTAGCTATTTACAGACCTATTGGTCTGTAATTGGCAGAATCATCTCTCTTTCCCTTTTTAAAAATTGGGACAACAATTGCCAAGACCCAACCTTTTGGGACATAGCTGGTGGAGTCGATATAAGTGAATAGCCCCGCCAAAGCTGGTATCCACCACTCCAAATTGTTCTTCAATAATTCAGCAGAAATGAAGTCAGCTCCTGGGTCCTTCCAGTCCTGAGTTGGCCAATGAGGGATTTGATTTCAGACTCTGAAACTGGGGGCCATTCAGGTAAATCCTGCATTGTATACCTTACTAGCAGTTGCTAGGTCCTTCAGCCTAACTGTCACAACGTTACTAGTTTTATAGATGTGGCCACCATAAGTTCCTCTTTTCCCACGGTCTTAGCCCACCACATGCGTTCCAGTGAAGTAGCTGGCCGGCTTGCAAAGACACAATTTCCACATACTCAGGGGCACAAGCTCATCACTGGTTTTCTTGTACAGTTTAATCCATGCTGATCTGTGTGCTGGGTCTGCGACCTCCCCAGATCCTCACAAATGTTTACCTCTAGATTATAATACATGATGCAATACGAAGTGTAAAGAATGCATCCTTTATTATTCTTTTAAGCGCCATATGCAGGTGTATTCATATGACAGCTCAGGTTCCCTGAGTATCCATATCTGAAGGAACTGGGTAGGAGGAGCATCCATAGCAAAGCGGAAAGGTACAGACCCCATTTTATAAGCTTCCCACAATGATCATGATCTGATCCATCCATTTGGGTTTTACCCCTGGTGATTCTGTGGCCCAGAGCATCTTCTGGTCTTGCACTGCTTCTTCTCCTTCTTCCTTCACAGAGCTCTGTGCTCTGGCCCTCCAGAGCTCCGTGGCAGAGGGTTGCAGGAAGTCCTGCAACCAAAAATTGAGCTTGGGAGCCCGTTTTCGCTGGCAGAGCGCTCAGCCCCCTACAGGTGCCCCCAACATGATTGACATTGAGCTGGCCATGCCTACCCTGGCCACGCCCCCCCCAGTTCCCATATAGTATCCCCCTTGTTAACTCTCAAGACTTTCTTCCACTATGTATTCAAAATGGACTCCGATTAATATACATATGTGTGTGTGTGTGTGTGTGTGTGTGTGTGTGTGTGTACATAAATATGTTTGTGCATGTATGTGTAGGGTTATATCCCATCCCATCCCATCCCATTTCATCTCATCTTTGCTTTCTCCAGTAAATTCTACCACATGACATGACCAAAATAAGTGAGTTGCAGCTGCACTACCTCAAACGTCGGTTCCAGAGAAGGCGGACTGAAGTCCACCAGTCCCATCAGTCTGGTGAGCTGCACTGCCAGTCCAGAGACAGGGCCAGGATGGGGTCCTCCACCATTGTTCTGTAGGGGCAGGAGAGTTGTCTCCATTTTGTCTCTAAAGCACTCAGATGTCAGCCCCATCAGCCATAGGGAGAGCTGCTCCAGGGGCACTCAAAGGACATCTATTCAGCCCCATGGTTTAGAGCCTGTGGGCTGGCGAGCCCACTGTTTTAGGACCAATGTACTAGCAATTTTTTTGTGAAACAGGGCAATGGGTGCATTCACTCCCTGTGTTCATTTTGCATACATTAACTTTGCTTTTATGTCTTTATCGCTTAGATTGTGGTGCAAACTGTGTGAGTTTCCTCCCGTTGTTCAATTTATTGCTAATTCTGAGAATCAGAAGTTTACTGATACAAATTTGTTTGCAAATAAAGATGAAATAAAGATAAATGGCCAGCAATGGCAGTATAAATTCAGAACATTCCCTTGGATAAAGAAGTGAAATAAGGAAGGAGGAAGGAGCAGAAGGCCACAAGGGCTTCCCCACAAGGAGCAAAGTTTGCCCCGATGGACTTTTTTCCAAGCCATGGTGACCTTCAGTCCTGAAAGAGATTGATATGCAAACTGAAAAAAAAAAATTATTACAGACTTCCAGTAAGCTTAAAACACAATTAATAAGTAAACTATCTACAATAGTTAACACTGTATGAAAGGAATACAATACAACCATTAATACTACAGTGTTAATGCCATAGAGTGTTAATACCACTTTATAATATCTTGGAAAGGCCATACTTAGAATCTTGTATCCAGTTTTGGTCACCACAGTGTAAAAAAGATGTGGAGACTCTAGAAAGAGTGCAGAGAAGAGCAACAAAGAGGATTAGGGGACTGGAGGCTAAAACATAGGAAGAACGGTTGCAGAAACTGGGTAGGTCTAGTTGAATGAAAAGAAGGACTAGGGGAGACATGATAGCAGCCTTCCAATATCTCAGGGGCTGCCACAAAGAAGAGGGAGGTTAACTTATTTTCCAAAGCACCAGAAGGCAAGACAAGAAACAATGGGTGGAAACTGATCAAGGTGAGAAGCAACCTGGAATTGAGGAGAAACGTCCTAGGGCTGCTTGCCTACAGAGGTTGTGGGTGCTCATCACTGGAGGTTTTTAAACAGAGACTGGATGATCATTTGACTAAAATGGTGTAGGGACTACTGCTTGAGCAGGGGGTTGAACTAGAAGATCTCTGAGATCCCTTCCTGCTCTATTCTGGTTGATTAATTGACATATCAGTTAAACATCATAAACGTCAAAGAGTTTCAGTCTTTACTTATTGATTAGGGCAAAGGATTTCAAACATTTTCAAATAGTTTAATTTTTATAGCTTAACAAACTCCCACTCTTGTGTTTTGCTTGCAGCAGCTTAGCTGGGTTCCTCCAATATGCTACCCCAGTTTAAGGAATACAGCTGGAAGGGACCTTGGAGGTCTTCTAGACCAACCCCCTCCTCAAGCAGGAGACCCTATAAAATTTGAGACCAGTGGCTTTCCAGTCTCTTCTTAAAGACCTCCAGTGAGGAAGCACCCACAACCTCTGAGGGCGAGCTGTTCCAGGGGCTAGTTGTTCTCACTGTTAAGAAGTTTCTCCTGAATTCCAGGTTGCTTTTGAAAAGAGATTGATGCTCTTAGCTAAAGGGTGGGAGGGCTCCCCCCGCCACCATCTGCTAAATTAATGACTGAGTTTTGTAGAAATCTTGAACCACAAACCAGCCAACTGTGTTTTTAAGCAGAAGTTGCTTTGGCTGAGCATGTCCTATTTCTCAGCTTGGGTATGCTACAGCCCTTTGGTCCAGTGGGATCTCTCAGGCAGATCTCGAGAGTCTTTGCCTTCATTCATGAGATCCTGATCAGTCACATGTATGGATAGGTCCATTGGGATCAACTTGGATGTGATGTGTTGATGAGATGAAAGGAGAATAGCATTTGTAAGACAGCCTGTTTCACCACTGCCATTCAGGGGGACATTGGACTGGATCCCCTGATCCCTCACTCTGGATCATGGGCTCATAGCATTATGGTGGGGCTTAGATGGTCCACCCCCTATAGGGTGTAGGAAAATCAGTTCCACCACCTCTGAAGCCTCATCTGGGAAACCTCCAAGATGGAGAACCCACCATCTTCTACTGTTAGACAGATCTTACCCCCAGGGAGAGTTTTCTTCTATTTCAATTAAATTTAAGTAGCTGAATTCCTG